AAGCCGCTTAAAACAATTACAAGGTTTTGATATATTAACAACTTAGTAGGGGTAATAGGTGTGTTAGGACTGTATCTGTGAGTATCTTTTCTACTTCCAAGAACGAGAAAGATTCTCACAATCCTTAGCAATGATTAAAGTCTTAACTTCTTACTAAGTAAGTTTAACTATATTAGTTTTCCTCTTTAAGGTTGTTATTATTAATTTACTAATATTACAGGATATCCTTTAGTCGCATAACTTTCTCTGCCCAATTTTGACTTCCTTCTTATTTGGAAAACACAAAGTTGCAAGAGTGCCTCCTGTAGTTTTCCCTCTGCCAGGCCCTTCCCTCTTTAATTTTCTGGTTTCCTTTCATTCTGCATAGTTTTTAATTAAATCAAAATATGTGGCACTAGCAAGTGTTGCACCAACTGACCAAAACGGCAATAGCTGTGGGCGTGGCCTCTCCGATCGGAGCAATGGCGATTGCCAGTTGGTCCATCCAGTCTTCGGGTCAGAGAGAGAGGCGGCGTCTGCAGATGACCAAGGCTTTATGGGTCAGGTTACGAAACCCGTTTATGGGTTCTTAGCTCTCAGTTCTGGGTTCTGTCTTCCCTTCTCACTCTCACTCTCTCTCTCTCTCTGGCTCATCTGTGATTGGGAGAAGGGAGTTGAGATGCCTCTGCTACCTGCTACTCGCCTTGCCCGCTGTCCGTTCAGCGGAGTTGCAGAGGAACACAGAGTCATCAAGCCGCAACCACATCATTAATAAGCCTCCGAAATGAAGGGTTAGGGGTAGATCCTGTGCAAAGAAAGGGTAGATCTGAGCCAAGTCAGCTATTGTCCTAATGGTTAACACGTCGTGGCTAATGAGGCGCAACCGAGAGAATCCAAAAGGTAAACCACACCTTGGGCTGGGGAAAAGGCGACATTCAGGCTGATTAATTGGTGGGAAAACTCTCAAGGGGCTTCTTGTTTTGTTTGTTTTTCCCTTCCAAATAGTTTTATAATTGCGGGCAAAAGTTTCTTATGGCAAAGAACCTCAAGGTTCCGACTTTCCTTCTATCTTAAAGGTAGAATGAAAATTGAGATGCATTCACAATTATAAACTCCCAACTTTACCTTAATCAAGGCTAAAGCCAAGCTGATTTTGGCAGCTCCTAGAACATGTTCATATATCTCTCGGAAAGTTTTCCATTTGCTTTTGCATTGCACCTGCCTAGGGAAACCTCAGCTCAGCCCTTCTGAACTCCAGCTGCAGTTTTCCAAGCAGAAAGGGAAAACTTCAAAGGAGGCAGCCCCAGTTCGGAGTTTAGAGTTCATTTTCCGAGCCCACTCAGCGTAATAGCCGCCCAGATGATTCCAGAGACAGAAACACTTGTCGACTGAGATTCGAGATTCTCAACCCTGAGAAGGACGGAGAGATACTCGGAGAAGTCGCAATCGAACGGCACTCGAGGGAGCTGGCTCCGAAAATAGAAAAGTAATAACAAGGAACTTATGCTAATAGCGCGTTCCAAAAGAGCCAAAAGAAAACAAACAACCGACAACAACAGGCGGCAGACAATTCATAAAAAGTGTACTTGGGGCAGCCAAGGGGAAACTGAGGGAAACTGAGGAAAACTGAGGAAAAGCGGGGTGAAAGGCGGGTAGTAAAAGCAAGGAGTCCACGACCTTAGGGTGCAATAAAAATTAGAGTGCGCAGGCGCAGCCGGACGGAAAATATGGGAAATGTGTGTGGGGAAATATGTTTATTAAGTTGGTGAGGGAGGGGGAAGCTGCAGGAGGAGGAGGAGGAGGGGAGGGGAACCTTTTAGGCAATCATCAGTCACTGAGTGTGGAGGAGCCAAAAAGGTGGCAATAGATCTTCCTTCTGCGGTTTTCCAAGAAGCGGACTTCATAAATCATCTTCTAATTGACTAGGTATCTTAGTGGTATCCCAAGAAAGGAACTTAAAGATGATCTATTGCAAGGGAGGCTGAGTGGCTGATAAGGATGCCTAACCATTAGTTGACATAACTTGGAAATTGAATGGAAAGTGGGGCGTGGAAAGTACTCCAAATGTACTTAAAACATATCAAAGTAATTAAGGTGGCGAAGCGGAATAAATCCTAAAGGAAACTATCAGGAAACTCTATCGTCTCAATGGAATAGAATGGAGAAGTTCCAAAGTAAACAATCTCCTATAAGAGAGCACTGGCCAGATCGTTGGCCGGATGACCTCTAACCCAGTTCTGGTTGCCAAGTGGCAAGCTGGCAAGCTCTCACCCAGTGCAATAGCAAATGATTTCCCTTAAATATCTCTTCGGGCGGTGCATAAACAAATTCCGGATTCGAGCAGCTGCGAATGATGATGCAGGGGATTTTCCTCTAAATCACCTTGCCCGGCTTTGGCATATTTTTCCCAGCGCTTTTCCGCTTTTCGCCCCTAGAACCCCGTTGACCCGCCTCTACTTTGTAGATGAGCTCTGCAGGGAGCTGGGGCAATTTATTACCTGCCATTTACCGTTCCTCATTATTAATTGCAAGGCAATTAATCAGTTTTACTTGCGTCCAACGAGGCGTATACGCAACCCGCTCTCGCCCGCTCCGCTGGCGAATGAAAATTTGAATGAATTGAAATGCAAATTGTTCGAGTAAATAAACATTTTGGGGGAAATCGGGGTTGACTTAAAGACACAGAGAGCGCGATGCAGTGTGAAATCGGAAATTCGCGTCTCCTTCACGTGTCCGCTCTGATTTGGCTCTCAACGTTCTTCGGGATGCATGTTTGTCCGCAGGACGTGGCAATAAAATGCATCGACAGTTTCACTTCTATTACGATATATATTTCTATTCGATTCCCAAGTTTCAGCTGCATAAGTACAGCCTCCCTCCACCAAGGCCGCTGTCCCTTACTCAATAAAACTTTTTGATTTCCGCTCAAATAGACGAAACTTTTTAATGCGGATGTTCTGCCAGCAGCAGAGGAGCGGAAAGGCAGGAGAGAGAGAGAGAGAGAGCGGTGTAAAAAGTGGAAAACGAAAACGAAACGAAATCAAATCAAACCAAATTGAATCGAATCGAATCCAAGGCAAAACAAAAGGCGTCGCCGAGAAGGAGGAGAGAAGGTGGAGGAGGTTTTGGGGGCTGTGGAAAACAGAAATTTAAATGTAGAATCAGAATCAATACCGAGAAGACTAAACACCTGCCAAATCGCCCTCAGTTCCATTTTAATTCAATTGGATTACTTTTCACTCGCATGCCCAAGGGGTGGGGTGGGGTTTTCCCCCTTCTTTTTTTTGTTTTGTCATTTCCATTCTGAGAGGGGCTTCCAATGGCTGGAGGTACGAAAATCGCCACCCCGGGGACACTTTCCACCAGATTCCGTCGCATCGCGTGGGGCTTCTTTATCGTTTTTGCAAATTCCCGATTAATGCACTCTCGACAGCGAAAAAAGCACCAACACCTCCAGCGCTTTTCACCGCCTTTTCTCAATCACTCAAATGGCACGAGAATTCAAAACAAAAGTTAAACAAAACTGAGTAAAAAAGTAAACAAATGAATGGAATGAATGGTGAATGATAAGAGATTGACTAATTAAACACAAAGGAAATGCATTTTCTATAGCATTAACCCTTAACTTAACCCTTTGTCAAACTGGGCTAAGAATAGACCACCTACCCCGTAGTAAGAGCTAAGTGAAAAGGATCCAACAAGCCCCTTTCATCCGAGTTTTCCAACTAGCAAACCTATCTGGACACCAGTCGAACCCCTGAAAGAACCTCCCCATGACAAAACCTTCGATTAACCCCGACTTGGAGGAGGATAAGCGGCGAAGGCGAGCCATTAACAACCTCAACTGCACTTAAGCCAGGGAACACGAGACGCCAACCAAGTGGGGGATGCATTCAGCATCTCCACATCTCAGTCGAAGTGTAATGCAGGACCTGGCATCGCTCGTGCCAACTCCTCGAGATTCCGCCCGGTCGAGAGGAGGAGGGGTACCAGATGAAACCGAATCCCCAGCCGAAAACGGAGACAAAGCCAAACGGCAGCGAGAAGGAAGGGCACAATCACCGGAAGAAACACTGTGGAGAGGCTGCCGGGGATGCAGCTGGAATCTGATAGGAACATCATCTCGAGCATATCCGGCAAGTGCAAGTGCGTGGAGGTAGATTCCGCATTATGTCGGGGATTACGATGGAGGAGGAGGCAGGCGGAGTGAAAGCGAGTGTTGACGCTTCCAGCTGCGGGGTTAATAAGCGATATAAGCGACGCGATAACGAGTTCTGGAGTACACGAAGTGCTCTTCTACTCCGTGCCCCTCTCTTGCAACTCCACTTTCGGATACAAGTCCCTCAATGGGGATTAAGCTGCTGATGAGGATGCACTGAGGAAAAAGTCTTAATCAGAGATATATTTCTTAAAAAACTATCTGTAAAGTTAAAGTTAAGGATCTAAGTTAAGTTCTTCCTTAGGTAAACTAAAGCTTAAGGGAATCTATAAGTTTACAAAAAGAAAGTACAAATTTCTCCAAGTGAAAGTCCCAAACCTCTTTGACCCTCCTGTAACCCCTCGTCGCTTTAGAAGCTGCCTTTGTATTCGCCTGCTAATGGATGTGACAAGGCATGTCCTGGCTGATCCTGCGACGTTCCTGATTAAGTGCAACTTTGACGTGGAACGGTTTAATTGCTGGAACACCCAGGCAGCTGCCCCCACTCCCTGCTCCCTTCCCTGTCCTCCATTAATGAGCTATAGATTTGGCATTCATCCCTCGCCTTCTTGCGGGGAAATCCTTTGACTCGGGCCAAAGGCCTGTTCCTGGGCAAGCAGAGTGATTCGATCTCGGTCCGATCCATGTGCAAATTCGATCATTTCAATCTGCTTTCCATGTCCTTTGCCTCTGCCTTGGCATCTGCCCTCCCCAGCAGCACGCGCATCCTTTTTGTAAACACCAGGACAAAGGACTCTGCGCACACACACATGTCGTCCCGACAGGAAGCGCACTGATTGAGGGCCAAATCTCTAGACCTCACCCTCCATTTATCGCTGGAATCCTTGGGCCGGGGAACAGATGTTTCCATTGAGGACGAGGACCAAGACAGGAACGCGTGTGCCGCCAGCAAATCGGAAGTGCATCCCCCAGCCCTCTCCTGCTCCTCTTTGATCTCGCTCAGCATTTAACCTACGGAATAGTTTTGGTTTTCGGTGCCTCGAGATTTATTATTATTATCCTTCATGGTGTGCTTCCCCCGAACCCGATTGTTTTGCATCCCAATTAGGGGACAGAGGTTTGACCCCCGACAAGTGGGCTCGGAGGAGTCTTGGAATGCCAAGACGGGGAAAGATTTACGTTTATGACATGGAGAAATTATAGGACATTCTTAACATATTTTTTTTCATTTTAAAATATTAACAACTAGCAAAGGTGTTGGAGTTCTCCTTTCAGCATTTAACTTAACAGAACAGAAAACTATCTCATTTTCGCCAGAGAATCCTTATACCCCTTCCTGCCTGGCACCCCTCGCCTGCCCTGTGCTCACTGACCTGTTAGGACGCTGATAAGTTCTTGGCCAGGATCGTGCTCCTGCTCCTTCGCCGACCTGCGTCCATATCGAGTAATTAGATTTTAGAGCCAACCGTGCACTTTCTCTGTGTGTTTGCATCGTGGCCAGGTAAACAGGTTTTTTCGGTGGGCGGACAAGTGGGTGGGAGCATTTTCTAATTAGTGCACCGCAAAATATGAGCCTGACCACCATCAGATACTGCTGCTGCTGCCGCCGCCTGGCCCCATAAATCCCGACCTGGCTGGCAGCCGGAGGTTCAATTAAATTTCGACTTGCGAATCAATAAACCAGCAACATTTTCAACACAATTCATTTAGCGTCCGGCAGGAGGAGCTGTTTGAGCCAGGAGGAGCTGGAAGAGCAGGAGGACAAAGGGACAGGAGCAGGATCAGGAGCAGATGTGTGCACCTGGAGGAAATCAAAGAGCCGAGAGGCAGCGGGGGGCAGGGAAAGCGCGTGTGCAACTCGACACCGGAACAAGTGGTACAGCTGGGGAGGAGTAGAAACCAGCACTACAGTCTTACCTCATAGGTAAGGTATAGAAAGGAAAGAAAACTTTCCTTTCCTTGGGTTCTGCTTAGCCTTAGTCCACTGTACTTGGCGCTGTCTGCTTAATGCGCAGCGAGGAAAACATTTGGCAGCAGTCAGTTTGATGGAATCAGTAGAAAGCAGCCCAGAGAATGGAGCCAAGAGAAAGGGGCCCAAAGAAAGGGCCATAAGCCAGGAGGCACGCGCAACTGCCGCAGGGGCAGCAAACAACCGCAGAAACTCCTGCTCCTGTTTCACAAGTTGGGACAACAACAGGAGCCAGGAGGAGCCGGCAGGGGCAGCCGCACGGACAATGAGCTCGACATCCTGTCGGCGAACGAGGGCATCGGCAAGTCGGCGCAGTGCATTAATTGGTTCAGTGATTTTTTTATGGCCAACTGGCAGCGTTTCGGTGTTCGGTGTTTGTTGGGGGAAATGAGAAAACTGGAACAGGAATTACCCGAACCTCGTCGAACCCCGAGCCCAGGACCTGTCGACCGCAGGCACAGGATAATCGAAGTGTTGCAGTTCCCTGGAAAGGGGAGAAAGGGAAAGGGAAGGGGAAAGAAGAAGAAAGGAACAGGACTGCAGCCTGTCACATGTTTGTAGCAAAGATGCAGCCGTGCTGATAAAGAGGAAAGCCAAGGATGCACCACAAGATAGGGTAGCACTGAGAGAAAAATAATCTTTTTTTACTCTATCAAACTCTCTAGATATGACTGTCTGGAGAGGGAACTGAGACTTGGAACAGTATATACTTCAACTTCTTAATCCCAATCAGAATTTTACACAAACTTAATCAAAGGAACCCCCAATTTGTCTCAGTGCACTTATCCTTGGCCCGAACAAGTCTCAGCTGCAGTAGAGAGCCGGGAAAGAAGCCGGGCTAACGAGCGGAAAACACGATATTACAAGACCATGCCCATAACTCGTGGCCCAGCAGCAGCAAGGACCTCGAACCCCGAACTCAGATCTCTTAGCCAGGACCTCTGGCACGCTTCTCATCCTCGCAGCATCGACAGATGAGATGGTGGAGGAGGAGGGGAGGGGAGGCTGCGACAAATCTCATTAAAACTGAATCGAAATGGTAATTCGAGTTGTTCACAAACAGATCCCGATGCAACTGCGATTCCGTTTGCGATTGAGTTGATAGCGCCCAGAACCCATGTGTGTTTGTGTGCTCCTTATCCGCGTCCTGCCATCCCTGCCATCTCTGCATCCTTATCCTTCGACCCTGCCAAAGACTTTGTTTGCCAAGATGCCTGGTGGAGGGAGGGAGGGAGGGGGGGTGAGTAAGGGAGTGCCACAAGGGGCAAGGTGTGATTTAGCTGCCGCCATTGTCTGCAGGAAGTGCTGCCTGTGTTTGCCGCTCGGTTTCGAATGCGGGCAGGTGGTTTTGAGCGGTTCCGAATGGTTCCATGGACGGGGGTGCGATATGCCAGGGGCACGGGGCTGCGACTTCCAATCGACTGAAGGCCCCTGTCTACTTGAGCCTAATTGCAATCTAAGTGCTTGGCTGCTGTGTCCCCGCGAGTCAATAGACCTTAAAGGAGCCTCGTAGTTGCAGTTTAAAATGTGGATGACTTTGAATGGAATTCAAGTCTAATAAGGAATAGTTGTTAGATATAATAAGGCCTAAGGAAAGTAAAAATGTTAGGAGTTGGAAGGATAAATCATATTTTAGTAAAGTCATTATGTTTATGGGTTGGAGTAGGATTGTTAGGTTGGGTAGGAGTGTTAGTTCATCATTCTGCAAAAGCCAAGTTCAGCTTCTAATAAGTTAGTTAATAACCTTTAGTTCTTCTTCTATTAACTCAAACTCTAAACCAATAATAACCAATATTGCAATAGCAATGCCAATGAAGGAGGCTCTAACTGTGGGAACCGAACATTTGCCACGGGCCATTACGAAATGAGAAATTTCCCAGCTTTTCCGATTACCATCCCGCACTCTGCGGGGCTGTCATCTTGATTTGACTTCGGTTTTCCATTCGACCCTTCATGTATTTCAATTAATAAATGATGACAAAGCAGTGCGATGTAGTCAGAGTCAGATTATGACATGCGGATTAGGAGTGATTATGAAAAATTACATTTCAATTAGGGGAAAAGTGAATTTTATTTATTCAAAAATCAAAATATGCAACCCGCATGAAGGGTTGTTCAGGGGCTGATTGAGTGGCAGTGATTGGGTGATTGATAGATGGCTGGATGGACAGTGGCAGGAATTCAATTAAATGCAGCGCCAGTGTCGCTTTTAATTAGCCCCGAACTACGGATTAGTCCCCTGTCCACCGCGGAAAATCTTGAAATCTGAATATCTGAGAACTACGCACGGAAAAACTGAGCAGCCTTTTCGCTCTGCTACTTCCTTTCACAACTTCTCGCGATTGTTTTCCATTAAGCTGAATAATTAGCATTCCGCCTCGCAGCTACGCGAGAAGTTTCCCGCTTTTCCTAGCAGCTTTTTATCGCAGCTACGAAATTGATTTTGACACCTGAAAACTGCACAAACTTCAGGGCGGAAAACTTTCTGGCAAAGAAACTTTTTTCGGGTGCAGCGAAATGGATGAGGCGCCTAACAAAAACAGAATTAAACATAAAGAGCAGGTGATTCCGGGGAGGAGGAGTGGCCACTAGCTGCCCGAGGAAGTCCCACTGAGTTCCATTTGAGCAAATAACTTTCTGTCTCGAAGATTACACGAGCATTACAAGACTTTCGGTGCGACCTGCGGGAGAAGTCGAAATTGCCGTCGAGGCTGATGGGGAATTATGGGTGCCCAGAGGTGGAACTGGGCTCCCTGGTTTCCTCACTGTCTTCTCTAAGCTGTGAAAATGGTTCAGCACTGGAAAAAACTGAAAAGGTAATATGGGTAAAATACGATAAGGTGTCTAAGGAAGAGGTAAGAGGTAATCTTTTCATGTTAAAAGTTCTTTTCAAGCAGTCAGACTTCCTTCTCCTTGAAAGGTGATTACATTTATAAACTTTTCATCTCATTGAGAACTCATTTTATTGCATTCGTTTATAAACGCCAAGATATTTCTCCCTGTGTATGCACTTTGAAATTGATGTGAATGGGAAAGGCGGCATATGTATGTGTGGTTAGATGGGCGGGGCAGCCGCAATTGATGTGGCAATATTTGCTGCACCTTGTTGGCTTCCCCACCCCAACCGACAAGCCACCCACATCCCACCCACCTTCCGCCCACTTTCCTCTTGAGGGAACACGCGTCGTATGCGCAACTTGTGCAGTTTATTGAAAAACTTGCCTAATTTATGGGCCAGAGCAGAGAGAGCAGAGAGAGCAGCAGAGAGAGGGAGGGCCAGCCCTGGAAGACCTTCCGTCTTGTACTTGTTCTTTGACTTTCCCAAGCAGCGACTGACAGGCAATCAAATTATGCCAAGAATGAGCACTGAAAAGCCGTAAACAATCGCAGGGAAACGAACTCGATAAACGCAGTTGAGTTGAAAGTGCGGCGAGAGAATTTAATTGGGGGAAATGTACCCGCTCTGAATGGGAGTTGAATGGAAAAGGAATTAGGAAAAGTGATTTGGCTTCCCCTGATCCCTGATCCCTGATCCCTGATCCATTTAACAAGTTCTCCCGGCAACGGGGATATCCTGCCAAGGGTCATGGCCAAGTCCGGCCTTTCAAAAGCAAAAATCAAACAGATGTACGAGCAGCAGGATAAACAGCCATTCCGATTCAAGAGGACGCTTAATGGCGCAGTAATCAGAAGTCATTATGTGCCAGCAGCAGCCAAGGCCGCGCCGCATCCTTCGCCTTACAAGAGGCGAAATTACGCGTATTATGACCACAAGCAGTGAAGTCCAATAAAGGGGGGCAAATACAGAGAAGAGGCGGGGATCTATAGCCCAAAAAGGGGCGCGTCTCGTTTTCGTCGCTATTAATTTGTTTGTCAGGCCAGGAAACTCAAAATTCGCCACATCATGGTGACCATGAGCCATTAAGTCAGGAAGGGGGCCAAGACAGGGGTTGCCTTTCAGGCCAGGAACTAACCCGCGGATTAGGCCCAACTGCACGCACAGCCCGGAAAAGTGGAAAATCGTGGGGAGGGCCAAGTGCAGGGGCACATGCGTGCAGACATATCCTGGAACCGAATGCCAGGACACGTGCTGCGGCACAAGAAACGAGATTAGTTTCTCCAGGAAAAGGCATTTTCTGAATGTGAGAAGAGCTGGCTGGAGGGAAAGCTATCGCGAGAAAGTGTCACACTGAGAAGGGGAATGGGGATTACCTAAGGGACCCACTAACTTAACTTTAATCCTTTCTTAAGAGCAGGGAAAACCCTAAGATCTTTTCCAAAAAGAATGTTTACGTAAGCATTTACTAAATTTAAGTTTCTGCTTTGGAAAAAGCATTTAAAATTCAAAATTATGAAAGTATTTACGGTCAGAAATCTTTCCTGTATTTATTTTGAAAACATTTTGCCACTTAGCAGCATCTTAGGGAACGAGATGGAGAGCTGGCATTTCAGTTACTTATTTTAATGGCTTTCTTAAATCAGCTAAGTTTGGCATCCCTATAAAAAGCACCCCACTGGGAGGCCAGAAATTAAGTTAATGACTGCTATTTGCACTTAAGAGTTATAGTTTCGCCAGGTTATGCAATTGAGACTCAACTTTGACTCTGCATTGGCAAATCTCATTTCGAAAGTGAATTTCGAAATTGGAAATCTCAAAAATACAAAATGAAATAATATCAGACAGTCGACAGAAGTTCTCGGAATTCGATTAGGCTCTGTCTTAATCATAATTTACCTGATAAATCCATTAATTAACTCGCAGAAAACGAGTTCAAGGAACCATCGTCGAGGGAAACATCCCCATGACTCTGAAGCCAGTTCGGCAGAAAGTTGATTTGAAATATTATTTCAGCAGAAAGCCGAATTGTTTTGTAATAAATTGCCAATCACTCGCTGGCCGTTTGAGGGAAACCACTTACCCCACCAGCCCACAGCCACCCACTCGATTACAGTCCAATGGGAGACCCGCTTCGTCACGGCATCAAGTATAGAACATTATTAAGTGATCCCAAGTCTTGTGGGGATGGCGGTGATTTCGGCTGTTGTTTGTTTACCTGCCCGCCGATTGAAATAAACTCTCGTGCAATCCTCCGAAAATAGATTCGGTTTGGTCTCTGTTGCCCTGCCCAGCTGGGGCATGAGAGGGGGTAGGGGTACCGGAGGGCCTAGGAAAATACGAAAAAAGAAAACCAGAGAAATGCAAATATGTATGATCAGAGTTCTCCTAGGCACACGACGCTACCGATGACGTGGCGCTAACGTCACCGATCCTCTCACGCGCTAAAATCCATTTATTTATTATTTTCGGGTGGGCAATATTTATCTGGCTGAGGCCTGCGGGATTTTAGTGGCTGCATCATAGCCACCGCAGTGACGTCACTTGGATCGCTCAACTGGCAGTCCATCTCCTCCACCTCCTAACCGCCTGTCTTCGGAACAGTGGGTGGTCATTGATGTTCTGGTAAGAAGTGAAAGGCGAGTGCAGAATCTCTCGATGACCTGGTTGATGGACTGGGAACTTGGTCGCTCTGGGGGATTGCTTCTTTTGTCTGCTCCTCGGCTGGCTTTATTTATTTGTATTTAGCGGGAATTGCGCCTTGTTTTTCGCCAAACGCCCCCACATACGGCGAAAAAAAGAGCCCGTAGCTCTGGCCAGTCGATCCACTAAACCCGACACTTGCTGCAAGTTATAGCCCGGTGCTTCCCGGTGGACGAGCTTTTGATGTTTGGGGTCCAATCGATAAACTGGCCATTTCCGACTTTATGTTGCGATCAGATGGTGGGATGAACTCACTTTTTGTGTACTGATTTGATGGATAAACATCGAAAATACCCAAAGAAAAGGCAAACAAGTGTTTATCTTGCTTAGGTTTCGAAATTACCATCAGAGATTATCTTTAAATTAGTTCGCATTTCCATCGATAAACTGGGAAATGCTGTTTAAATAATACTTTAGAGTTTTCCCTCTGCACTCGATAACCAATTAATGGTCAGATTTGCCTGTTATGCGGCCCGAGTGATGAAGGCAGTGCTCAACATCTGCTGACCCCTGTCAGCTCATTAAAGCATATTTAATCGATTCCATATTCCGCTCCCAATCCCCGCATCGACCAGGTGATGAGAGGTGGCATCAGCACTTCCTCTCGCTCACCTCTGACCCATCGAAGTGGTCCAGCCAGGGATTTGTTTTTCAACCCATCGATTCAGCGATTATGGGCTGATTATGGACACGCCAAATCCCCAGCGGAAAGTTCCTTCATATCACAAGTGCTCAAGTGGCGGGCCATGGAAAATCCAACCCTGCGGCCGTCCCCCACACTACCCACTCGTTCCCGGCATCGGAGGCTCCTCCATCACTGCTGATTGACGTCGACAAATTGTATTAAAACCAAGTTAATTGGCATTTCGAGATTTTCAACAATTTCATAAAATTTTACGCCTATCATGTGTCGGGCAATTGGTGTCCCTCCCGCCGGCCTGCCGTCCGTCTGCGCGGCCTGTCTGGCCATTGTTTGTTTTCATAAACACAGATAACTTATTTTCGAAAACGTATTTTTGAATTATTGAGTTTTCCATATACTCTCCGTTCCCCCCTTTCAGATCACGATCTTCTCGTGACGCAAAGTAGTAAATTCTTACGCTCAAACCACGCTGATGGCCTGCGAACGAATGGTTCCCACATGCAATTGCCAGGAGGATTGCGCTCCTTGACCCTGGACCCTTCCCTGTTCGCCAAAATTCCCAAATTTCATTCAGCATTGCGCTGCCGGTGCAAACACACAAATCAATTTGGGCCAAACAGGCATTATAATCACCTGATGACTACAAAAACACAATGAACCTCATTGAGTGGGCATATTTATATTTTGAGCAAACAGTCGTTAAAATCACGCCGCAGGGTGTATTCGAGCCATCAGAAATCAGTTAAATGACTGCGCTTGTTTTTTAAGTGCAGGAAAATTTATTGGGGCATCCCACGTCTTTAGCCAATTCCTCATTTATAAATAGAAAAAGGCTTTCCTATTCCAGTTACTTACATCTCAAGCTGTCGAGTTATTGAATTGCCACTGAGGTGAACCTCCACCTGTGTAAAGGAATTTCAGAAAGGTATGAAAGCAACCCGTAAATTAGCAATGACTGAACTGACTTTGCGGCTCATTGTTTTAAGAAACATAAATATAACATCGAACACAATTATATTTTTGTGTTATGCGGTTAAGAGCATATTTTTCTTGCAGAGAAATCTACAAATAGTTGCATACTTCTAGGCCTCCTTGAGAAAGTTCAGTCATAGATGGCGCTAAACAGAATGTCATTGTTATAACCGAAAAATAATCCGAATATGCAATGTTATACCTCGAGTCTCAAAAAATCAACATTTTCTTCATTACAAAGCCAAAAGTAGTCAGAAAATGGAATGTCATACCTCGTTGATCTTGTCTTTCAATCTATATTCAAAAAAATAACCTGCCATTCAAATCTAAAGAAAAAAATATTTCTTCAATTTTTCGAAAAAAATGTGAAATTTGAAAAAAAATAAACTTTCGGAAATCATCTCCAAAATGAAACAGAAAGTTTGTCTGGGTCGTTAGCTGCAAAAAACAGTATTCCTTTCGGTTGTACCTCTTAATTCGACAAAGTTATAAAAATAATACTAAGGAAAAATGTTGCAAATTTGATTAAAAAGTCAAAATTTTGATTTTCCGTCCAAAATATCAGTATTTTCTTTATTACGGAGCTAAAAATGATCATAACATGGAATGTTATACCTCGTTGAGTTCGTATTTAAATTCCCCGTCGAACTGTGTACCACACTCAAAAAGTACATTTTTTGAGTTTTTCTGGAGATTTTTACGAGGTTCAAAAAATGCGAAAACCGGTCTGACCCGATTTGAGGCACGAAATATCAGTATTTTGTCTATAACAAAGCTTAAAATGGTCGGAAAATGGAATGCCATATGTCGTTAGGCTTGTTTTTCAATCTTTTTTCAAAATATTCAAGTGCCATTCCAATCTGAAGAAAAAAATATTTTTTCAATTTTTCGAAAAAATGATGATGGTACCCTTACAAAAAAAGTCAAATTTTACAAAAAATTTAATTTCCGAAAATCATCTTCATACCCAGATAGAAAGTTTGTCTGGGTCGTTAGCTGCAAAAAACGCTGTTTCTTTTGGTAGTACCACTTAATTTGACAAAGTTTTAAGCATAATACTGGGGAAAAGTATTGCAAATTGTACTAAAAAGTCACAATTTTGATTTTCAGCCCAAAATATCAGTATTTTCCTCATTACGGAGCTAATAATAGTCGTAACATGGAATGTCATACCTCGTTGAGTTCGTATTTAAATTCCCCGTCGAACAGTGTACCACACTCAAAAAGTGACTTTTTTGAGATTTTTCGTAAATTTTTATGATATTCAAAAAATGCAAAAACCGATTTGAGGCTTGAAATATCAGTATTTTCATCATTACAAAGCCAATAATGGTCGGAAAATGAAATGTAATATGTCGTTAGGCTTGTTTTTCAATCTTTTTTCAAAATATTGAAGTGCCATTCAAATCTGAAGAAAAAAATATTTTTTGAATTTTTCGAAGAAATGAATGAATGGAAGTGAAATTTGACAGAAATTTTAATTTCCGAAAATCATTGCCACAACCACATAGAAAGTTGGCTTGGGTCGTTAGCTGCACAAAACAATCCTCACTATATCTGTGCGTCTTATTTTGACAGAGTTATAAGCATTTTACTGGTAAAAATATCGCGAATTTTACATAAAAGTCATTATTTTGCTTTTATGGTTAATATATCAGTATTTTCCTCATTACAAAGCAAAAAATTATCACAGCATGAAGTGTAATACCTCGTTGAGTTCGTAATTTAATTCCCCGTCGAACTGTGTCCCACCTCCAAAAAGTATATTTTTTACATTTTTCGTAAATTCATAGTTTACAAACATTTGTCAGTCCTCAGAACTGCCGCATAACAGTCTGGCTTTAGTGGAGCGGTAAAATTTTTGTATATTTACATATATTTTAAACTATTAAAACAATAATATTTCACTCTACTTTCGAGTTTTCCACATCAGAAAAGGGTGTTTGGGCCATGAAAATATCTCCATAGGGATTGTGTGGCTTTTGACTCTCGCGATCATATTGGGAGCCAATTGCCCAAAGTGACTCCAGATCGTATTCCTCCCGAGCACTCGGTGAAAATATATGCAAAGCAATGTTACCTACAAGATTGGAGGTTTTAAAAAAAATATCTGGGATCTAGACCCGTTTGAAAACCTACCCAAATCCATTGCCATCCAGTCCCGGCTCGTACCGCCCTCGATGCGAGGTAGAATATCGCCCTTGGACCGCTTGATCTTGAACATGCGACGAACAAACTCCGCCGTGGATAGCATGTGCCGGTAGCTGCGACCACTGCAAACTACCAAATGGTCCACGTATTTCAGGTTCTCTGGCACATAGCAGACGAATATATCGTCGACATTCTCCTTGCGCAGCAACTCTACTAAATCCTCAACATCGAACACACCGCGAACACCACCTGTAAAAAAGATTTGGGTTTTTATTTAGGTTTCTTCCTGGGGATTCCCAGCTTACGCTTTAAATTCAAGCCATTATAGAGATCCTGATCCAGTTCGGAATCGTCTGAAATCTGCTGCTCTTGGTGGCGTGCCTCCTCCACATCGAAAATCTCCGTGGCTTCCTCGTCCCGGAATATTTTGTACTTGTCCTGCACGCCGGCAACCAAATTTTGACCATGATTAACTTTACTTTCCTGGGTCTTTGCGGGCTCTTGAGGCGGTTTGGAAAACTCGTGGTGGAAGCAGCGAAGGACAGGCACACTCAGACGATTGTCATGAACCAATCGAAAGACGCGGGTTAGCATTTTGGTTCAGTTTACTTATATTAAGTAACAAGTTTAGCACACAACAAATATCTTTTTATTCGATACTTTTAAGGCTACTCGATATTTCACACTACTGGAAATCGATAGAGCCCACTGTGGCCCTTACGGCAGGTTTTGAATTTGGGCCTCTTCTTGTTGTTAAAAAATATTTAAATAAGAAAGGCACTATTTTTTCAAGTTTAAGTTTATTTTAACTTATGGGTAAATGAAGATGCTCAATTTAAAACAATAAATAAAGTACAAAATTAAGTGTAGACACGGTATTTTTATACAATACCATATCGCGTTAGAGCTGATGCTTCGGGTAACTGCTTTTGCGCCGCCTGGTCACTTTGAATAGTTTTCCAGCTCTGAAATTAACCAGCCGCCTGATAACCAAATTAAAAGTTATTAAATCGCAGCAAAGTGTGCACAATGAGCGAGCAGAAAACGAGTGGGTCGTCTGCGGCCCGTCAGCAAATTGAGGCCGAATACAAGATCAAACGGCCGGAATGGCACCGATTCTACAAGGTAAATGGCAACAACAACAGTGACAATCGTCGATTGCAACCGTCCAATTGCACAAAAAACTAGCAAAACCTGGGGATAACCAAACGTGACTAAGGTTAAATCCGCAAAGGACTCGGAACGGATTCAAAGTACACTCCTTCTGAAAGTTCCTTTGGCGGTTCGATTTCCACGAAAATGTGATGAGTGCGCAAAAGGCTTCTGCAGATGCCTCCACCACCAATACATTGGCAAGCTTTTTATGTGTGTGTGCCAGTGTTGTTGTTGCTTCGCCAGCCAGGCTTTGACCAAAAACAAAAAACACTGAAAAAGAATGTACAAACAGATTCTCGCCAGCGCACACACACACATGCATTTACTTGCTCACCTGCTGCACTTTGCATTCTCTGTACAGCGAAGACATGTATGTGTGTGTTTGTGTGTATTTGGCATATTTATGCTTGCTATTTTGCTATACCTTTCCCCAAAAACGATTTCCTTTGACTATCAATAGAGCGTTGAGCTATTCCGCGAATTCCCGTTTGGCTAAATCAAATTGGAGGCGATTTCTGGGAAGAGCATTTGTTGTTGTGATTGCCTTGGCCCCCAAAAACAAAATAAATCGAGGAGGGGTGACAGTGCTCTCCACTTAAGAACTCCTCACACACACAGAGACACAAGCTAAGTGGAAGAGAGAGGCTCACGCACACAGGGGCACAAAGGGCATGCGTCTGGTTTTTGAGTCTCGCTTTGGGCTTCTTCTTGTTGCCTGTCGGAATCAGAATCCTCTCCTCCACCTCCTGCTCCTCCTCCTCCACTCTTGCTGCTTTATAGCCAGTTCCGGCGAAATGTGTCTTCAGCTGCTCCTCCTCTTCCTACTCCTCCTTTCTCTTCCAGTGCTTCCACTTACTTGAATTGGGATTTCACGGAATTCCACTCCGCAGTTAGGATGACACAGTGTATACAAGTTTCTGGGCATCCTCGTCCATCATCCTTTGCTGCGGCACCGAGGATAATCTAATTTTCCAGCTAACTGAAAAGGAGTCTGCTCGCAATTGTGCGTCGCAACTGGCTGGAAAAATTGCTGTCAGCCATTTCTATTGAAATACAGTCCAGCTTGACTAAGTCGAATTTATGCGGAATAACAGTATTTAAAACTGGGTTTACGCCAAACCGCTCAATATTCCGCGAAAGTAGAAGCATCAGAAATTCAATCAAATTTTAAAATTCATCAAAATTCAAAATTATTAAAAAAAAATAAAACATTATTATTCATAGCTGCCATCATTTTTGAGCAGCAATTGTCGAATTCAAAGAATTAAATATTATTCAGCTTGGCATAGATCCATTTCGAAGTATTAAATTCAAAATATATTTAAAACAAGAATATGTTCAATTCATACAAATATTGACTAATTTCTAGGAAGTTCGTGGGTCAAAATATGGCATTTTTATAGATTAATCGAGGAAAGACCTATCTCAATGTTTTGAATCATATTCCTAAATGAAAGTGAATCTTCGTTAAAAACAATTCTATAAATAATATAGAAAACATACAGATAAGGTGAGCATTGGGATTATTGTATTCCCAAGGCAGCTTTTAAATCAATTAATATCTAAGGAATGGTAATAGTGGTTTAATAGTCGAACTCTACTGTATTTAAGATTCGCCTAACATAGTGAGGTCGTGCTGTAGGCCGAAAACGCAATGACGCATTCGGATCGTATTGTTTTGTTACGCTTTTTGCGCATTTTATGTATAATCATTTCCATTGAACGCACTCCCGTTAGTGGGTCTTCTCCTCTCTGCGGCCTCTTGTCCCACCCTAACTGCTTATCAGCTTACACCTAGCGCCTTCTCGATCTATCCTTTCCATCATCCCACCCATTCCATTCGCTCCATTATGACAACCTCGTCGTCTGTGACGAAGCCTCTTTGCTACCCTGCATCTCTGGCAGAGGGAATGGTGATCTTAGTCAGCAGTTGGTAACAACATAAATCTTAATCTGATTCAGATTTGTCCCCGTATAAGTGATATTACAGCTTACGGATTAATTATCAACTACCTTAAAGATTCAATTGCACGGTATATAGAATTCGGTTTGACAAAGCCAACTGCTTCTTCACTGCAATTATGTTCTGCGTGCATGCAATGTTTTTGTTTCTGTTTCTCGCTTTTCTTCGAGCGGTGCAATGCAAAGCAGAAAAAATAATACAACTGCTGGCACGACACGCTTTGGAAATTCAAGCCTCCAAGAGCAGTGCCCCCGTCACCGCCTCCGCTTGTATATCGCCAATCCGTTTAGAAGGGTCACCTGGATAGCCACAGAGCATAAAAAACATTTTGTAGCTGCGGTAAACGGCCCAAGACTTAATGTTTGATGGAGCTGAAGAACTGATTTCTCTTTCTTGAAAAAATTAAAATACAGGCGGGATTTTAAAGACATCAACAGTTAAGACTGTGTTTGATAATATTTACATAATAGCGAATTTTGAATCAAATGTCGGAGTTGAATTGGATCATTTCATCATGTATTTATAAAAGGTCCAGTTTGACATGGTATAGCAGACAGCGAAAGCAACAGATGGCAAACATGTTTTCTGAGAACTAGACAAAGCCTTTATCATTGGCAAATATTTGAATAAAATACCCCATAATCAGTGAACATTCTCACGTGACTGTTGATAATAGAAAAAACTTTGAATTGATTAATACCGAGGAATATATAATGCAGCAGCCTTAGCTTACTTTCCGTTTCTAATGAATTATCAATAGCACAAGATAGCGACTCGGTAATATTTCTCTCTAAAACTTTCGCTTATCGGACATTGCCCTACACCAGATTTAGAGATTACGTAAGAAATTAGAGTGCTTTCATAACAGCAAGCCAAACTCTCGTATTTTCAAGCTCTGCAGCTGATTCACTTTTGAAACATGACGAACTGACAATTAACAACTGAGTTTCGAGCTGCAATCAACGCGAGCTGCTGCTGCTGGAGAAACAATATAAAATCAAATCCCGCATTCTGGTTACTCATCATCGCATGCATGTGATTAACTTGTCCAGTGGCCAAAAAAGCTACGTTGACTTTGAGCCGAGTTTGAGGAACGGAACACTTGTCATCGCCAGGGTGGCGCCATTGACCTTGCTAGGTGTTCAGTGTTCGGTTGGCGGATTCGATAGCTCGATTGTCCGTGGTATTTTACAGCTGCGCCAGCAATTATACATACATTGGGCTGATAAAGCCGGCACCGGTCGTCATGCCCAAGATAATGCCATTAACGACAGCCTGTGTTGCCATCGCTTGGCTTATTAGTCACGCCCGGTTCGTTGGCTGGGTGGGATTCGGTGTTCCGGAGGGTTCCCTCCTAGGCAAGTACCTACACCTATCTCTACTATTGGTGCAGCAGGAGGGTTTGGCAACCCAGCGAACCCAAGCGGTGAATCACAGGCAAATGGGGCAACCCCCATGACAAAAGACATACGATTTCTGAGTTTAAATTGCTAAACGCTTGTGATTTGCAAAGTTATGAATGAAATATACCCGGACCCGAGGCTATCAACTCATGCATGACACTTGGAAAGTCTGAATAAAAACTGATGATTTTGTTTCGTTTACAAAGAATTTCAGTCAGACAAAAATGTAACGAACTTTTCTGTTTATCAGAGCATTATAAAATATGTATCTCTTCTCGGAAAACCATGTATGAGTCTAATCTTTATGGAAATCAGATGGGTCTTGCACCACTTTGAATGTATGTCATATTAAGACTTAAGAAATTTATAAGAGACTAACAAGAAGAATAAATTTTATTGCATTATATTTTGAATCCAACAAATAAGTTTAAAAACTTTTTTGCCATAACGTTGGTTTTAAAGAATTTCATTATAGGTCTATTGAAGAAATGTTCATGAATATCCCATAAGATTCCCGGCAAATTGATAACTGAAAAATATATTATTACGATTAGACTAATCGCTTTTTTGAATTCCAGGAAATTTGCGAGACCTGCGACAGAGAGGCTAAGGAGAAAAATTTCTGCACCTCGGAATCGGAACGTCACACAAATCGGGGCCTGAATCGCTATCGGGATGTGAACCCGTACGACCATTCCCGCATTGTTTTGAAGCGTGGCAGCGTGGACTACATCAATGCCAACCTGGTTAAGGTGTGTTAGGTATTTTGATATGTTCAATGGCATCCGTTCTAATTTTCTTTCTTTAGCTGGACCGTGCCGACCGTCAGTACATTCTTACCCAGGGACCGCTAGTGGACACAGTCGGTCACTTCTGGCTTATGGTCTGGGAGCAAAAGTCCAGAGCGATTCTTATGCTCAATAAGCTGATGGAGAAGAAGCAGGTTAAATGCCATCTATACTGGCCCAACGAAATGGGAGCCGAAAAGGCTCTGAAGCTGCCTAATGTTAAGCTTACGGTGGAGCTCATCCGCTGCGAGACCTACCAGAACTTTGTGCGGCGATGGTTCAAGTGAGTGACTCAGTTTGTTTCTACCTTTTAATATTGACTAATTGCTTCTGGCTTTATAGGCTAACTGATCTCGAAACGCAACAGAGTCGCGAGGTGATGCAGTTCCACTACACAACGTGGCCGGACTTTGGCATACCCAGCTCACCGAATGCATTCCTTAAGTTCTTGCAGCAGGTTCGCGACTCCGGCTGCCTCAGCCGCGAAGTCGGTCCTGCCGTAGTTCACTGCAGCGCCGGTATTGGGCGCTCAGGCACCTTCTGCCTGGTAGACTGCTGCCTGGTCCTGATCGATAAATACGGCGAGTGCAATGTGTCCAAGGTGCTCTGTGAGCTGCGCAGCTACCGCATGGGCCTGATCCAAACCGCCGACCAGTTGGACTTCTCGTACCAGGCGATCATCGAGGGCATCAAGAAGCTGCATGATCCCGTATGTATGCGCGACCAGCGGCCGGCGTTTGGGAGCCAAGTTTGGGGGCTGCCAAGCGCCGCCGTTTACATTGGAGATCTTCCTTATTTTGAGGTGTCGCAGAAATGTCCAGCGACTGTGACACCACTTAGATGCTTTATTTTTTTTTTTAAATATTTTTTGATGGCCACAGTTGAGTTTGTTTTTTTCTTATATGCATCTTTTTATGCAAAATTCGAAAATTGAACAAGTTTTCGTTATCGTTTTCAAGACTATGAGCTATTATTAGTTTAATGCTTCAGTTTAAAACCATTAAGATTAATATTGCAATCAAAATTAATTTTATTTTTTTCATTGATGCAAAGGAAGTGGAATTGATTTTCGGTTGGTAGAGATTTCTGTGACAGCCCTGATTATTATACAAAACCAATAACATTCGCCAACTCCCCATACAGACCTTTCTGGACGCTGAGGAACCCATCATCAGCAACGACACAGACACCCACACACTGGATGAGCTGCCACCGCCATTGCCGCCTCGCGTTCAATCGCTTAACCTGCCACTGGCCCCTAATTCCGGCGGCATACTCTCGCTTAATATGCGCGCAGCCCAGGCGAATGGAGCTGAAAATATCGGAGATCTGATCGGCGAAAAGTTAAGCAAGGATGCTCTAAACAACTTCATTAATCAACACGATATGATCCACGATGCGGAGGTGGCAGACAGCCGTCCTTTGCCGCCGATTCCCGTCAGAGCTCTTAACGAATCAGATAGCGATGAGGATTACTTGTTGGATGACGACGATGAGGACGATTCAGATGAGGATGAGGAGTATGAGACCATTAACGAACACGACACCGAACCAGTTAATGGCCTTGTGCCCCTGACGACGACTCAGCCGCACGCCGACGATGTGAATGCCAATAGCGAAAAGCCAGCGCCAGCCGAAGAACAACACAAAGCTAACGGAATTGATCCAGTATCAGGCCAGCTCCCAGCCAGGTAAATTTTAAGACCTAATCCCGCACATCAAATCCTCAGTGCATTTATGTTTGACGAACTTTCTAAAACGCCCCCTTTTATCCTTTTTAGTCCCGAGAACGAGCTGAAGAGGCGAAAACGCAACGAGTACCAGGCCAGCCTGGAACAGAAGGTCAACGACATTAAGCGGAAGCAGCGGGAGAACGAGGACAGCCAGCTGGCGGCAAAGAAACGAAGGTCATTACTCACATATATTGCCGCTGGTGTTGTGGTTGGCGTGATCTGCGCCTACGCATACACGAAGCTAGGTTAAGTGCCCTGTAGCCACTAAGTAGCCGTAGACCAGTAGTAGCAATAGCTGTATGACGTATTTAGTTGCCGTAGGACACAGATTCCTCCCCTGATGTCCGATTTCCGACTACCGATCCTCACCAGCTCGTCCGCCTGGCCTGGCATTTAATGTGGGCACAAATCAAGGACGAGACTCGGATCGGTTAGGATCAGAGATCGGATGGAATCGCACCGCAATCACCCATGGATTGTGGCGGATCGAGCTGAACGAACGATACACGATGCATAAATATTAGGGAATTTTTTACATACAAAAAACAAATGAACTTAAAAACATACAAAAAAAAAATGAATCGTGCAACTAAACTAAACGAGAATCGGGTAGAAATCACGTCAAATGTAGATTTTGCGCAATAGACTGACATTTTAGAACAAATTTATTTTCTACACTTTTTAAATGGATTGATAACAGACCAGATCCCCCAAGAAAACCACACCAAATGCTAAATTCACCTTGCTCGCTTACACGCTCGCTATGCAATAAAGTTGATATAAATATTATAGTTACCAACGATTCAAGCACCACGACATCCACACCCCCACTCACGCGCTTCACTTGTTGTTGTACAGCAATTTCTTATAGCATACGACCTATGTATATTTATTTATGAAGATTTATGAGAAACGAACACTTGTTGTAGTACATGGCAAAAATATAAAGTGCAGCAACGTGCCAAAAAGAAACGAAACGAAGAGTTGTATGAAAGCCCTTCATGACCTTAAATTTTACTTTGCCGCCCGCTCCGAACTAGCTTTGAATTGTTGTGTTTTAAACTACTTTCTTCTTTGAAAAGCACTTTTTTAAAACAAATAGAATACAGCGCCATTAAAGCAATAATATAATGAAAAGTAAACAGCACAAAGTACACCTATATCTCGTTTAACGTTTTATGATCAAAATTATTGATTTTTATATATGACCCCAAGTATCTAAAATCAAAATAAAGTGATTATTTTCTAAATTGTAACCTTGGACTTGGAAAGTTGCATATTAAATTAAATTAAAAACATTTAACTAAGTCGCTAAGCGAAGTATAGGTGTATGATTTAATGATTTTGTAACGAAGGTTTTGTCATAGCAAAATCATTTTGTATTCAAAAACGACGAGGAAAAATCCGGAAAACTATTCAATGGTTTTTCCAGTAGTGTAAGTGTGTAACCCCAATTCCCAAAAACATATTTACATAAACGTGCAGCGTAAGAGAGCGCAAAAATTCGACAAGAATTATTTTTTATATGTGTAACCCACAATTTAACAAAAATTCAAGTATAACCACCCACGAAAACGAGGCAGAACGAATATGAAAGAAATCGGATTAGCCAAGGAGGATAACTAATAAACGAAAATACATATTTATATTAATTATATTTAACAGTAACAACATGAACAATACCTATAGTAATGCCTAGTTAACTGAACGTCGGCTAAGTACACAATCCATACACTGAAAAAAAACGAACACCACACAAAACAAACCAACACAAGTACTATATATAATGCCTATGAGAGAATGAAAGGAGAAGTGAGAGAAAGTATTCAAATAAAGCTATTCATTTAAGACACGAAAAATGCGAATCGCTTGAACTTGGCGTATTTTTTACCGTCATTCATAACATGTTTCCATCTCTCTGTTTTCAGACGCGAAAATCGACACAAAAAGTCCAAGACAAAGTAACTGCACAGCCCATCCAGTCCAGCACCAACACAAAGAAACAAATTAAACATATCATTTTGCATTATTGTAGCTTCTAATGCCGAAATAAATATTTTTGAAATTACGAACCAATTTCAAAGTGTAACGCTCATTTATCGATGAATCTACGAACTGCCCAGCTGTTATGCAATATTTGCAATGTGACCAAACTTTTAAATAAACTGTTATTTTTTTTTTTAAGTTTTAGTTAAAACTGATTTAAATAGCAAACTATTTGAAAGAAAGAGACTAGTTTTTAATGCATTAACTATATATAAGAAATGGTATAATTTAAATGAATTAATATAAATTTATTTAGTTGATTTGATTTTCACCATCTGGCAACACTGCTATTTAGTAACAGATCTGTTAAGTCCGATAACCACCATTTTGCAGCTCTGATGCGAACGACAAAAAAAAACGTGTGCACGTTTATTTTATTATTCTAGTTTTGTTTATTGAAAAACTAAGTGAAAATATGGCCAGTAAAGTAAAAAAATTGGTGCCATGTGATCATTGCGGCCAAAGCAATGAGGCGAAACTCGTTCTTACAACCCAGAAGGTCTTTCTGGACAAAAAAATGATAGAAATACTGGAGACCATTACACACAGAAGCGTTAGTTAAAAAGAGCGGCATTCTGATTTCCCAATCTGACCCCGACCCTTTCCCTTTCAGATCCCGGCCAACGCTCCTATTAAGATTTGCTTCCTTTGCGCATCTTCATTAAGGTCCGCAACAGGCTTGATTGAGCGGATCTGTGATATGGTAGAGAGGATCCTAGCGACGTCCCCCAAGAAGAGCAAAGCCAGCAAGGCAGCGGAGAAGGCAGAAGACAGTGAGGAACAGGCACAAGAAATTGTGGATCTCACTTCAGAGGCCAAGAAGCCGGTAAAGGCACAGAAGAAAAATACAACTATTCGTCAGCGCAGCAAGTCTATAGCCGCATTCCCTGCAAGCTCTACCGTCTCAGATTTTGCACTACAGGAGTCATTTAAGGAATCGCCCAAGAAACTCGAAGGAACTCCCAGGAAGTTACAATCCCGACTTCTTGAAGATAATCTCGACGATTCCGTTAAGCTAACGCCAGCTAAAAATGTTTCGTCCACAAAGAAGGTTTTCCTAAATCTATTTGGCAACGGAGATAACGATGCCATTGAACTGCAGACAGAGAGCGAGGATGATGAAACCGGTGGCGAAGCACCCATTGCAGTCAATACTAATAGATTCCAGTGCTCATTATGCGAGTTCCAGGCAAAGTATCCCAATCCCTTCAAGGATCACTTGCAAAAAGTACATGGCCAGCAGCGACCTCGCATATACCCCTGTCCCCTTTGTACCAAGAACTTTGGAGTGCTTAAGACACTTAAAGATCATTTGAAGGTTGTTCACTCACGCACTTTGGAACCGGAGGCCAAGGCCAAGACGAAGGATAACAAGAAAAAAGAGGCTAAGTCTGAGGAGAAGCAGATAGAAGAACCAAAGCCAAAAGAGCCCAAAACTAAGACCCCGAATGATGAACCAAAGGAAGTATTGTCTAAGCCAAAAAAGACAGAAGACAAAAAAAAGATCAAGTCGAAGGATACGCAAAAAGAGGGCAATTCAGCAGAGGAACAAGATGTGAATAAAGCTAAGTTAGCTAACAAAGAAAACGCAGACGCGACACAGGAGCCTAAAGTCGCTTCATTTAAAGCCCTTAATGAGTCCATAATAAAAAAGAAATTGTTAGAAAACGTAATAGACTCTGATTACACATTCGCCGTCAACGGTTCCAGTGCTTCTACTCCAAGAGCCGAGTCCTCCGATTTTCAGTGCGAGATTTGCGATTGCGTGCTGCCAGTGGCCAAACAGATGCAGGAGCACATGAAGCTCGCACATAATATAGATAAGCCAAAGGTATTCAAGTGCCAAGTTTGCGAGAAGAGCCTAGCTACTAAACAGTCGCTTAAAACGCACATGACTATTCATAATGATAGTGCTGAGGTGGGCAAGTCCAGCAAGCGAAAGATTCTGCAAGATGAAGATGATGTCGACAACATTGAGATAAGTTTTCAGGAAACTGACAACACTGTCGATGACGAGGACGACGAGCCTAAGGAAGAAACAATAATTCGAGAGAAATCTAAGAAGGATACTTCCTTAAAAACTCTGCAGTCCCAGGATGAAGGGGTCATGCCAGCACCTCTGTCACCTGCTAAGAAGGCTAAAAAGGCAAAAACCAGCTTGCTAGACATATCTGTGGCTACTACAAATGGGAAATCGCCTTCAAAGACAGAAAAACGTAGAAAGCATAACACATCTGAGACCTCACTCTCTACATCTGATGGAGGTCTATTAGAAGAAGTAAACCACAATGTAAAGCCGCACAAGAAGGCACGCCTAGAGTCCATTGGCGACTCCACTGCCGACGAGTCCACTCTTAGCTGCGACCAGTGCGGGAAGTTTGTCACTTCGCGTCAACGCTTGGACGCACACATCCAAAAAAAGCACGGCTTTCAGTTGAAGTGCCCGGCTTGCCAGAACATCTATAGCAACCAGCTGGATTACGTGGGCCACTTTTCGGAGTGCTCTACCTTAGGTGGACTGCCCTGCGGAGTTTCCAAGTGCAAGAAGTTTTTCACGGATGCCGAGTACCTGGGCTCTCACCTGCGAAAGCGTCACCAATGGGTCTAGGATGGATTTTGTTTTTCATTTCATAACATTTTTGTCTCTTTAGTTTTAGATTATATTTTAGCAAATGTATCACGGTGTACATTTATTTGAGTTTTTTTAAGGTTTTTATTTGACTTTTAACTGATTTATAACAAGTCCATTAAAACTGGAATGCAATGTATAAGAAGGTTAAATCTTCATTTATGTTTGACTATTGATTAACTACCATTTGAAGTTCTTTAGAGAGACATTTGAGTTAATAGATATATTATAAGAAAACATACGGTTCCAAATGTACTTAGCATAAGTATGTGAATCCGTTTTATAGCGAAACATTATTTTGTACTGAAAAGCGTATTGTTAATAAAACTGTCAAATGACTACGAACACACGCAACCTGTTTTAGTGAAAACACCACATTTATTAATTTTTCTTACACGTTTATTTGTCATATTCCCCAAACAAAAACATAACTAAAATAGCGTTTACGCGAAAACCAACATTAAGCGAGAGCCGTTCGCCTAGCAGAGCACAAGGATTGAATACAATACAGAGGTCCGATATGGGGAAGCATGGATTCTCCACAGGAGTTTAACAACGAGGGCGAAATGAAAATAATATTGTCTAGTTACACTTTTCTACTTAATGTAAACGATGATATTGATGACGGTGATAGGAGGTGGGAGAAGTTACACTTGTGATGCATCTTTAAAACTCAGGACGAGGCCACTTTCCCATGAATCTCTGCCTGGGCCACCTTCATCACCTCGAGGGCTCCTCGCTTGATCAGGTCCTCCGCCAGTGTCTTACCCAATTGGTTAGCCTTTTCGTAGATCCCCCGACTGTGGCAGGCATGTTGGTAGAGACCACAGAACAGGTTCTGCACATCTTCAATGAGCACTGATTGCTGGGGTGTCGGCTGCTCCTCGTCAGCATAATCAAACATTTGGACCGTTTTCTGTAGGAACGGGCACTTGGCTTGGGCTGCGTTTCCATTATCTTTGACTGTCGTCTCTAGTCCGCTACCCTGATGCATCGCCGCAAATGGACACTTGGAGGAAGTGGCCGCATTGTCCAATTCATCACCAATGCTGCTGGCATTACTGGCTCTGCTGCTCGGGGGCGTGGGTAAAATGGAAGCTGGTGCTGCTGCCACTCCGCCCGTAACTGGACACTTCCCCGCCTGGGCATAGGATACCTTAATATCCTTGTTCACATACGGACATTCGCCCATAAAGTCCTGACCGACGGGCATCTGGAGTGGACAGTGGGCAGTCGTGGAAGCTTCATTTTCATTACCATTGTTTTTGTTAGAGGAATCCCCGGAGTCATCATGTGCAACTGGACATTTAGCGAGCGCCTTTGGCTGGTTGTGCGCCACTGGACACTGACCCATCACATCCTGACCAGCAACCATTCGCAGCGGGCACTGTCGGGGAGTTGTATTGGCATTGGTGGTATCCGCATCGCCACCACCAATTGCAGAAGATGTTACAGCACTATTATTGCTAAGCACTGGACACTGACTAGCCAAATCAGAAAGCTGGTCCACACTGTAACCGGTTAAAGCCTGGCAGGCGGCCAAATCCTCGCAGATCACCGGAGGGCTGCCTTGCTGGCGCGGACTACTTGAGTTAGAATCTGAGCCAGAGGTGTCGTTGTCATTTTTTGCACGCTTGATAGCTGGCGGGGAATCACAGCTGCTGCTGTTCTCCTCCTGCAGCTGACTGGAGCTTTCCTGGGCTCCTCGTTTCCGTTGCTCCACCTCCGATTTCTTTTCATTTAAGGCACAAGCAAGATGATTCCGTATCTCTATGGCACCATCCAGACTCCAAACCGCACCGGTAAGGGAAAGTCCTACCTCCTCGCTGTTTCCATTTAAGGGTTCACCCTTCAGGTTACTCCAAACTGCTACTGGGGCAGAGCAACCACCCCCTAAGGTCTTAAGGAAGCTCCGTTCTGCTAGGATGCGGCACGTTGTATTTAGGCACATCAGTTTCTGGAGCATGCCTAGCACTTGGTCGTCATTAGCTCGACACTCCACGGCCAGGGCTCCTTGGCCAACAGCATAGAGCAAATCGGTCGGCTCTAGGACCTGACTGATGCGACTCATCCAGCCCATCCTGACCAGGCCTGCCTGAGCGAGAATGATCCCAGAAAACTTTGAATCAGCGGCATCCAGCTTGGCCAAGCGAGTGTTAAGATTTCCACGGATATCGCACACGATCAAATGAGGATACATCCTACGAATCTGGGCAGTCCGACGAAGAGATGATGTTCCTACGTACAAAAGGGTATTAATTAGTTAATTAATTCACAATTTTATATTTTAGTCACACTTACCAATCACACTGCCCTTGGGAAGCGAGGCAATCGTGTGGCCTTTGAAGTTCTCCCGCAAAACCAGCGCATCCCGGGCATCTTCTCGCTCTAGGACAGCTCCAATCGCCATTCCTGTTGGCAGCGCCGTGGGCAGATCTTTAAGCGAGTGCACCACAAAGTCTACTCCCCCGTTTCTCAGAGCATCCTCGAGGTCGCGGGTAAATAGGCTTTTCTCGCCAATCTTAGGCAGTGAAACGTTCAGCACACGATCGCCGAAGGTCGACATGGTGTCTGCAAAATATAATTTAGATAAGGATTAAAGTCTTATTTTCACAAACTTAAAAGAAGTTTTTAACTTATACATAATTACATATTTGATCTGTTCTTTGTATCTGTAGTCCAGAAATTGATCAACTGAGAAAGGTGTTCCTATAATTGCAGTTTGTTATGTCATCAGCACCTGATAAGGGACCCAGTAGCACCCCAAGTACCTCAACTTTATGACACCAATCAGTCGAGACATGCAAAAAAAATGATACCCCCAACTTCCCCGTCTTCCATTATGGACACGCAACGATAATGTCTTTTCCAAATGCCTTGCTTATCGAACCTGGAATATAATTTGAATAAATTTCATATCAAAGGAGGATATTGCGTGCGAGGTTCTGAATTAAGCAATTGCTGAATTTCATTCTAATGGAATCTTGATGGGTCAAGTGAACTCTAAATAATCCAGGTAGATTACGTTTGTTCGTGCTTACCCTACTAAAACCATAAATCGAACTGACTCATCGTGCGTGCTTCTAAAAATATTTCCATAAAATGGCCAATCTTATAAGGTTCAAAGTACTCGAATTGCATGTTTTAATAAAATTTCAACAGATTTAACTGTTATTTATCAAAATTAATCTTATCGGAAATATGGATCTTATCGGTAGCAGAACGGCAGCGATCAGATAAACTTATTGGAATTCCTATCATATAACCATAGTTGTTGGTGTGTTTTGGTACATTCTTTTGGTACTCATTTCAACATTCAACATTGACATTTAATTTTAATATTAAAATGTTTTTAAAAAAAGTATACATATAAGAAGAATTTTATTGATTCCGAATAAGTTTGAAATTAATGTTGAAGAGGTTTTATAAAATGAAGTGGAACCTTACACATATTATTCATAGCTAATCGAACTCGTTTACTAACTTGTGGAAATATTTATGACTCTTCATTTCTTCTTGCTATTTGTACGTGTGAGTGTGTGATATAACATTTTTCGGCATTCCCTAATCTTAACAACAACAAAAACCACCATAGACATTGACATTGAGCAAACTTTGCCAAATGACACGTGAGCGGAAACGAGATGCCTAGAGAGAGAAAGAGAGCGAGAGAGCGAAAAAGAGAGTGCGAGACCCGGGAGATAAAGAACACGACCCAAAAATAACCGATCAAATGCAATCCTGTTTAAACGATCGTAATATTTGTTTTGAACACTATCAAAATACGAGATAAGCCCATGGCTCCTGGAATTTCCACAAGTCATGCTTCGCTTCCAGTTTCCATATCTCCTTATGCAGCATGAGTTAGCTGTTTGCTTGGTACGGCTTCTAAACTCCCTACCACTTTGCATATCTATTTACGCGGCATGAGTTTTCAATTCCCCTTTCCAGTCGGAATGATGAGTTCCAATATTTGTTTGCCCCAACTTTCACTTACGGATCTCGAATTTCTGCTTGGGATATAGCTTCTGCAGTCGGCCGATGACATGTTTTGTTTGAATCAGAGCCAGCTGGAAATGAAGGAGAGTTTAATTGATTAATTGTCTGTTTATTAAATGTTAAATGTAAATGAACCAAGAAAAGGAGAGAGAGAGTGGGTCATTAAGTCGCAAATAAGTCAAGTAATTTCAAATTAAAATGCCAGCAGCACACAAGTGGCCTTCGTTCGTTTCAAGCACGATCAAAGGTGGCACACAGCAATTAACACAAAAATTATTAAAAGGCCCAGTTAAAATCAAGTTTTGGAATGGAGATGAAAAAGCATCAAACAAAAAACAAGTACAGTGCGGACTCAATAATATATATAAATTACTAACTCGTCTGGTATTTGGTACGAGCAAGTTATTTTTTCCGCAATTAAATGTTGTATTGAGAGTGCACTGTATAAATTTCGTCTCTCTATCTCTCTCACAGCAAAAGTGCGTGTTGTTGCGAATTGTGTAACAGTAACCAAAAAGCAGAGCAAGTACAAAAACTACAACTACATCACACGGAGAGCAACAAGTCTTGTGTAAAAGGGAGGGGAAGTGGGTTAGAAAGAGATGGAGAGAACCAACAATATGTGATTGAAATTCAAATGCAGCAGTCCAATTCGAATTTAAAGCGGATGTATTATATGCACATATTTTGATTCTTGACGACAACTTACCTCGCTCTTTCGCGATCCAACGCGAATAACCTTTTCTTGCGCCGACATTATTATTCGCTTAAAAGTTTCGCTAATCAGTATTGCACAATAATTGTTTAAGCTAGGTTATTTGTTCGTTGCTGTTGTTCCAAAGTGAAAGTGTGCGCGAGAAGGATAGCTTTCGGGGTCACGTTGGCAGCCAAAAGAAGTTGCGAGTGCGAAAGAGAGCCGAGATGAACCATAAACGATGAATGAAAACCTATGTAAGTAAATGCACGCACTATTCAAGACACATAATTGAGTTATTGTCACGTTGGCTTTGTACTAAACGGTCGCTAGTCCTAATCAGTTGGACTGAATTTCTCGAAAATTTAGCTGCTGGCCGATACTACGACCGAGCAAAGAGCAAAAAGTGAATGACAAAGTGTGACCGCGGGCGGACCGTTAAAATATACAAAGCACTTCGAATAGGGCTGCCAAGTTCTTACCCACACCTTGGTGCTAACGCGAAGGCCGTAGAAAAATACTGTAGTGTGATTGCAAGACAAAGTGTAGCCTTAAATTTAAAACTTTGTTTTTATATAATTGCTTAGAATATATATTAGTATAGTAAAATTGTAACATTTATTTTGGTTTTGTAATTTAATTAAAATTGTTATGTGTATATAACCATAGAATATATAAATATACAAATTTTGTTATTTTAAAATACTTACTGAATTGTACACACCTGGTAGCTCTTGATTCGATAGCTAAGTTTACTGGCGCCCAACTTATCGGTCTCAGCTGTTAGGCAGCAAAAGCAAAACAAAGAGGAAACGCAAACGTACATTAATGTTTTTGGTGAGAAAATGGCCATAATCGACCAATACTTAATTATATTGAAATTCTTCACCCCTTAAGTTCATCAGCCGTCCTACGCGGACGCTGGGCAACCGGATGCAGGCGGTTCGCGAGCGTCTCGGGGCCGATTTAGCCGAGCAATTAGATGCACTGCACCGGAATGTAATGCGAACTGGACTAGTGTCCACGCAAGAGCTGGAGGAGACGTTTCGCAAGACTCGGAACATGGATCACAACCCAAACAGGCTGAATCTTTTCTGGCTGCTGGGTATCGTCTTCTTTATCATGGTGGCCACTCCAGTGTTCTACGAGACCATATCGTTCTTGCTCGGAGTGCGTTGCTTTTTGCCAAACAATTACTTGGTCTGGGAGGCCACACGACCCATCAGCGACTGTGAATTCTGCAAAGGCGTGAAAGCTCCGCTAATTTTGTTTAATCTTACAATGGAGGAGTTTGCCCCGCATGCCTACTCCTCGCTACCAATAATTGTGAAGCGGGCGGTGGCCCATTGGCCAGCTCAAACTCACCTCAACTTCGCCTACATTAAAGATTTGTACGAGAGTGTCCCTGGATCTATAGATTCAGACTGTCAATTTCTACACTTCAACTCAGATCTCAAGACGTTAAAGGATGTGTTTGCCATGTCTGCGGAACGTTCTAATTTAAGCCAGGGAGCGCCTTGGTTTGTCGGATGGAGTGTCTGCCAGCCGACTGTCCTGGCCGAACTCAGAAAGATGTATCCCCGTCCTCATTTTTTGCCTGTAGATGCCGAAATGCCACACGCAGATTTCATCTTAATGGGCTACGAGCAGGGAGCTGTAATGCATGTAGGTCTCAACTAAAAAATCGAACTATTTAAAGCTAATATATATCTCCTTTTGGTCAGCTGGATTACATTCCCCGCCTGATGTGGCAGGCGCAGTTGAAGGGAAATAAAAGCTGGTTTCTGGCACCTGCCCCCGAGTGTGACCACCAGTGCCAGCCATTTTCCTTCTACGTGGAACCTGGGGATGCTGTCCTCGTGGATACGCGTATCTGGTACCATGCTAATACCATCCCTAAGGGTCAGTTCTCGCTCACGGTTCAGTCAGAGTATGGATGATGCCCTAGCTCGAAGTATTATCTTTAATTATTAATAATTAAAAAAGATAACTTCACTAACAAATGACTTAGCATGTAAATGCTACCAATAGCTAGAATTGCTCAAAAATGTCTCATTAGAACTGGAATGGAAACAGGATATATTATAGGTATAATTTATTTATAGGGTCGATAAATCATTTGTATTCGAAATTGAACTATTTTTTTTTTAAATTAAAACCGACACTTCTACTGTAATCGATTTTCGATAGATGCGGCGCAAGACATTCAAAACAAGTTATCAAAGAGGGGAAACATAAACAATAAAAATGGAAGCCAATGTAGATTTTAGCAGGATTTCGGCCAAGTTGTACCAGAAATACGCACAGCATGTAAGAAACTTAAAGGATGTGTGCGTGTCCAAGACGGTGATGAAGCCAGGTGCCTTTTTCGACAGTCTGCAGCAGATGATGGAGGAGGAAGCCGCAGCCACCACACCTCCAAAAGATTTGGGCTCGGTAGCCGACTATACAGAGCTTTTCAAGACTTTGGAGGAGTATCCAGCTAACCTGCAGAAGATAACCAAGAAGCGGGAGCTGCAGCGCACAAACTCAACGATCCTACGAGGAGTGGACGAGTCGGCAGCTATCAACAACTCAAACGTTTCGCTCAGTCTGACGCGTCTTGAGGAGCAGCGAAGTGCCGTGGATGTGTATAACGACTTCAAGGTCTTCCAACGGAAACTCGCAAAGATCTACGACGAGGCCGCCGCGCTGGACACCACGGAATCCATTTATAAGCAGAAACTGACTCAACTCCATGGCTTTGCACAGCAGATGGAGAAGCTGATGCCCACCGGGGGTGAATCGCTGCCAGATGCTTTTACATCCGAGGAGCAGGAAAAACTTCTAACGATTGCCGCCAACATGGAGCAGCTAAACTACCTCCGCTCCAACAACCTCCAGTTTCCCAATCCCAGCGAAATTCTGGCCCATGGAAGTCCGGCCGCACGTCTGGAGATGCTGGTCGAGGTGCTTACCTATACTCTCCTCCAAATTAGTAGTTACAACATGGCGTTGATCTGATTACGCTAAAGTAAGCTCTAATGGCATTCTGATACATTGTATTACTATTACTACTATTCAACATACTTATTCATTCTTAATTATCAATAAATAAACTGCTTTCTTGACTTGTCTTGTCATTAAAGTTAGCTATCAAAGCCTCTTATTTTTAGAAAACATAAAGGTAAGCTTCTATATTTAAATTGAATAGTACACTGACTATAAACCACTCATATTGGCATATTATACATATCTAGATAAAATTAGATGAATTAAAATAAATTGTATATATGTTAAGGGGAATCCTCGCTAGCATCTTGTTCCTCCTGTGAGCTCCTCATCTGGGCGACGGTATCGTGAAGGGCCACAAGCTTGCGTACGGAGCTGCTGAGGTGTTCCACGCGGTCCCTGTAGGCCAGACAGCCATCCAGGGCGCTATAAGCCTCTTCTCGCTGATCACTGCCTTGCATCAGGAGCTTGAAGTTCTCTAGAATCTTAGACAGAGCCATCTCAGCCTCCGGCTTCAGGTTATACAGCTTTTTAGACTCCGCAGGGGCCAGATTCTGATTTAGAGCCTTGCTGTTGGCCTCGATATGGAGCAAGGTGTTATTCGATCGTTCCATTATATCGTCTATTTTGGCCAACTGCCGGTTCAACGTAATTCGATTTGTGGCTAAAATTTAAAGCAATGGGTACTCGCAATATTGCTCAATAGTCATTTTTTAGTTATTAAGCCAATATTTACCCATTCCCGCCAACATTTTGTCCACAGCGTCGGACATTTCGAATTCGTTGATTTACTTTTACTGTAAACCAGTGTGACCGTGGCCTTATAGACAAAGAAATACTCTTCACTTTCCATGACCACACCAAAACAATCGAAATCTCTATCGAATTTTAAATCTACGGTTTTTCAGAATAAAAGCAATTGGGCCAATTTGCTTTCTTGCAAAGATATAACATTTAAAAGAAATTATAGTTAAGGCCAATTTGATTTCTTTGCCAGGTTATATTTTCTAAAACTCCTTCCATTTCTAACACAAAAAGTTAATTTAACGTTTGGTTTATTCAGTTGTTCAAATTGTATTTGAATTGTTTTCTATTTAAATTTAAGTGTAATCCTTTCAATGGTTTTGCATTACAATTACAATTTACTCGTAAACATCCTCCTTGTCGGCGACGTACTTAATAATGTCGGCAGGTTTAAGCAGCTTCTCGGCATCAGAGTCAGGGATCTCAAACCCAAACTCGTCCTCCATGGCCATGATTACCTCCACGTGGTCCAAGGAGTCCAAACCCAAGTCATTGATGAAGTGCGACTCGATGTTAAGCTGAAATTGCGAGCCATTAGCATTAGGAATTCGAAACTTAAAAGAGCTTTGTCCAGTTCTTTAAGGCGACCATTGCACTGGCAAAGGCAATATGTGGCGTTTACCTTGCTGGGATCGATCTTGTCGTAGAGCTTGAGCACAAGCAAGACGCGCTCATTGATCAGCTTCAGCGAGAGTGGCGGTTTCGCCGAGTATCTGCGCACCAATTGCGTTTGCCAGCGACCTCTACACTCCTGGTTTGTTTGGCCAAAAAGAAAAGAACGAAACACAGACCGGGTTAGTGCGCTCATGAAATGGATAATTTACCTTATCGGCTGTCACTTTGTCGTAGGCGGAGACAACCTTTAGCACGCGAAACTTGATATCCTCGATGGTGCTTTTGGCCGAGTAGCTGCGAACAGCGAATTTCTGCGAAATTCAATTAGGTGAGTTCAAAGTTTCTAAGTTAGTTCTAAGTTTCTCAACCTATTATATATAAGAATAACAAAATGCTAGCTGAGATTGTTATATTTATCTAAAGAATCGGATTGTTTTGATAATCTTAAAACCCGGCATTTAAAAACATCTTATTCAAAAGAGTAGTGATTCGTTTGGTTGTGTATAATAGGTTAAATTGATTTCATTACACGAAAACACTTGCTGACACTTGTGTTAAAAGCTTGACGAACATTCTGTTTTTAAAATCAAATTTGAGAAATTATTTCACTAATGTAAACAAAATTGTGACCGGGCTTGTAATATCAGTTGCAGTTTTAGCCAGTATCCACTGTAATACTATCAAACACACACACACGGCCATAAGCACCGGCGTTGCAGGTATGTGTGCGATAGACGGAAACAATCATGTTTTATGCAAAACAATGTGATGCAATCATTTCTGATGGTTCGATACCCACTCGAAGAGGTCCTATTGTTGTTTGGAATTCAAAAGTCCTGGACTATATTTTAGAACCCGAAAATCCCAAAACCCCATTGTTTGCAATGAGGTTAGGTCTTAAATCACGATTGGTGGTCCTGCAAAGGAAGTTTCCCGCGCTTACTTGGTTCAATTGGCTAGTCATAGAGGGCATGGCGATTCTGTGCATCATCCTGGATGCCTGTGACTGGACGAGGACACCGGAGGCAATCCTTCGGGGGGCCAAAGTCGCCGCCAGTCGACTGCAGCTGCGCGCGATCTGTGTGAACGACATCTCGATTCTCCTGCAACGGAAATTCAACCGAATTAGTGCCGCGTCTTTCCAGGAGGTGCAAGAGTGCAGAGCGCAGATATTGAGCAATATTTACAATGAGTTTTCAAGATTATGTAAAAGTTCTGGAGTAAGTGAAAGACAGCAAGAGACAGTGTGGCCAGAGGCAGTATGTATATTTTTTACTATTTTCCTTTTAAAGTGTAGTACTAAAAAATACTACATATTCGAGGTACATATGCTCAATTACATATGCTTAACATAAACTAGATCAACTGAAATAACGAAAATGCGTATACTTTAAAATCGTTGAATAAATCTGTTAGCCATAAATCTGTTAACGAAATGTAGTTATCGATTGGTACATGAAATAATCGAATAGGCGCCTTTTGAAAAATTCTCAAGATAAGAGATAAGAAATAGCCACGTTTGCAATTTACAAAATGGCCAACCAAATGAAGAAAGAGACGCATCCATATACAAATTTTCATATATTTATAGATATATTTTTAATAAACAATATACATTTAGTTGGAACATAGTCATATAAAATCCAAATTACACAACTCGTTGGCGGTAACAAAAATACATATGTAGGTACACTATAAATTACACGAATATAACAAAACAAACATCGTTTGATTTAAAGCCACATTTCTGTTGAAAGTCATGATAAATTCCTTATTGCGTTCCAATCTGAAAGATTAATATTTCAAAAATGAGGTCAGCGGTTTTCCTGGAGTTGGAGCTCAAATGACTATACTTACGATAACAAGATGGCCCTTATCACGAACCACTCCCGGCTCAGCGCCCGTTTGTATGTCGATGACGCCGCCCTTGCCCTTGACCACGTTGTGTTCCACCCTGTAATAAGACACCCATATGGTCAGAAGGAAACACTTTCGGGAGAACTAATTATGAACTTACGAATCTCTGTCAACAATGGACACGATAGAGGCCGTTCCAACGGTATCAATGATATACGTGCTGAACTCGATGATACGCGGAATGATCAGGATCAAGTCTCCCTTGTCCTTTTTCAGCTCAAGCGGTATCCGGATGACCATCAGGTCGTCGTTGTGGTTCGTCAGCGTGAAGTCGATCTTCTCCAGTGGCAGGCGATGCTTCTGCTTGTAGGTCTTGCCATCCAGTACATAGATTGCCTGGTTGCTTAGTAGGATGAAGCGGTCGCGAGACTTGTAGCCATGTCTGTCGAACTTAGTGCAGAAGGACTGGTATTTTAGCTGTTCGCTGCCAAAGCTGCTGGCCACAAAGTCGTTGACCCGCTGGATGTGCTCCTTAGGTATGCGATCGTCCTGGAACCAGGTGGGCACACTGCTCTCATAGTTAGTCTTCTTGCCCTTGAATACCTTTTCAGCAAGGACCTTCAGTTCAAACTGCCGCTTTTGCTGGGGCGTCAGTTTCAGTCGGTATATCCTGGCCAAATGGAGGCGATGCAGGCGGTGAAGGATTCCGGAGGCCTCCTCACAGTGTCCCGGGGCGTGGGGCCAGCTCTTGTCCAGAACTTTGGTAGGTAGCTCCTTGGCCAGACGGAGCAGCCACATTCGCTTAGCGTTGGCGATGAAGTCCTCATTGAATCCATTCGGAGCATCGTTCCTTGTAATAAAGCCCTTGATGAAGGCGCGGATTTTATCGGCCGCCTCCCTGCGCTTCTTGGCCGCTTGTTGGGCCAACTGTCTGCGGCAGTAGCTCTGCAAGATGATCACCTGTGCGCGCAATTTCAGGTACTTCCTCCTCTGCATCAATCCCTTCCAATGCGCTTGGATAATGGCGGCTATCTCATGTTTCTTCTCCTGGTAGGCATCTTCTGTATCAAAGAGGGTCCTTGGCCAGCGGATGAATAGTTTGGTCTCGCCCACCCGGTACTTTTCTTCGTCCCAGCCCAAATCCTTTACCAGCTGCTGGACTCCCGCCTTTGGTCCGCCAGGACCCTTGTAATTCGGCCACGTGGACTTGCTCAGTGATTTGTAGCGCTCCAGGAAGAGCTCATAGGTGCGACGGTAGGCGAAACCAGCTCGCCTTACCCGAAGGTTCTCCATCAATCCCAGGTACTTCACCTGATGCAGCACCAACTCATCGTTGAATACGTTGGCAGTCTGCAGATCATTGGGCTTGATGCAACGAATGTAGCTGGGCTCCTTGCACATAAGGATGTCCATGAGGTTGTTCAACGAAGCTCGGAACTGGGTGATGGCCGTATCCGGACGCTTCAGACTGCGGAGCTCCTTCTCTGGGAAACAGCTCCTCACAATGCCATTGCCCGCCTTGCTTAGGGTTTCCTTCAGATCCCTGAACAACAGATCGTTGTTCTTGTCCAGGAAACCATTAACGCTGTAAGTGACCTCGCCGGCATAGTGAACCAAACGGAACTCATCGCGCAGCATGATTTTCTTGATGTGGGCGGGAGCCTTTTCATGGGAAACGTAGTGATGGTGCTGGGTCAACTTCTGGGTGAGCTTCTCCAGGAAGGTCTTATCCGTGGGCTCTCCCGGTCGCAGGCACTCCTCATCGAGTATGGAGATGATACCCTTGTGCTTCTCCTCGATCAGATTGCAGATCACCTTGTTGTCAAAGTACTCAACGGGAATCCATTCGATGCCTTCCCTCCTGTACTCATCCTGCTCCGATTTAAGGGTCAACTCGATGAACAGCTGCTGCAACTTTTCGTTGCAGAAGTTGATGCAGAACTGCTCAAAGCTGTTCTTCTGGAAGATCTCAAAGCCATAGATATCCAAAATACCCATTACATTGTTCCTGGAGGCACGAGTTTCCTTCGCCTGCAGCGAGATATTGAGACGCTGGACCAACCACGAGAACAATCTATCGTAGACAGCCTTTGCCAGGGCATCCCGGGCATAGATGGCCAGTTCCTGGTTGAGCGGGGAGGTCACCACATCCCCTCGGGCATCGATTGTGCGGTGGGTCAAAGCAGCCTCCAATTCGCTGGCGTTGACACCCAACAGACGAGCGGCGGTCACCACCAAGTCCCGGCTGTTTACCTTGGCATTGCCCTCGACCTCATTGAAGCCAACGTTACCCAGATGCAGGATACTGGCCACAATTCCGAAGATCTCGCGCTGCTCCTCCTGGCTGAAATCGATCACACTGAGGGCCTGTTGTACCAGCTTGAAGCTTTCCGCATCGTTGATGCTCGCCACGCTGCCGTTTTGCTGTGAATTGAACTCAAAGATTAGATTTTTAGTTCCAGTTGTCTTTAAGAGATCCACTTACCCCGTCGGTCAGGTAGTTATATGTGCCCAGAGCCCGCTCCAGACGCAATTCCTGTAGAAGAGTCTCATCGGCACCGGCCAAAAGCTGGTAAAAGATGTGGAAGTTTCGCTCGCCTCTCATTTGGGCCACCACTCTCGACTTCTCCAGCAGGTAGTTCAGGATGTTGCCGCCGATCGGAGCTCCCTTGAAGTCGAACTGAATGTCCATGTACTTGCCGAACCGGGAGGAGTTGTCGTTTCGGTTCGTCTTGGCATTGCCAAAGGCCTCTAGGACGGGGTTGCTCTTCAGAAGCCTATCCTTGACACCCTCTACGGTGGTCTGGTTTCCCGAGCAGGCGGCTATGAACTGGAGCACTTTCTTGGAGGCCTCCGTCTTGCCGGAACCACTCTCTCCGGAGATGAGTACGCACTGGCCACGGTTCTCCTCGATCAGCGAACGGAACGCATTGTCCGTCACCGCGAATCTGGAGAGGATTACAAGTTATTTAAATCTTCTTTGGTATACATTTTTTCACTTGAGACTCACACGTGTGGGGGCATCTCATAGAAGTGCTTGTTCCTGTACGCCTTGACATGGTCATCGGAATAAATAGGCAGCTGCTTGTAGGGATTCACGGAGATTAAGACTTGGCCAATATATGTCTGCAAAGAAGATATATTAAGAAATGAAATAAATAAAAATTTATTACTTGCTCACATAAATCAGGTTCTCCTGGAAGCGCTTCTTAAGGTTCTCGATGAAGGCCTCTTCGCTCTGGTAGTTTTCGAGGAGCACAAAGTCCTGGACTCCAGCACGATCTCGTTCGTGCAATCCCGTCTCCATTTTGAGTTGAGAAGTAAAACTGAAAAACAAAAACACCGAAGAGAAGGATGAGGGTCATTCTTAAAGGAGAATTTTCTGTGATTTTACCGATTTCCTGAAAAAACCCTCTACATAAGACTTATCATCAACTTTTCTAATCTCCCTGAAAGGGTTGCCATGTTTAACCGCCTTGATTAGGACAAACCTCTTGAAGAACACCGTAGAAAAGCCCCATAGAAAGCCGAAAACCCATAGATAAGATTTACGTAAAGTTTATAGAGTATACGAACAATAATTTATAACTGCCCTGCGGAAATGAAGACTTCAGTGGAGAATGACAGTGACCCATGGATTGGCCTATTCGGAATCCCGTGACTTCATCAGATATATACAATAATATTTTATCTGAGTCTGAATGCAATCAAATCATCGGAATTCGGTATTTATAGAAGTATAGAAATAATGGTGGACAGGTGCAATTCACCTTATCAATGCCATATTTCATGGGGCCAGGGGAACTGGGTAAGAGCTGGCTTTATTGGCTGACTGCTCCAGTTCTACTGATACGCGCCGGGTAAATCCATATAAGAAGCGATTATGCAATGGACTTTGCGGTCAGTAGTGCTCGACATGGAGTGATTGATCTCAAGAAGGAGTCTTTAAACTCTTTTTCATGAAGTTCACGTAGTGTTTTCACTATCAAAGCGTCAATTGGGTAATTAATCAATTAGCTCACTAATTCACTTTTATATAGATAAGTTTCCTTTGAGTCGATCTCTACCTGGTCATGGTTATTCGATTATCCTTATTCCGCTGCGACTAAGATTATTCCACAACACTTGGGTTTACAGAAATGGACGGTTCTCTGGAGGAGTTGTCAGATTTCGCGCATATTCCGCCCTTTGACGGCTTCGGTGGCAAACTAAACCGATCCGGTGGAAGTTGGGGCGTTTTAACCATCAATACTTCTCTGCTCTACATATCAATTGGCCTCGTCGCCGTCGGTGTTTCTGTATTTCAGTTGTTTTTTTTAGTCAGCACATTTATCAACGATAATATACCTATGGCTGTGATGAGGAGAGCAATACCGCCAATCAGTCCCCGATTAGATAGCGCCTTTCGCGAATAAACTCGGGACCCGATTTAGGAAACCATGACAAGAACGCAGCAACGCAAAGAATTCCGGAGCTGGGCATGGTTGGGCATGGGTGTCATTCCAGGTATCTGAGATCACGATCAGTCTGGTCGTATGCGTCAATCCTGAAGTTCATCTCCATCTCTAATACTTCGTTTGCCATGAATCACAGTCGTGAATCAAGTACGTGAGACTGGATGTTTGCATACTACTTTTTGTAACGTACTCGAGTATGAATGAAAGATGTTTGGAGTAACCCCTGCAGTTCATAAGTTGTAAGTGCAATTTAGATAAACATGTGTTCCAGTATACTTCATATACGTGAAAGATATTCCCTACTTCTCGTAAACAAAAGGATTAATTCAAGTTAAGAACTAAAGAAAGCAACTTATTTCAGAGAAACACATCATAAGCACATACATATTTCACTAGTAAATCATTTGATTTAGAAAGATGAATCATTAAGTGACTTTGTGTTAAGTCGACTTTAATTTCCAAATATTAAAATTTAACATCTTCCTTGCATCTTTTTTATTACTTTATTACTTCTTACGCTTCATAATTTTTATTTTCCATCCGTTCACAAAATAAGGACTTCATTTCCAAATACATTGAGGACTCTTCTTAGTTTCAGTTCCCAATTCACTTTAACTTTCACTCAAGATCAAGGCAGCTTAAGAACTCTTGGGAAATCCGAAATTATAACTTTAGGCTTCAAAGATTTTCAGATGACTGACTCAGTTTTGTTTTTTTCTAAATCAGAACCCAAGCCCGACTCAGAAAAGTACTCTAGCGAACATTAGCACTGTGTTATCAGCTATCAGTGTGCTAAAATATAAGTCATTGCCGAATGCAAACATTGTAAGCACACACACTCGCCCTCAATTGATGTCGCTATTGTTGTTTCCCCCTTTGATTCTACTTGCTCTATTTGCAATAAGAAAAGGGGATCGATGGGGGAAAATCGAATGCCTGACTAATTACGAAATGTTTGCCGGCGAATCGAAACGGGAAGACTTCGAGGAATTCTCTGAGAGACCGCAGACACGTCCCACTTCTGGAGGCCAAACTAACTCACTGCAAGTCGATGTTTGTCACATAATTGTTTAATTGCACGTAGGACAGATTGATGGGGATAGCGAACTGTGTGGAGAACCTTATATGAACACATCACATAATGGGCAGTGCCTTTTGCAGTCACTTCTTGGCATTCTAGCACCTTTCGCAAATCAAAAGTCGCCCGAGATTATGCTACGTCTGAGGTAAAAGGTAACCACAAGTGAGGCAGAAACTGATAAGGTTCTGCAACTCACAGATACTCGTCATATGTAGCCTATAGTGGCAGTTTGGATGGATTTCCGAAAGTGTGGGCCAACTTAGGCTCGCAGTTATGATAGCAGGCGGGGATTCAACTCAACAAATTTGATTGCTGTTGAAACAAACGTACGGATATTATTGATTAGATAAACTCGTTAGGGGATATTGATAAATATACATTATGACTGAGTAATGGGTTGTGAGAACGTGAGTTCTAAATATATGTAATCAATATAAATTAAAAGAATATTTATTGGAATGTGAGAAGTTCTACATTTTACTACTTCTTCATAAAGGGCATCAAAAGCCTTAGTTTTTATCTTCCCCTGAGGGAGTCGTTTGTGCCCGCTTGCTCTGCGCATTCTTTTTATCCCCACTGGAGAACTGGTTTCTCCGATCCAGAAAACTCCACGTTGTGATGTAACCGAGAGCTGGCGGCTCTTAGTGGTATCATACAACTCGTAAACATGTCTACGACAACACGACCTATAACGGAACCCAATATCATGAGTCCCACCCAAACACAAAAGTTCTTAAACTTTTAATCGCACAGAGAAAAAAACGGTATAGCTAGTATGAAAAATATTTGAAAAAAGTATGATAAGTTGAAAGGAAGTTTAAAAACAAAAATAGCATTCAAGATTGTTGCTCAAGGCAAATATTTTATGCATTCCTACTAACTAAAGGGCTGTACTTTTGATTGCGGGTGAGATTTTCCTTCAGTGCTGTGGGCTTACTTCATATGCATACAAATGACGTCATATATCAAGAAGCAGTATCGCGGGATATTGAACTCTTTGAGTGGAGTTGGGAAAATGCAGGGCTGGCAGAACCATTAAAGACCTGAAAAATTGAGATTGGAGAAGGGCAAGCAGAAGGCAAGTGGAAAGATCCCACAAAGCCCCCATGATCATATGCAAATTAATGAGCGCAGTTATTAGAACGGTGCTTGATCGATCCGAGATCCAAGATCGAGATCGAGTTCGAGCTCGAGCTCGGGATGGAAAAAAAGTAAAGAAAGCCAGCCGAAATTTGGGCCATTGCATGGGTTTATTATTCTAATGAGAAAACCGGGCACAAGATGTGAGATTATCACAGATGCACCGGGAGCATCTTGGCTTTGGTTCTATAAAAAGGGAGTGCAGCTGCAGTGGTCAGGTTATTCCGAGAGTGATCATGGATCGAAGAGTGACTGCGACTTGCTTGGGTAAGTATGGATGAGATTTACTAGAAGAAATTCATTATCGAGAGGGGATATCCTTTCAGTTATCCTTCAGCTGTTGGCCAGCGGATTTTGTTTCCAGGACAAGGCTCCGGTGCAGACGAGCCTGATTGCCGGACAGGCCAGGAACGCTAAGCAGGAACAGATGCTGGATGATCCGGTGGGAAGTGGCCGCGGCATCGACGAGCACCTTCTGAAGACCATTGGTAAGGGCGGCATCAAGCTGGTGATGGCCTCGGGCACTCCGACGACCACCCCGAAACCGTCAGTACAACACCATTACTATTATCCACCAGAGGATCAGCAGCACCCGCGTCAGTATGGCTATGGTCCTCCGCCGCCCTGGTCGCCGGCACCGCCCCCAGTTTACCCACCGCCACCGCAACGTCCTTGGGCGCCACCACCACCTCCAGGAGGTCAGCCCTACTACAATCCGTACTACAATGGCTTCAACTATTACGGCGGCTATGGGGGCTATGGATATGGGGCCTATGGCTATCCCGGCTATGGCGGCTATCCTGGGTATCCCTACTATCCCTACTATCGTTCGTCGGCAGGCGGGGAGGTCGATAACCAACTACCCGGTCCCGACGGACTAACACCCCCCGCCATTCCTGGCGTTTTCCAGGGCAGGGCTGTGCTATCCCAGAACTTCCTCGAGGGCAGGAACAACGCCAACATCGTGCCACTTTACCACCTACTCCAAATGGCCAGGGCTTAAATTACTGCACATCAATCCTTAAAAACTGAATAAACTCTATGCTACAAATTGCTTTTCAAGGCCTTTCAATGCTTTTCTTACTAAACTGGGAAATTATAATTGCATTAGTTCAGAGTAACTTTGATTTCTTTATAACTACTTACTGGTGAAGCAGTCTTAAGAAATCGAATCAGAATATATTTCAGTAGATGTAGTATAAGAATACAGGTTTAGCCGAAAAGCACAATAACTCTGTCTTAACTGCTGGTATAAAAAGAAATCTTCATTAGAAACCCAACTAAAGTAAATAGAAAGGCCAAGAGGTGTTTCTTTTTAATCAACTTAAGATCAACGATCATTTAAGCCATGAGAATATCTTTGGATACAGAGCTTTGCAAGATCATGTTCTTGAATGGATCATTCGGCTTGTAGAAACCCAGAAAGGCCGCTGACCGAAAGAAGCGATGATCGAATTCGTTCAGCCGATCGTCATCGCCATTTCTCGCACTCGCAAGACTGGAAATTTAAATTCAAACTGTTTGACTTAGCGGGGCGGTAACGAAATACAAAAATCTGGACTTGCGGCTGCTGAGTCACCCGCTTTAGGGGACAAGGCTTTGGGGCCCGGTTCGAGGAGATCTTGCCGGCAGCTGTGACGCATGCCAAGTGCCAGGGTTTCGGATAACCATTCAGCTATAAGTATTAAACAATCAGCGAAGGCATTCGCCCGCTGTTTTCTTAGCTCATTGCAGCCATAAAAAGCGTCAACAGCGGCTGATCTTGAACGCGATTTACTGCCAATTGCAAAAAGAAAAATCTGCTGAAAGCGCTGCCAAATAAAAAGTCTCGTTTTTTACCTTTTGTGCTTTTTGGTCGCTCCAAAACAGACTTTTTGCCCGTGCTCACGTTAAATAAGAGCTGTGGTCCGCGGCTTCCACGAAAAGCCCTTACTCGACACTTTACCAGACTGAACAAATCCGAGGTGCGATGTAATTTGGATCCCAACACGAGCTGACACTCACTCCTCCGCCGAAAGAAATGGACTGGAACTGCTCTGCCTCTGGGTTCTTCGAGCTCGCCGATCGAAGTTTTATGACAAGTGTTGGGGGTTTTTGAAATACTTGGATTTTGTGATCGCTTAGGTACATTCGATTGTATGAGGCATATGGCCATATTGCGGTTAAGCGCTTTATGAGGGTGGATCAGTAGAATCTCAATGGAAGATAATATAAGATTGGGAAGCCAATAACTTATGTAAGAAGGTAATACTTTAGATTCAATGTCATGTACTCATTAGTTAACTTCCTTAAAGATCCTTTCTATTTAATATAAATAAGAAACTGTCTCTATAATTCCATTCAGCACATCGTGTTCTGTAGTGAATGACATTATCTCGGAATGGACATTCACAATATAGGGCATAGCCATTGTCAGCAAGACTCATTCAAGTCTTGTGCCAATCTTTCGTGGAAATGGCGATGTGCTTCGATGGTTATATAGACGTTTATGATAACCACTGAGGTCTTGCCGTTTCGCCTTAACTTTAGTATCTTATCAAATCAGCGCTTTAAAAGGAAATTACTGAAAGCCATACTGCAGCCGGCCAGAGTGATAGCACTAAAGACAAGGAACCAGGAAAAAGGCACCCTGTACGAATGTACATTGTGCATGATCAATAGTCATATCAGTAATATTGGTTGAACCCACAGACAAGATAACGCCCCCGAATTCCGATAAGAGAAAGTTCAAGTTTCCAGATTTTAACATTTTTCGGGTGGGTGTGGGTCATTATGCTACGAGTATATGTTAGCAGCCACATGACAAGCCTGTGCGATAATAAATATCGCAATTACCCGAACCAAAAGGCGTGCAATTTTATTTCCTTCTTCGGTATTCGGTTCTTCGTTTGTTCTTGTGGCCTTTGTGTTTGTTTGGCTTGTTAGAGTTGGCAACAACTTTGCATTACATCATTACCAAAATAATCTTTTTTGTGAGCCTCTTTTTTTCCCCTCTTGGTTTTCCAACTCGTTTAATTTGAGTGCCAAGTGTGAGGCAATGACATTGAGGGCAATGCTTCATGCACCTGAAAAAAGGTGTTCTAAAGAGCTTTTTTGAGAGGAAAGTTGAATACAATTTGTAGACACCATTATTTTAGACTCCAACTGCTCCAATAGGTATTTCCAAGTGTGAAGTTGGTTATGGTTATTTGTTTGTATTTAAACAGCTGCCAGATTTGGCGAATCATTTGGTTTCGTTTTCGATCCATTGCAGTTCGTTTTTCTGTTGACCCTCTTTGTGTGTCTGCCGTCTGTTTGTTCCTGCTATAAAACCTGGACAAACAAACTTATACCTGCGGAGTGAGGGAGACAGACAGGTGGAACCGAAGCATTATACATATATCCTCATGGTCTCTGTGGAGGATATGGGGTGAGTCCCCCGGAAGCGAATGGCAGAGGGAGGGAGACGGCGAAATTGAGGTGCCTAAACGCTTGCTTTATTAGAGGAGCATCACCATAAACCAGATCTCTTCGATTTGCGGTAACTCGCACACTGAGACAAATTCGATTGAGTTTGAATTCTTCACTTAGATAAAACTGAGAGTCTTACTAAACTCTTAGCTTTTGTTGCACAAATATCCCATAAAATAAAACGTAGATAAATGTTTTTTCCAGTGCACTCCTGCTTTTGTTGCTCTTTTCGTGCTTTTGTAGCTTTTGTTGCGTTTGGTGTCCAAGTTCAAATCGTGCAAAGGAAAGAAAGCAGCGGAAGACGCTGCAGATCACGACCACGGGCAAACCGGCAGAACCGCTTTTTTCGTATTTTTTCTTGTCTTTTTTATTATTAGTTTTAAACTCATGTGCGCGGCGTGGAATCGCTGCTTTTGGTGTCTTCTTCGGTGCCCCGGACATTTGTTAGTTGTCAGGATATGCAAAAATTGCGATTGTAATTGATTTTACAGGCCATCCCGCCGCGGTGTTGGTGGATTAAGAAGTTCGAGCTGTCCACCAGATTGACAAGTGGACGGCATAGTTGTAATCGGGGGGGCTAAGTACCCATAATTTCACAAACTGTCGCCCGAAGTCGTTAGTTTTTTGTTGCTGTTGTTTGCGCTGCTCTACCTGTTTGAATTTCTTTTTCGATGCGGGTACCGTTAGCTTGACCCGGTAAAGGTGACGTTTAAATGTTCACCGCTCTTATGGTGCTTGTTGTTGTCGGTAATTTTGAAAATCGAGGCTAGGCCGACATATAGTATTCGAAATCGGTTGGTTAATGTCAAGCACCGCACGTCCACCGCATGCAAATTAGTATCCAAAAAAGTTCTCGACAGCAAAATTTTATTAAAAACCGATTTCCGCACGCGAGCGCGCACCTTGCCAAAGTTGAGGTTGAAAATAAACTGACTTCGATGATTTCGATTTGCCGCCACATTCTGCGCTCAGCTGTGCAGCGGATAGTGCTGGCAAATCAGTCTTTTCCTAACCAAAAGCTACTTTATTCTACGTTATTTGTAATTTCCCTAACAGCCGTATTGGCGCTTTAATTTCGATAAAATTGTTAGCTTTCTAACAGAAGTATGCATCGTTTTTTAACAGCATCAGTGGAACGGCTCTGGTGGATGTTATCGTTATCGGGTTCAAATTTGATGGCGGACGTCTTTTAATACCTATAAATAATATGTAGGTACAAATTGCTAAATCAATATAAATCAATAGATTTTATGTATGCCATAACTATTTTCCGTAAGTCTTAAATTAAGTTTACTAGAAACCATTTATATATTCGTCTTAGATTAATCTACCAATTTTATTTCTCCTCTCTCGCTTTCCTTGCCATAACAATGTCATATTGATAACTAGTCTAGGAGTTTAAAGCTATAACACAACATTATACATATTGATTTGATCGCTGATAAATGTGTGTTCCAAGAGTGGGTTGTCTTTAAAAGCAGCCATTCTTCGATCCCAAAATGCGCGAAACGGAAAGCTTCGAAAAAATACCTGTAGTTAAAAGTCAAAGTGGTGTGGGGATCAGACTAGGCTAAAGCCCTGAGTTTGCTGGATGGCCTGCAGAAGCTTGAACTTGAGGCGCTCTTTGGTCTTGTAACGCGGCAGGTCAAGGAGATTGAAGCAGGTGTGAGCCACGGGGAGGAATCGTTCGTCCGGGGTGGGTTGAATGGTGAGCTGGAAGCATAAGTTTAGATATGAGGATATTTAAATATAATTTAGGTACTCACTTTGAGGGCTTTCATACCCTGGATTGGTATACGATCGCTGCCAGTCAAATAGAGAAGGAAACTCTTCTTTTCTGCCTCCGACAGATCGTGAATGACCTCCCAGAACCATTTGATCTGTTCCAAGAAAGAAGGTCAAGCTTTTATATCAACTGGAGCTAAAGAAACTCACTGTATCATCACCCGACGTATAGCCCTCTCGGTATTCGCAGTTGTCCTGCAGTACCTGCCAGTCGTAGTCCTCATTTCCCACCACGACGGCCATCAACTCCTGAGGGTGGAATATGTGTATAACCCGACCGGAGCACACCTTCATGAAGCCCTTGTGAAATGCAGTGTAATGCAGCTCGACGGACTTGTTGAACACAAAATCCACATATAGATTCACGAACTCCTGCCTAAAGTTGAAGATTGATAAGCAAGGGTATCGCTATATAAAGGGTGATGACACCCACCTGTTTTCCAACGTTACGGCTATCTCATTGCCATTCGGCTTAAGGCACTTGGTCTCCGCCTCGCCAAACACATCACGAGATATTTCAAAGGTCAGATCAAAAACTTCTTTGAAGTCTTCTCCCTCGTAGTCCAGCAGCGACTGCATGGAGTTGGCTTCCGCAGGCGAAAGCTGGCGAAGATCGCTGAGATCTACTGGGTTGGACAACAACTTTTTATACAGCGCCAGCGGAAATGGCAAGTTGATGATCGTAAAGTTGTATATAGCCAGACCGCAGAGCACGCCAATCAGGAAGTACATGTTCTCCGTTTCGAAGGAAAGATCTGCAAACCAGAGAAAGCGTGACTCCTCAAATTCCTTAAACATGCCGTACTTGGGATCGAGCAGATCTTTTAGCAGCAGCATGAAGAACTCCTTGCGTACGCCGCCCGCATCCTCAGCCTCCTCCCCATGGAATTTAATTTTCAGCGGCTTTTTTAGGTCTCTCTGTGAGTAGCGCTGCAATTCCCGGAGGGAATCCTGTACCAGATTTTCTCGCGTCACATTTAGCACAATAAAATGGGAGATGGGCATGCCGTAGTTGAAGAGGTTATATGCCTGCAGGGTAAAAAATATCCATCAGCTCCGAAATCTTTCTTTATAATATTAACCCACATTGGTGACTGCGTTGGCCATGGCAGAATGCATCTGCAGCGCCTGATCCGCTTGGAGCAGTGCTGTTTTTGCAGTCGGATCGAAGAGGAATGAAAAATTGCAAATATTGAACTCGCTGGCAGTATCGGCCATGATCCACTTAACGTACTCCTGCTGCACGTCCACATAATCCCCAAGATCAGGCCAGTAAAAGTTTTGATAGCTTAATAGGTCATCGCGTGAGTTGTTGATCAAGCAAAGCGTTTGCAAAAGCTTTAGGATCACCTCTAACTCAGTGTTATGTGGCAGCAACTGGAATATACAAAGGTGGAAACTAGATTAGCACAGGTCAAAATTAAATTGAAAATTACTTGCCCTGTGACGCCTCTCGGCACTGGGACTGACGGCAGTCAAGCCCATATTGAAACTAATTATATGGATAACAACGTGCAAGAAGTTCTGGACAAGATGCTCAAAGTACTCAGCTGTTGTTTGGGACAGCCACTTTATCAACACCTTGCGCGGATTCTCAGTCAACTTTAAAATGGCATTTGCAAAAGGAACATGAAGTGACTTATAGTGCTTGGAGTTTACAAACTCATGGTAAAGCGGTAGCAGAAGGTATAACCGCATGCTCTCCATATCCGCAGGCGAAGAAACCAGCGAACCAATTAGCTCCTTAGTTAGATTGTCCCAGATCTAAACAAAGCACAATTATCAGGAATGTTGGTTGTATTTTTGATTAGTGAACACTTACCACCTGTTTGATGCTTTCATTTTCCACAGCGCGCAGATTGTCGAATGCTAATTGAGCTGCCTCGAGATCCAGTCCATGGTTCCGAACAGAGCAACCGAAGTGTCTATCGTGATCCAACAGGAAGGACCCATTCAAACAAGCCTGACTCTTAAATATCAGCTCAACAGAGCTGAGCAGATCCATGTCGCTCTGATCACTCTTCTTAAAATGAGCACATTGCTTTGTAACTTCAGCTGTTAAAGCCAGGATCTGGGATTTTTGTCTACAAAGAAAAGCGGTATATATTCACTGATATGGAGACTGCAGACTATAATTACCTGTAGTTTCTAAAATCTTCTGGCGGCACCTTGTCCATAAACAATGTTGTGGTCACAATTGACTGGTCTCCACCTGAGAAAATTTGTTGGATGACTACTGAGACCCTCGCATCATTGGACTGAAGTAGAGCTGATCCACTTGGAGACACCCAGGGGCCAATGACTACCTGTGGCAACATCAGGCTTTTGGTACTCCTTGTGCCAAGTTGCCCGGAGCTGCCCAGACCGAAGGCATAAACTCTGCCTCGCGATGGGACCAACGCCAGCGTGTGACGATTACCACAGGCCACCTGAGTGATGGTGCTTCCCATAAGTTCCATTACCATTCTCGGCAGCATCTCATTCGAGCTGGAACCATGACCCAACTGGCCATAGGCACCAGCTCCGCAGGTGAACACCCCTCCCTCATTAGTAAGAAACACTGAGAACTCATCGCCGCAAGCCACAAATCGAACGCCGAGGGTGCGCAGGGTCTTCAGCTGGGTGGGATAATCGCGATTCCTGTCGTCATTCAGACCAAGTTGCCCACAATTGTTCCTGCCCCATCCGAAAACCGCACTGGACTTGGAGATTAGGAACGAGTGATTGCCTCCACAGGCAATCGAGGCCAATGGAATTCCCAGAAGAGTGGTCAGTCGGCGGGGATAGTTGCTATGCGTCAACTCTTTGGGTGAGATCACGCCCAGCTGGCCATAGATGTTAGAACCCCACGAATACAGTTCACCACCTAGAAAGGTGAAGTAATAGTTGTCAGAAATTTTTGTTGGTCCTACTGTGGTCTTAAACTTAGGCCTTCTCTTATCTTTTTTAAAGGTCTGCTTGCATTTTGATAATAAGATACGTTAACATACATAACTAAAGATGACTCAGGAATTGAAATAAAGTGGGTCGGAAACTTCGAGACTAAGACCGATTCTTGGTTTGAAGGTTATCAATTGTGACACGTTCCCGTACACTATATTCTTTAATAAAAAAACTAACCAATTTTATCGCAACGTACAGACTAGAACACAAAAGGATTTCAGCCCCTCACTTACAACTGGTGAGCGCAAGGCTGTGATTGTTGCCGCAGGCGATTTGGACCACTGTCTTGGAGACCAGTTGACGCACCACCTTGGGCAGCTTAACGATTTCCTGTTCGGTGGCATGTCCTAGCTGACCGCAATCGTTGACACCCCAGCTCAAGACCTGTCCCCAATCTGAAAGGGCCAGCGAGTGGCGGCTGCCGCAGGCAATCTGGATGACCACATAGTCTTGAAGTTCCGGGATAAGCACTGCAAAGAGTCGCCATAGAATTGAGTTCGGGACTTAGGATCCGTTTACAGCAGTCGCTTATGAAAGACAAGTTGGTGGTTTGGTGATGAGATGTGGGAGTGGAAAGACAAGTCGATTAATGAAGATTACATACGAAATGGCGACATACGTGGCCTTTTGGTGGGCAGTTCGTGTCCCAGTTGGGAGTGGTCATTGCTTCCGCAGGCGTATACCTTTCCGTTGGAGGTCAGGAACAGGGTATGCCGATGTCCGCAGGCCACCTGCTGTATGGCGGAGTCCGGTGTCCAGGGGATCTGACTGGGTATGAGGATCTTTCAGGAAAAGGTATGGTGGGATGAATTAGTAAAATCAGAACACCGCTGCAACAAATTCATCTGTCCACCTGCTCATCTTCGATCCCGCCGAGTCCCAATTGTCCATGGGAGGTGCTGCCCCAGCAATAGAGTTCCCTGGCCATGCTGGCTGCCATGCCTCTGAATCCAACCTCACGTTTCTTGGAATTTTTGGGTAAAGTGATATATCTTTTGGTGCTAAGAGAATTTTCGAGAAAGTCGCCAGTTTTTAGCTACATTATTTTCCGTCCAATTCTGCCCCCTGCTTTTTTTCTTGCTTTTGTTGTTTCCGAATTCGATTCCAACGTTCATGCCTTGTCAGACTGTCAATGTGTGTTACACGTGGGTATATATTTGGAGCCCGCTGTTTTAATTCTATCCTAAACACTCATTAACTATAATTTACTCTTGCATTGTTCTAAAAATTAAATATAAAAACTAAAAAACCAGCAACAAAAACACAAATAAAACCGGCCTTGCCAACTTATTGGGAAACAATAGGTTGGCAGTTCTGAAAATAATTTTTGGTTAGGGCTGCACCATTAAAAATCCGCTTTAAAACAAATTCAAATTCATGGGAAATAAGGGCTGGCGCTAATCCCTGAAAGGTGGGACTGGATGCTACCTTTCTATATGTACATTAGTTTTACAAAGAATCGTTACATTACTTTAATTAAAATCGATACTAAATTTAAATAGCTCTATTATACACTTTAAATAAAATAGCAAACAATTTTGTTACCTACTCTCTAAATTTATAGGAATAAATATTTGTTGTTTCCTAATATAAATAATAATAAATAAACTTTCATACATTAAATGTATTAATAATCTCTTATAAAAAAATAGTAAATTTAAAACATATGCTGTTATCATATTTCGCAGCCCTGGTTGCTATATCAGCCGTTGTTATTAGCCGCCTTTGCTGAACTTCTGACCTTTGGTCAACTGCGCTCGAAAGATTTGGCCGTATATTAATAGTGTTTATCAGAACTATCAACACTGGATAACCGCGCAAATCCAAAAGATTTAAAAAGCAGGAAAAGCTGCACCTGAAATTGTTGAACAAAAGAAAAACCGGTTGCCACGGGGATTGGACAACACATTGCGTGTGAAAAGAGTTGGATCAGCACAGGTGCGATTGATTTTCTCGGCAGTTTGCCACGCCAACAGCAGCGGAAAATATGCAGGAGGCCTACATCAACATTAACTCCATTCCCACCCACATATTCACGTGGGGTAGGTGGATTGAGGAAACCATAACCGAGAAGGAGATTGTCATCTGCATAACCGGCAATCCTGGTTTACCTGGTTTCTACACAGAGTTTGCAGGCACATTGCAAAAAGAGTTGGGTGATCTTCCAGTTTGGGTGATAGGTAAGTAGTTTTCTTATGCTCGCAGTGAGTCAGTCATAGTACATTCTTTTTGCACTTCAGGACACGCTGGCCACGATGATCCACCTGAGGCTAGCATTCGGGAGGTTCCTCAACTCAGCGGCAATGAGGAGCTCTTCAATTTGGACGGACAAATCAGGCATAAAATTGCCTTCATTGAGAAGTACGTACCGAGCGATGTGAAAATCCACTTGATCGGACACTCTATAGGCGCCTGGATGATCCTTCAGCTCTTGGAAAACGAGCGGATACGGAACCGCATTCAAAAGTGCTATATGCTCTTCCCCACTGTTGAACGGATGATGGAGTCGCCCAATGGGTGGGTCTTCACCAAGATAGCCATGCCACTGTATTCGGTGTTCGGGTACATATTCTTCAGCTTCTTTAATTTCTTACCAGTGTGGCTGCGTCTGATGCTGATACAGATATACTTCCTGATCTTCTCCATTCCACGTCAGTTTCTGGGCACTGCATTGAAGTATTCCAAGCCGTCGGTGGCGGAAAAGGTTGTGTTCCTGGCCGACGATGAGATGGCCAGGGTTCGCGGCATACAAAGGGAGATTGTGGAACAAAACTTGGACATTCTGAAGTTCTACTATGGAACCACTGATGGCTGGGTACCCGTCTCCTACTACGATCAGCTCAAAAGGGACTATCCAAAGGTGGACGCTCAGCTAGACACTAAAAAGATCGCCCACGCCTTTGTCCTGCGGCACTCTCAACCGATGGCGGGAATAGTGAGGGACATGATCCAGCAGCATCGACGGGAATGAGATAAATTGTCGCCCTGGCCACGACTGTCTGCCCTGTCCTTTTCCCAATCAACCAAAACTAACAGACTTTGAATTCGGATTAGGGTTACACGTCCCAATAGTAATTCCTCTATCGTCTTTGTGTGACAATTAGTTATTTTTTATTAGTATCTTTTTGCAGCTCTCGAAGGAAACTAAATATAGTCAAAAATGATTTATATTGCTTGAGTAGTGCGTTATTTTTCCGGAGATCCTGACCTACTGCGGGATCCGGACTTCGATCGACTGCCAGAGCGTGAACGGGATCGGGACCTTGACCCAGATTGAGAACGAGACCTTGAGCGAGAACCGGACTTGGAACGCGATCTAGAACGGGAACCCGACTTAGAGCGGGATCTCGAGCGAGATCCGGACTTGGAGCGCGATCTTGAGCGGGAGCCTGATCTGGAACGCGCACGAGAACCAGATCTATCCGATTCCCCGCCAGATTCGATGCGGTTTTTGGCCCGCTTGCGCTTGGTAGCTCCGTCACTGTCACTGCCAGATCCCGAGGCACTCCTGCTTCTGCTGCGCTTGCGACTGCCATCACGTTCACTGCCGCTTCCGGAGCCACTGCCACTTCGGCTACCACTGCGATTTCGGCTTCTGCTCCTGCTCTTACTCCGCTTGCTTTCCGATTCGGATTCACTGGTGGATATCGTCTCCTTCGACAGCACTTTGAGGCGCTGCTTGGCCGAGAGTTTCTCCTTGGTCTCCTTAACCGGCTTGGGCTTCTTGCCCTTCTTTTTTGCTGCCTTGCCACTGGCCCGCGGCTCTTCCTCGCTGTCGCTCTCGTACTTTTCCGTCTTTCGTTTGCGTCCGCTGCCCTTTTTACGCTCCGTCTTGCTCTTCTTCTTCGTAGGCCGTTCTCCCTCGCGGCGAGGGCCATCGTTGTCACTATCGGTGCCAGAAATGTAGTCATCCTTGCGCCCTCGGCCGCCTCCTTTTTTGCGCTCTTTTTCTGGAGCAGAGTCGGCGATAATGAGCATGTTCTTGGTTTTCTCGACGTACTCCTGGCGCTTGGCTAGCAACTGCTCCCTGGAGGTCTTGGCCTCCTCCTCGCGACGCTTGCGCTGCTCGGCCACCTTCACCTTGAATGCCTCGCGCTCCTCTTCCTGCTTTCGGCGCAGCGAGCGCTCTTCTTCGTCGATGCGCCGAGCACGGCCCACATGGTATTGGGCCTGGGAAAGAAGATCCTGACAGGTGTTCGCCTCAATGCCGGCGACCTCGATGTTGAAGCGGTTCTTGTCGCCGTGCACCGAAAGGTATTGGAAGTACCTGTAAAGGTGATTTGTATTTATATTATATTAAAAAGTAAAGAGCCAGAATGATTATATAAGCCTATTTTTAATTTTTCAATTCATGCTGATATTTTTGCATTAATCTGTAGTAGTAATCTGATCAACTTTATTACCATAATTAAGAATTAGATTTCACGTTATCATCAGTTACTTAAGGTGACGGATAACAAAAAAGAAATTATGATTTGAAAGATCTTTGCACTTACTTTTGAGCCAGCTCTAATTCATGGACCGCCTGCAACACAATTTCCAGCGTGGATTTCTCATCCTTGAGAATAGCCATGGCCAGACGTGAAAGTACCACAGCTATATTGAAAAGTAGGACAGTATCCTGGGGAGCAACGCGGCGGGCTTTAAGGAGCACCGCCTTGGCCTCAACCAACTTGTTGGCTCGAAGATATGCTCTAGCCAGATATTGCATTACCTCTACGTTGTTATGCTTGTAGAACTTCTTCATGCAATTTTCGTACATCTGAATGGCGCTGATGTACTGCTTCTGTTCAACGTAAACGTGTGCAATGTTCAGCCACACGTCGCAGAAGTCGGCGGTGGCCTCGCGCACCTGGGCAAAGATATCCCGCGCCTCGATCACACATCCTTTATGGGCCAGCACAGCTCCAATTCCATTGGTTGCCCAAATATTTCGAGGATCGTTGCGGAGAACCTACAAAGCAGATGATAAATAATCTCATAAGAAATTGGAACAGGAAGCGCGATTAATATAGACCTACTTGCTTAAATATGGCCAGGGCCTTCTCTTGATGCTTCCTCTCTTTTTCCTTATCTCTACTCGGCTGATGCAGTGTCTGCAAGGAAAAATTGCCTAGAGCGATCAATGAGTAGGCATCCGTAGAAGTAGCCGGGTTCTTAAGGATTGTTTCAAAGTTCTTCTGACCCAAAGCAAACTGCATCTTGGCCAAATGGAGGTTTCCAAGCAGGGATCTTGCATCAGGATTGTCATTGTTGATGTTTAGCGCATCTTTGAAGAAATCAGAGGCCACAAAAATCAATCCCTTATCTCTAGCCATGCAACCCAGCCGAAGGTAGCAGTCAATATAATTGGGATGCTCCTTAAGAATCTCCTTGTACAGCTTGTCGGCCACATCATAGCTGCTCATTGCCTCGTTAAGACGGGCCAAGTTGTACTTCATGGTGACCTGAATGGACTCGTAGTACTTCACATCCTTATCCATCTCAGAAGTAGCGTGCTTTAGGGCAGACTCTAGAGTGTCCTTTGCCATCTTTAAGTTTCCCAGACGGTAGTGAAGCGAGGCTACGTTGTTCTGAATCTCAGCGGGAATCTCATACTTGGCTTTATCCCGAAGAATGCTTGAAGCCGTTCCGTAGGCATTTAACGAGGCCTGTAGGTCGTTCTGCTCCAGGATCTGCGCCAATTCTATCCAAGCTTCAATGTCTTCAGGAAACTGTTCTGTGACCTTCTTGAGGTGAGTCTTCGCCATATCTCGCTTGGTTTGCGAGTTAGAGTGGGCGTACAGAGATCCGAGAATCTTCATGGTCTCGTAATTGCCCGGCTGAATTTTGAGGACTTTCTCGAAGCACTGAGCGGCCTGAAAATGTATACTAACTTAGTAATTGAATTTAAAGCTCAAGGTTTCTTTCCAACTTACATTTTCCGTGTCACCACGATAGATATACATCTGGCCCAGCCCGTAATGCGGCAAAACAAAGTTGGCTGGCGCGATCTGAGTTGATTGGTAGTAATATTGGAAGGCCTGATCGTAGTCGCTCTGAGCGTGGAAACTCCTAGCCAGCTGGTAACAGCTCTCGGCACGCATGGCCTCATTCTCAGTATTGTGGAAGGCGTGCAGCGCCAGATGGTGAACTTTCTGATAGTCCTTTTTAAAGAAGAAGTGATTGGCCAGATGATTAAGCACCATTGGATTGGCATTGTCGATGGTGTATGCCTTGGAAAGCATCTGAACACCGAGCTTATTGGACTCGGGCTCCAGTTGATTTAGTTTAAGCACGGCAAGGCCAATTAAAGCACCAACACATTGTTGATCCAGTTGGAGTGCGCGCTCAAAGGCGAGCTTGGCCTTCTCTGGGTTACCCATTTTCAGAAAGCAGTGGGCCATGCCAATTCTCACGTTCGCCGGGCAGTTTGGGTTGGTCCTCAAGGCCTTCTTGTAGAAGGCCATCGCTCCGCGGTAATCTTTGCGATTGAAGGCGATACAGGCCTTACCAAGCAGCGAAGGAATATTCGATGGGGACTGGTTAAGCACAAAATTGAATTGGGCATCAGCCTGGTCCATCTTGTCACCCTCTAGCAGACAAAAGTAGGCTCTGCCCAGCAGATGGCTCTGGTCGTACATGATGATTTTGTCGGCACTGGTGTACAAGTTGGTGGCCTTCATGAAGAGCTCACGCTTCTTGTCTTTAGACTTCTCGCGGTAAGCCTCCTGGACATAGTGAGCGGCCAGCATGTCCAAGGCGCGCATAAGGTCCTTGTCCGAGTCGCGGTAATCCTTGGTGGCGTCATCGCTGCGCGACTCCTCCAGCAGTGTGACAAAGTCCTCCGTCTTTTTTTGCTTGTAGTAAGCCAACTGAAAAACACGTATGCATGTGGAACCTCTCAAATTGTAGGTAGTTTTCTACATACCGCCACATTAACCCAGACATGTAGAGGTGCTCGCTCCTGCTTAAGAATGCTCAGTACCTCCGGACAGTCAGGCAGTTGATCTGGGTCCACCTCGATCACCTAAGTCAGAAAAAACCGTAGGTAAATTTTTATAAACTGAAATCCTTGAGCTGAAATCTCACCTCATCGGTGTCCTGCAAGGGAATCTCGATGCAGTTAGACATGGTTGCGGCGGCTTTAAGCCAACAAACTGAGCGATGAAAAACGGTTCACTTGCCCCTAAAACTTGTTAAAGCGTGCAAAATCAGTAACAGTAGCAAAATATCTTAATTCTTTTCCATTCCGGTACGCTTGCTAGAGGTGGCAGAAGAGTCGATTGGATGGGATTTCGATAACGATCATTCATCATTGATATGACAGTGATGCTAGATGGGTTATTTTCAAGCCGAATACCAACTGCGTTTTATTTTTTGAAGGTAATTGCAAACAAGTTTAATTTTGTTGAACCATTTTTTTTACTCATTAATTCCTCAAAAAATTTCTTTTAAGTTTAAATTTTTTTTAGATATTTAATCTAGCTATACATGGCAGTTCAGATGGCATAGTACTTAGCAATTTCAAAACCTTGGCAACTCTGTTAGTCGTAGACAAAAAAATTTATAGATAGAATATAATGTTGTCAAAACCACCTGAAAGATAGTGAAATTCGGCTTAATTTTAAATTTAGATCACGCTGCGTGCAAGTGAGATGTGCTAGTCGATAAGATAAGATGCTGGCCCTGGGCAGAACGGCCTCCTTGGGCGCCTTTTCCGCCACACCCTTCACCTGTCGCCTGGCAGTAGCCTCGAAGAAAACGAAAACAAAAACAAACGTACACAAACAAGGGCGAACAGATGTTTCTCTCCTGTTACGCAACCTCGTCAATTTGGCGCAAAATTCAATGACGCTTGCCAAAGCAGCGCCGGCGGCCGTGGGAATAGCAACACGTGAAGTGACGGCACATAGGCAGCAGCAGACAAGTAGGCGCTTCCACAGTTCTTCAGTCGGAAAATCAAGGTATTCGGCCAGCACCATAATGACTTCCTACCACAAGGAGCTACTCCTCAAGGACTACGATATAGTGGGCTTCGATCTGGATGGCACCCTCCTTCGCTACAATCTCCGCGAGATGTCTGCTATGATCTACCACGTTCTCAAGCAATTCCTTGTAGAGCAAAAGGGCTATGACAAGAAGCTACTGGCTCAGCCACTCAATCTTGACTTTCTGCAGAAGGGATTGTTTCTTGACGGACCTCGTGGCAATGTCCTGAAACTCAGCAACGAAGCTCAGATCCTGAAAGCCACTCATGGCACTCGTCTTCTTAGTGACACGGAAGTCGAATCCATCTATGGACCCGACCGAAGGTGGGATATTACCACCGCCTTCTACAGAGATCCATTGTCGACTTGGAATGGCGCGGCCTCGACGCAAATGCGATCGCTGCTGGATTTTTTCGATATGCCTAGTGCTTTGGTTTTTGCTCAGGCCGTGGACCAGGTAGATAGGGAGCAAAAGCCACCGCCAGGGGAAGAGTATCAGGTTTGGCAGGATGTACAGGCTGGCCTGATGAACATCTATAGTCGCGAGAACTTTGCTAACGATCAGAGTCTGTATTTCAAGAGGATGCGGGCGGAACCCGAAAGATATGTACTCCAAACGGATACCAGTGTTATGAACTGGCTGGGCGAACTCCGGAAATCGGGAAAGAAGCTGTTTTTGCTCACCGGATCCAATGTGGACTTTGCCAATTTGACCGCCACGCAAGCACTAGGCAAGGACTGGCGAAAATATTTTGATTTCGTGGTAACCTACGCCAAGAAACCCGGATTTTTTACCATACAGCGCCCTTTTATGCAAGTGGATGTCGAGCAACTAGCGGAGCTGCCGCAGGAGGCGGAGGAAATAAAAGCGGGAGGCGTCTATTCCCAGGGTAACTGGCACCAGCTGCATGCGGCCATGGCTAGTATGATGCAGAAGGAGCCGTCGAAAGCCAAGGCACTATATTTCGGTGACAACATAATCCAGGATGTTTACACACCGGTCAAGCACCGCGACTTCGATGCCGTTGCTATATCCGAGGAGCTGCTCCTGGACGATGGTAAGTATCCGTATGCCGCTGAGTTGAATTCCCAGTTGTGGGGCTCGTACTTCGCCCTGGACTGCACGCCGACCTTGTGGTCCAGTTTCATCAGCACCTACGCCCAGTTGTGCGTGCCCTCGGTTGAGCAAGTGGCACAAACTTCCCCAGAGAAGCGAATCATTTGTTCCAATCCCTACGGCTTTAGTCCGCGGCTACCTAAGGAGCTGGAGACAGTTCAGCTGGAGAGCTGCTGGAGGGGATGAGTGAGTCTGCCTTGCTATCACCTTCCTGGAGACAATAAACGACATGCGACCTCAAGGCGCAGTAAATCCGATAACGCTTCTTTCAGCTGGAACCTCGTCAAAATTCTTACGTACAAGAAATTGTATTTGCTATCAGCAATAAAAACGCGAACTTCTGAATTATTCAATTAGCATCTACATTGCATGCCATAGCTATAAGGTTTTTAAAAATTCAAGGAGATTTGTAATGCATAAAAAAGGTATTATTTGAACACTTTAGTGAATTGTGACTAGCGGAAATTTTACAAAAAGTTTATAATTTCTCAGTATTTGAGGTATTCAGGCCTTATCTCATTTCAGTTTAGGTATTATTCCGAAGTCCAAATTAAAGGCCGATAAAACTATGTGCACAAATATTGAATATGTTTCAACTGATAACCAACTATGAAAAGCATTAAAAAGTTTTCTAATCAAACGGATTATACATTTTAAAATACTTTAGCCCAATTTATTGCATAAGTTAACCATAAAATGCTTGATAACTAACTAGTTTTTCAATAACTACGATGTATTTTAAAGTGATGCCTTGGCCTATTTGACTAAATAGTTAATGATGACAATGTATAAAACTGTACTCAGACTCTCAATTAGATGCTAATTTAATTCACACTATACAAATTGTTGCATATGTACCAACAGAAACTAAAAGCAAATAAAATGGGTTGTGCATCATCATAACAAATGCTTATTTTTAAATAAATTGCAGCCGAGTGTGACGCAACTCAGAAAATTGCACTGGATCAATTTCGTTTCCTAGAAATAGCAAATTTCATTTTGCTTACCCACATAAGTTGAGAGGTCCACGTCACTTTAAATTTAATTTTCAACATGTTCTAAATTAGTTTAATTGAGTAGACTTTGTGACTGCGCTTGAGACATAGGTTGTGCCCTATAAGTACGTGGGAATACTACACGATTATAAAATGGAATATAGAAATTGCAAACTGTACACTTAAGTAAGAAGGCGGAAACGGCAATAAATAGTTAGGATGACGTGAATACATATTAGATGAGGCGCTCTACGGCCAGGGCAATTCCCATGCCACCACCAATGCAAAGGGATGCGATTCCCCGACTCCCGCCAGTGCGCTCCAGCGCATAGAGCAAGGTGACCAGGACACGGGCACCTGATGCTCCAATCGGATGACCCAGGGCAATTGCGCCGCCATTTACATTTACTTTGCTGGCATCTAGCTTTAGCTCCTGGAGTACAGCCAGTGATTGAGCGGCGAAGGCTTCATTAAGCTCGTAGAGATCAACTTCCTCACGCTTCCAGTTGACTTTTGTCAGCTATGAAATTGCCAATCTTAAAATAAATACGAAGGAATAGAATTATTTCATACGTACCAATGCTTCAACTGCAGTCACTGGACCCAGACCCATCACCTTGGGTTCGATGCCAGTCTGCGTCCATCCAACAATCTTGGCCAACGGCTTAAGACCCTTTTTGGCCACCTCGTCTCCGGACACTAGTAGCACCGCAGCAGCTGAATCGTTAACACCAGAGGCATTGCCAGCGGTTATAGAGCCGCCCTAAATAAACAAGAGAAAGTGGGTTAGTTGTTTCGCTTATTTTTGTCTACATATGTTTTAAACGTACCTCTTTGAAGGCTGCTCTCAGCTTCTGGATGCCCTCTACGGTGCTGCCCGCCTTGATGTACTCATCTTTGTTGAATATCTGCGTGCCCTTGCGATCCTTGATCTCAACAGGCACAATCTCCTTGTCAAAGAAGCCATTTTTCTGAGCCTCTTCGGCTCGATTTTGTGACTGCACGGCATAGGCATCCTGGGCTTCTCGACTGATTTGGTACTTCTCTGCCAGATTCTCGGCCGTGATGCCCATGTGTATATTCTCCATGGCATCGGTGAGACCGTCGTGAATCATTGAGTCCACCAAAGTGCCGGGACCCATTTTGACGCCCTGTCGGAGGTGCATGACGTGTGGGGCGAGAGACATGCTCTCTTGGCCTCCGGCCACCACAATCTGGGCATCTCCTGATCGAATGGCCTGGTAGCCCAGGGCTACAGTCCTGAAAAGAGCCGAAAGCCGGTAAGAATATGTGGAACCATGTAAAACACTCTTGCAAACCCACTTCAAGCCGGACCCGCAGAGCATATTGATACCGTAGGCGGGCACCTGGATGGGCAGACCAGCTTTAAGCGATGCCTGACGGGCGGGATTCTGACCCTGACCAGCAGCCAATGCCTGACAAAGATATTTACATAACAAAAGGGTATGATAAGCAAAACAAAAACACACAAATGGTGATCATACCTGGCCCAAGATCACCTCGCTGACCTGCTGGCCTTCAACATTCGCCCGCCGGAGAACCTCCTGGATCACCACACTGCCCAACTCGGAGGCCTTAAGTTTAGAAAGCGATCCATTGAAGCTACCTGTTGATTTTTTGGGTGATTGGACAAACAGAAAGAGAAAGTTATCAATTGGAATTAGGATATCATGTGTGATTCAGCTGATCAATGTTTGTTCTACCAATGGGAGTGCGAGCAGCGGACACGATGAACACGTCAGACATTCTGAATAGACGATGGACAGATGTTTACGTCTTAGCTAATGGGCAGCAAATAAAATTATAATTTTCGAAATTGTTATTGGCTGTCGCAGTGTGACCAGTGTGTGGAGTGAGAGCGATAGTACTGTTTTCAAATACCTCGTTCTCACATAAAACATATAAGATAACTGAGCAATATATTTACTAAGAGCTTACTTCTATGTTACCAACTTTTACTGCTTATTTGAATAATTTTAAGCCATTTTTGCAGCAATTGTAATTCTTAGATAAGTAGAATGATTTCCATGCAGGGTGGCTGTATGCTTTAAAGATTATACCCAAACGGTATTTAGTATTTCCTCCACACCGGATGGGATATTTGAACAGTCCAGCCGCGGTCACACTGCAGTACACAGAAAATTTACATTTTTTGTTGAGAAAATTAGGGAATTCAACGCACAAAAGGCAAATTACCGAGGTCCAAAACGCAAGGCGCGATCATCAGTCGCCCCAAGGACCAAAAGGCACTGCAGAAATAGTCCGGGATTTAGGGATATCAAGGATAAGGGCCTTCGAACGCAACAGCCCTCCGCCGCCGCCGCCCAAAAAGAACCAACAAAAAAAAAACGACTGAGGACTGCCAACCAGCCATAAGAAGAAGCACCCCCGCAATCTTCAATCTCCAATCTCTAGAACACAAAGCACTTCACTCCAGAACTAGAAATCCAACCCGGAAACTAGCACCATGCAGGCGATCAAGTGCGTCGTCGTCGGCGACGGTGCCGTGGGAAAAACCTGCCTGCTGATCAGCTATACGACCAATGCCTTTCCCGGCGAGTACATACCCACCGTTTTTGACAATTACTCGGCCAATGTAATGGTCGATGCCAAGCCCATTAACCTGGGCCTCTGGGATACGGCCGGACAGGAGGATTACGACAGACTGAGACCCTTGTCCTATCCCCAAACCGATGTCTTCCTCATCTGCTTCTCGCTGGTGAATCCAGCTTCGTTCGAGAACGTGAGGGCTAAGTGGTACCCGGAGGTGCGCCATCACTGCCCAAGCACTCCCATAATTTTAGTGGGCACCAAGTTGGATTTGCGCGACGACAAGAACACAATCGAAAAGCTGAGGGACAAGAAGCTGGCGCCCATCACCTACCCGCAGGGTTTGGCCATGGCCAAGGAAATCGGAGCGGTCAAGTATCTTGAATGCTCGGCCCTGACGCAGAAGGGTCTAAAAACCGTTTTCGATGAGGCCATCCGATCGGTTTTGTGCCCCGTGCTACAACCCAAGTCCAAGCGCAAGTGCGCCCTGCTCTAAAAGAGTTAGAGAAAGAGAGTTCACCCAATTGGACTCGGCTTAAACGTAATATTATTAACTATAAAACCATTATGTAACCTAAGCGTTGGCCAGGCTAAAAGGCTGATCCGTAGTTTCTTTGTTACAATTTTGCCACTAATTTTCGCTGCTACATGGGATTCTCCCAATCAAACAATTGCTTTCGTTTCGTTTCTGAGTTCGTTTCGTGTGTTCTGTAATTCATAATCCAATTCTGTTTACCCGTGCATTAATTTCAACTAAAAGTTAAAAGCGAGATGTTTCTAGATAAAACGGAGAAGTGTAAACTCTAACTGTATTTTGTATTATTTAATAACTTTTGTAATTAAAATTAATGTTGTAAAACTGAGGTAAAACCAAAAAAACTACAAAAAAAGTGAGGAAAGGACGAGAATAGCCGCATAAAGAGCATAAAAGTAGATGTCGCCTGTTGATCGAAGGTCCTCTAGCCGGGATCAGGATATTGAGTCAGTAAAGTAAACGTTCCATTGCAATTACACTTACATTATTACATACTTGTATTTAGATGTTGTTGGATATCGAAGCGACGAAGCGGCAGGTAACAACTTTTTAAACTTTTGCTAGATCCAGGAACTATCAATATATATATATATATATACATGTATGTATAAGATGAAAAGTCCTTCGTATACTATGTACTGAAATTAAAGGCATCAAACTGAGAAACTTTGAATACTTTGTATTTTAAAAAGTTAGATATTCAAGAAAACCAACAGCAACAAAACAAGAACGAAACCAAGATAATTATATAAATGTGTCTATTTCAATGGAAATCAATAAAGCATAAATAAAAAGAACGACTAGTTTTGGTGTAAAAATTTAATACATTTTTATAACTTTATTGTTAAGGTTTTCCTTAGATATTTTCTCTTCCACTCTGACAAAAAGATGTTGTCCAAAATTTGATTTATTATCTGCCATAAATGTTATGCAAAAATATGAATGGAAAAGAGACTGAAACTTGTTTTAGCTGAGCATATTCTTAGAGACCGGATTTATCTGAACTTTTATTATGTTTTACTCTTTTCTTCATCAAAATCTAAAAAGCCCGTAGCAATCTTACTCACACTATCCCACACAATATTATTATTATTCTCATGTGTTCATGTCATAAAAGACTGGAAATTGTTTATCAAACTACTTTTTATCAGTCGCCGACACCCGCGAGTGTTCACTGTACCCAGAAGCGGAGACAGACTTATCATTGCCCAAAACCCTATTATTTGCTTATCTCGGCGAAAGTTGAGAACCGAAAATAATCTAAATCAGCTTGAAGCGAAGTAACCGATTCTCGTAGTTCTCACCCTACACAGGGTAAAAAATAATTTATATTTTCTTTTAGTTTTTTATTATTCAAAACATTTTGCTAAACACATTTAAACATAATTTAAAATCATTTTGGTAATTAAACATAGGAAATTTAGTAAGAAACAGAATAAAATTGTAGGGAGTATTGAGTTCAAAATCACAATTGATTGTTAAGTGTTATTTTGTAAATATTACGATTTCAAGCTAATAAGAATATAACTTTTCTTCCAGTGCATACTCTCTCTTTCAGTGTCTCCGATTGAGTGTGTTGCTTGGAATGTTCTCGCAGCTGGAAACGAATCGGGCTACAGCGAAAATCATTTATGTTTATATGTTACACAGGCAAATGCGGCGTATCTGTGATTCTGGGCAAAGAGGAGGGGTCAAGTGACGACATGTGTGTGCGGATGGGGCGTTCGTTCCAGTGACGTGGCCATTGATGCTCCAAGAGCTGACGTGGACGCGTTTCAATTAAACAAATCACCTCAAATCAATTAGTTGTGGTGCCATAATATATGTATGGGCCCTTCATTCGAGTTGGTTTACAATGCACTTTCAATGGTCTTAGGATCTAGTAGAGTTTTACAAATTATTTGGCATGCGAAATGGGAGATTCATAGGATCAATCTTAATCTCAGGGATGCTGGGTATTTGGTAGACTGTTTAGAACTCATCGTGCCGTGCTAGAGCTTCACCGAAATCTGTGGCTTGGGAGCCCACGAAAACGTCATATTTGTCAAGGATTTCTTCTTTGGTCAACTTGTCATCGTGATCCGCATCAGCCTCAAACAGCAGGTGTTTGGCTTCGCTCTCCGAATGATCCCAGTCGTGGGGCGCTATCCACAGCTTCACCTCCTCCTCGTTCAAATAGCCATCTTTGTCCAAGTCGCGATGGGTTGAGAACGCCTCCCTCTCGTTGGCCACCCACTCAGGTTCCTCGTCATCTTCGTCGGTCGATCGGTACATGTCACCAATGTACTCGTCCACCGATATCTTGCCATCATTGTCCTTATCTAGGTCGGAGATGGTTTCGCGCAGGACCACATCCTTCATTCTGGGGTGATCTTCGGGATGCAAAAAGGCAGTAAACTCTTCCCGGGTGAGATTATCATCCAAATCCTGGTCGGCTACCGCCCAGCGGTTGCGATCCCGCTTTAGCAGGCTCTTGTAACTGACTCCTATAAAAAGATTATAAAGATTGTTAAATGTAAATTAACAATGTGTCTTTACTTAAGAGTATTATTATTATTATTAAAAAATATTTTTAAAATTCAAAAATACAATAATTTTTACACACCATTTTCCTCCTGTTCCCTTTCTTGGCTGCTCAATTCATCCATGAACCCGTAGACTGTGTTCCTGTAGGAATCCCAGCTGATGGAGTTATTTTTCTCGGGATTGTGCTGCTTCCACAGGCGATCCACATCCTCCTCGATGTAGCGCCTCTGCGTGTAGGCGACCCAATTCTTAAGCTCGGCCAAAGTGACGAATCCGTCCTTGTTCTCATCAATCCGGTCCACAATGACACCCAGTCTCCGCCTGCTCTCTTCCGGCGTCAGGTTGTCGAACTTCTTGGACTCATCTGGACCCAAAAAGGCCTCATGATCGAACTGTGCATTGTGCTCGCCCCCATCGAAGTGCTTGGCGTGCAGCGAGTCGTACTCTAGCGGATTGTGGGGCACCTCTTCCGGAATACTGGAGGCACTTGCGCCACTTATCGCCCCCGCGGTTAGTGCAACAACAAGTATCAGCATCTGGATCCCGGTTCCAGTGATGTTCCAACGCGACGACATCTTCATCCGAAAGGCAAACTCAGAATGAATCGTGAGACTCAAATTTTGAACAATAAACTCTCGGCAACTCTGCCAGTGTTGAGAAACGTTGAATACCAAGTGCTGTCCAGCTGGCGGGACTTTTAAAAATGAATGTCCAGTATAAACAAAAATTAAGGTACTTTCTTTGTAAGTAATAGTTTATTTTATTGGCTTCCATGTCGCCTTTAAGAATAAAAAAGACGATACGTACTTTATTGGTTTTCGATTGCATTTATTAAACGTCCGTTCTGTAAAGCTAGTTAAATATTGTACAAATAAATATGTGCAAACTTTAGAATTGAAGCGACTGGCTAGCTACAATATATCACTTATCTCTATTTACATTCGTGTATGTGCAGGGAGGGATTGAGACAGGGTGCGTGAGGCAATTATTTAGGAGCCTCGGAGCCTTCCTGACCTAGCGAACTGAAGTCTCCAGTATTGCAGGAGATGCTGGGAATATCGAAATTCGAGAAGCCACGATAATTGGCAACCTCGGGCTTTAAGGGGGATGGAAGTAGGACAGCTGTGCCAGGCACTTCGCTGTCAATCAGGCTGTCCATGGTGCTGTCCAGCAGACTAGTCTCCGGCAGAGCAGGAGGTGGCTGGTTAACTGAGCCTCTTTGCGCCAAGGGATCAAATTCGTCGAGATTGGGCTTCGTTTCATCCGCGGTGCTGTTTTCACCACTCTGATCTGACAAATCAAAGTCGTAGTTGATGTTGGTTAGGCCTCCATGAAACTCGGAACCCAGCATGACAACATCTGGGTTTCCCTCGGAAGACGGCTCCTCCAACAGGGAAACGGCATCAAAGGCGGCGTAATTGAAGATTGGAGAAGCGAAGAGGTTGTCGGCTGGCTGAATATTTTGATGCAGAGGCGACAGACGACCCATGGAACCCATGCTGGTGTCCTTGAGGGACAAACCAGAGTCTTCCGGTGCTATTGCGGGCTTTGCCAAGCCACCAACTGCAGTCAGTGATTGCGAGGTCAACGAACCGCCACTTAGCACATTCGCCTGATAATGACCAGCTTCGTTTTCATTGAGGAGGTGAGCTCTTGCTTGGCCAATCAAAAAAGCGGGCGTTTTTATGGGCAGCAGGTTGAGTGGCGCCTTCGCTATTACGGTGTCCACTCGTTCGGTCACCTCTCTTTGGAAATCTATGAGCTCCTTTTCAAATGTAGTAATCCCGGTGCTTATTAGCGCGTTTCTTTTCTGAAGCAGCTCCATCCGCTTCATATTTTCGGATATTAAGTGAATACTCTCGCAGGCCAACAGGGCACTTTCCCAGGGCGTACTGTAGGATTGCTGTCCGGACATCAGAGCTGCGAACTCTTCGCTACTGATGCCAAGACTCTCCCCATTCAGATTCTCAATAAAGGCAATTGCCGAGCAGAGATTGGTGAAGTAGTACCCACTCTCGCCGCTCATCACCCGTTGTGCATTTGTAAAGCGTGTAACGAAATTAATATTGCTGTGGAGTCGCACAGGATTTGCCTTCAGTACCACAAATATCAGGGCTGGTAAAAAGTCATCCGCACTGGCTGGCCCACCGGTGGCCCGCTTAAGCAGCTCGAAGATGTGCCTACAGCAGCGCCAAGTGCATTGCAGCTTCTCCTGCGGCGAATAATACGAATCGATTCCCACCAATTCAGATATAGCATTGTACACTAGGTCCCTGGCCTCCGAGTTAACCTCATCAATATTGCAGTCTAGATGCTTGGCCGTAATCCAGCTCAGCTGGCGTATGCGCTTTTGAACTGTTACATCGCTGTCCTCATCCGTAGTGAAGTAGGGACTAAAGAGGAATCTGAAAAATAAGAGTTCCCCGGCTTAGAGATAATTGCTTTTTAGATATCAATATTTTGGATGACTCACTTGTGGTTCTGCGTCATCACCACTTTCTCAAAGAAGTCAATGGCACTATCGCGATCCTCGTTGGTGGCTATCTCGAAGCTGGGATCGTTGTGCACAATGTTTGAAACCTTGGTGTATGCATTTTGCACTAGATCCGACAATTCGTTGATGTTTTTGCCGCCATTTCCGTTCATATACTTGCGTATTTCGCTGTCCAAACGTTGGATCTCACCCTTTAGTTTGCGCTTCCCATCGTCGGGAATACGAAGCTGGCGGAGCTGTAGCAAGAACTGCCCCTCCGTGGGATCGGGCACATGACTACGCTGTTGGGTGACTAAAGAATAACCAATATAAGCTTCAAGATGAAGGATAGCTATATAATAATACTTTTTTGGGCTCCAGCTTGAAGAGTTTTCTGTAGGACAGAGGTAAACTTCTTCTTTTGGAGAGTTCCCGAGTGATCCTGCTCCTTGTCTACCACCGCCTTTCTGGTTTGCTGTTCCGTTTTTCCGTGAAGATGTCCATGTTGAGGCGATCTGCGCTCAATGGAGCCAGGTGAGGAAGAGGATCCTGGGCCCGTTTCGCCTGCCTTCTCTGTTAAGAACCACTTCATGACTGAACGATCTCTTGGGTATTATACACATTGTGTATCTCCCAGACTTACGTCTCAACTTCCGCTGCTTATCATTAAAACACATTGAGCAGAGTCCGTCGTTCTGGGGAGTTCCGTAGAATCCGCATCCCGTGCGGCACTTCAAGTCCTGCTGCCCCAGGCGCAATGACGGAGGTCGAGTCGCCGTTGACATCTCGTGTTTGAGTATAGAATAGCAGCTACTTATCTCTGGGAGTCACTTTGTTTCCTCTTGTTTTGTGTGTAATTTACAGAGATAAATAATTCGACTGCTGACAGCGTTGCCAGATAGTCTTTTATCTAGTGGTGGCACATCGGTTAGATGGGCAATGCGAGATAGAGATGAGCTGACTCGCCAGTTTGAAGCAACCGCCCATCTAATGGAACCAGTTTAGTTCAGGAGGAATTTTAAGGGGAATTCCCGTTACATTAAGGCGGATTCCTAATATCCCAGAAATAACAAAGAATCAAATTACGTTCCACTAAAATTGAATTTTAGCAAATTTTATTCGAAAAAAAATATTTTAACTGCAACTCAGGGGAATTTGCATAAATTTGTTCGAATACATTTAGTAAAACCGTAGTGCCCTAGGAAAAATTTTAACATACATTCAATTTTTGGATTCACACAAATACTTTAAAATCCAGTTTCTCATTTCGTTTTTCGCTTTAGCAAGTTGATAAAGTAGTTACATTTAGGACGGTTATACACGTAAGAAGAATGCAATTTCTGGTAGGGACACAAATAGTGGTAGTTCACAACAGCGATTGGAAAAAGCTCATAAAACAGAGAGTTATGGCTAAGACTAGACTACGAATTTTTAAAGTTTTGTCCTAACTGCTTTACACGCACTACGGCATCGATCTTGTTCCCAATGAAAAATCTAAATCTGCAAACAAACTTCTATCTCGTCCAGCTCCCAGCTTAATTGACGCTCCAATATTGCACTCAGCTACCAACAACTCGACTAGTTCAACACTACTCTACTCTATCTCTAGTTCTTTTAAATTTGTTCTCTTGTCTAGCAGTAAAAAGATTTGGAAAAACCATTTTGTCTTTGTTTGTGTTTGATTAGTCTTAAAAATTGCTAATTCTATTTCGCTACTTTCATCAAAATGCAACCTTGCCTTGCCCGTGCTCAACTACTATCGATAGTTTACGTATACTTAACATGATCGTTCTTGTCTTCCTTCACTTTCCATTTGCAATTCAACCGTTTCGAAAAAGTCTCGTGTATAGTTTTGAACTGGAATTTAACACTACTTATGATGTCTTTGGCTTCTGTTTTTGCTTTGTATGCGTTCAACTCTTACGGCTAAAAATGTAATTATCGTTAACACGTTTTCAACAGTTATGCTGCTTTTGTTTTTGGTTATAGTTTTTGATTAAACATTCTTTGGTTTTTGATTCGTATGTAAGTGTGTGATGTGAATATCAATTCGCTACAAAAGAGTTGCATTTGTAAAAATTCAAGTCTAACGATTTGCTTCAATAAATTCCTTGCTCCAATCGCAGGTCGATTGGAATCAGTTGGCTGAATCTGATGACTCTGGTTCTTGTTTTGTCTGCGATTTATGAGTACCCTGTGTATTCAAATTATTGCTTTGTATTAAATAAGAAGTACAGTACACGATGAAGAAGTCATAGCGAATTTTTGATTATATACAATTGAGGGAACAAATAAGTATACATGTATTTTGATTTAGATTGACTCCTAATTAAGTACAAACTAATATCGAATCACAAATGTAAAATAAATACAGTTAAAAGCTTTAAAACTATATAAACTTTTGATCATGACATACTTAATTTTTAACGACCTGTAATTATAATTTCTTAAGAAAATCCAAGTCTCTCATTAGTTAGAAATCTATTTACTAAATATGTAGTTCCCCCTTTCGACTCTGTACTGTACTTCGCTAACTCGCTAGGATTCTACGTAAGTCCGTTTAGGAGTGAAAAGTACTTTTGGTTCGTGGGAGGACTATTTGGTTCAGCGAGCTGGTTAACTGAAGTACTTTAGGCCCGCAATCAGCATAAATTTCTCAATGAATAACTCTGAGTCCAGGACTGCAATGTGGGCCGCTCGCCCTATTAAAGTGTTGGCCGTATGGGGCAGAGCATGGTGGACATCGAAGCGGGCCAAAGTCAGTTCCGGCTTGGCCAAAATCGGAGCTATTATATTGTGCACCATTTCCCTGAAAATGAAATTTTATAGTCATTGATTTGAAATTATTCTGCTCTCATAATCACCTATAAATGGTGCCTAACGAGGAGCTATCCCTTATGGCCGCCTTGCAAAGTTCCAAGCGAGCCGAGTGTGCCGGCACATAGCGATCCTGGCTAGATCCACAGAGCAGGATGTTCTTGAAATGATGCAGGGTGCTCCTCTGGCTCAGCCTGTACAGGAAACTATTCCGCATATCAGTGGTGTCACGCATGCAGAGCTGCAGCAGAGATCCGGATTTTTTCCACTTCTGCATGAACCACATTCCTACGGAACATATAATGAATATTGTGTTTCACCTAAAGATTTTTATAGACTTACCCATGTTGACCAATCCACTGGTGTTGTAGAGTGTTCCCAGGTGAGGTCCCGACAGAGAAAGAAAGGTGTGCAGACGTGGGAGCAAGGGCCGCATTTGGGGCCTGGCCAACGCGCTCCTCACTATTATCGTGCCAAGGGAGTGGGCCACAAATGAGATGCGAGCGGGATTCAGGGCGCAGCTATCGATATGGTAGAGTATCTCGGATACCAGCCTAAGGTTTCAAAATCGAAGAATTTGTAACGTTATTAAGTGCTTCCAAGGTGTTGGCCTACTCACCGATCAGTCATGGTGTCAAAGTCCGAGAAGGTGTCTCCCTGGTTCCGCTCAGACATGAGAAACTCGAGATTTACACCGGGTAATCCCAGTTCCAGGTAGGTGCGCACCAGCCTGAGATCCGCCGAATTGCCATCTAACCCGTGGACACAGATGACCAGGTGCATTCCGTTGGGCGAAAACGCGCGGTATTCGTCACTGATGTAAAAGTAGGGCAGTTCCGAGGCCAGCTGCACGTAATCGGAGTAGATGCAACCCTGGTATTTGATCTGCTTGCGGAACTCCTCGCGATACTTCTCGAATTCAAGGAGGGAGATGCTAGGAGGAGCCTCTTGAACGGCGGAAGAGATCTGGCCCTTGCGCTTATGCTTTGAAGAGGCGTTGGAACTATTTCCCTGCTTGGTTACCCTCACTTGGCCATTGGAGTTCTCCTTGTTTTCATCTTGTTCGTGGTCTAAGCCGTTCTCTAGCCCATTGCCATTGATCGCATGGGACTTGCATTGGTGGTTAGGAGGATTGGGAAGATTTTGGGGTCTCTTTAACTCTGCCAGGCTGTGGGATTTGAGCACAGGCTTGTTGCTGAAGATGGCTGGCGTGGACATGGGACGCAGTGACTCGTAGATATGGTACACTGGATTATCAATGGCACCAATGGGTTGCCGTTCCTTAAGGGGCGGTGGCAGATGACAAGACACCATCTTGGCTTTTCCCGTTGGAGGTAGTGCAGCTGGTATGGGCACTGGCAGAGGAACAGGTGTTATAGGTGCTGCAGGAGCTGGTTCCGGTGGCGGATCTCGGAATTCATCAGGTGGCGGTGGAGCCAGGACCAAAGCTATCTCCTGCTCCTGATCCTGAAACTGCTGAGGAGGTGGCAAGCACACTGCATCCAATGGCTGTATGTCCTTGAGACTCGTTATATCGAAGTCCGATTTTGATTTCTCACAGGCAGTCTTGTGGCGGTTCCTCCGCGGAGGTGGCTCCATTTCCTCCACCTCCGTGGACTCCCCATTGGGCAGGTGACGCAGTCTGTCCAACTGGTAACGCGAACGTTCCCGCTTGATATTAACCGTCACCGAGGAGATCTTCTTGTGAACCTCAGTTTGCTGTCGGGCAGGAGTCCTACTTTGACTGGAGGATCCTGCCTGCCGTTTTCGGGCTTTATGAGGATGTTGCTGCTGGAGCTGTTGTTGTTCCAGGACCTTTTGCAGTCGCAATCTTAGCTGTTCGCCGTTCAAACGGGTCTCCATGGCCATTCCCATCCCCAAATTGAGCTGAGTGTGTCTCTGCCGATTGGTTATACCCGTGCTGGTTATGGTATCCGGACTAGAAATGGCTAAGGAACTCCTCCGACTGCTTACCCAGCCACTCTCCTCACTGAGCGAAGAGGTGGAGTTGCTTCTTTGCCTTCTTAACTGCGAATCGGAATCGAATTCCGGTGGGGGAGCCAAGTTGGGCAGGGATTCACTGAAACCACTGGTATTCGGATCACTGCTGGTGGTGTTGTTGTTGCTGGTTCCCTCCAAGCGAAAGGGAACACTGGTCGAACTCAGCATCTGGAGCTTCTGCATCATGTCGCTCTCGGAACTGCTGGACTCCTTCCGCAATTGACCCTGCCTTAGCATCTCCTTAATGTCGGAGACCCTCACCCGTGCGATCTCCACTGCTCGAGGAATCTGGGAAGAACTGCTCCTAGGCATGGTCGTATGCTGACTCGGAGGAGGTGGTGGATAGGAGTTTCTAGGGGGAACCATCGACTTTGGCAGGGAGTTGTAACCATTGGTACACTGCTGTTGCTGTTGCTGTTGTGGGGCCACCTGTTGCTGTTGCTTGGGAGGATTCAGCAGCTTGATCTCATGGAGATAATCGAACTTTCCGTACCGCTGCCGAAACTCACATATGTTCCTCATCAGATCGTCGGCCTGAAGTCGGGGTAGCGTATGGTTATTGGTCGTCGTCACCGAGTTTGTGGCTAGTCCCTCGCATCCATCGAGTTGGTCCAAGGATTTGCTATGCCGGGCTGGTACACTTGAGTCGAGGTAGAGATCCTCCAGCAGACCGGTGACCGAGTGCCTGGACAGATTGTGTCGCAGTGTGGCAGGGGCTGTTACTTCCGCTGGTGGCTCCTTACTGGGAGCAATGGTGAGACTGGCCTGGAGCACTTCGCCACCCAAAGCGAATCTCGGGGTAATCACACACTTGGCATGCGGATGAGCTGGACCAGAACCATTGGTCTGCGGATAATCGTAGTCAAAATGGCAGGCCAGACAGTCTTTGATGCCATTCAAACTGCTGCTCGAGTGGGTCTTGTCCACCTTTTTCTTCTGACCACTAACCACTGAGATTGTTTCATCAATTTGAGGATCACTGCCGGATCTTCTTCTGGCATAAGTGCTGTTCGGGGCGACATAGCGATCCTCGAAGATCAAAGGCAATGAAGCTGCATCGCCATCAATGGGCGTACAATGAACGGGAAGTGGTGGGAGGGATTGCAGGTAGCGACTTCTTCTGGCCAACTCCGCGATGGCCACGTATCCCTGGCAATGGCCAGGTGATGGAGATCCATTGGCTTGATCCTGGCAACCAGCTGCCGCCGCATGACGCGGTTGCTCCAGCACAAAGAAACCCTCGGCAAACCGACGTACCCTGAGTATATGGTGTTTTCTGGCCAGGAGAGTGTGTACTGCAGTCGAGGATCTTGAGGCCAGGAGAACCCTTCTCCACCAGAATATGCTCTCCGCACAGAGTTGGGCTATATCAGAATTGGCCCGAATGGCAAAGTCTTCCTCCGCCTCAAGTTGCTTCGCCTGATCCAGTAAAAGTTGCAGCCTCTCCCCAGTGTCGTTTTCCCTCAAAGGCGGAGAGCCAATTTGCGAGTTTATACTGGGAGGTAACACTGTACTGAACTCGTTAAGAGTGGCCTTCAGCTGTTCAATGGCTCCTAGGTGTAGGGATATCAGAATGAAAAGGTTATGATGATATCAAACTCTGCCCTGCTTACCTAGGAGCAGACAGCAAATCTCTCGATGAATGGCCCTGGATTGTAGCAGCCTGCCAGCAGGACCTCCGCTGCACTTGGTGGTGCCACCAATCTGCGGTCCAAAGAACACCGCCTCTAAGGGTCCCGGCGATGTGTTTCCCCTACAGCTCAACTTGCCCGCACTCCACGGCTTCGAACTGCGAGGGGCACTAAAATACATAGAGAAATCCATAAAAACCGTAATTAAACTTTAATGCTTGGGGAACATCCCGTCCATATCTACCATATAAAGTTACACATAAAAAGATAGAAAAGGACAGAGGCGGACGGACGGATACATGAAGCAGGCTCTCCTGTCCACAGAAACTACACCAACTACGTGAACCGAGCGAAAGTACGGAATTTACACAGTTACGGAGAGTTATGGAGTTATGATGGGTTCTTACCAGAATTTCATATACGAGAACATGCTTTTCCTGCAACCGCAACCAGTTTTCAGTGTTGATTTGGTCAAGTTTGATCCGTTATTAAGTGATATTGGTATGGTTTATATATTTGGGTTAGGTTCGATATCGTTGGCGCGCACAAAATGAGATAAATGGATCGGAGGTTATAGAAAATGATAAATGGTTGACTTAAAACTGCGCTTATTGTACATGGGAGGGTGTCAAGTCTTGACAGTACCATAAAGATGTGAGGTTTTCATTAACACCAAGATAAATTATCTAAGTTCTTAGTTGGAAAAGGAAAATGATTTAATAAGATTGCATTGCTGGTAGTTAAAAAAGAGTTTTCTAGGACTATGAAAGAATAATAGAAAATTATAAGACCAGTTAAGAGTATGTATAAGGCTAAAGGTTCTAAGTTTCATGCCTGAAAACTTTCCATTTATACTAGGATAATCAACGTTAAGGAAGAACAAAGGAAAACATCCAAAAAATTCTGAAAGAAAAACATATTAGGTGAGGGTCACAAAAGAGATTCCGACTATTTAGATAAAAAAAGATTTTTGCAAAACTATAAATAAAGGGTAATCAAACTATCAAAAGAGACCTCTTGGAATAAAGTAACTTAAGGAGAAAAGAATGTTTCATTATCCGCAGCTCGTAAAGCTGAAAGTCTTATTTAGTCTTTAAAAGGCTTTACCCCAAACACTTTAAAGTTTCGCCCCGAAAATCCGCTGGTAAACCAATCCGACTCTGAGCGAGATTGGACTCCAGCCTGCCGAGATAATCGGGCAATTTACGGCGTGGCTCACGAGAACTCAAGCAGCGGGGATTGGAGAGCTGTAATCAGGATGAGAATACCACGCCGGGGCAGAGGCCAAGGTCAGCGAGGAATTCCAGAGCCCAATGAGATGATATTTTATTCATACGAAAGAGATAGACTCGCGTTGGGGGAATGGGAACTCATGAGCCCAGAGTCAATTTCAAATTCCGTTTCATATTTTGTTTGCCAAAGGATTCCGTACGAGGACTTCGAATTGCCAATCAGTGCTTGAGGAGCACCAGAGGATTTCCACTCGAAAATTGCCGACAACTTTTGGCAATAGAAAACAGATTAAAGAATTACTCACAGGAAAAAAACGGGGGAACTTTGTTAAGCTGAATGCTTGGATAATACAGGCAGAAGGATACAAACTTTCGCCGAATCAAACGGCATAAAAATTGACTCTGCAGTTGTACTCCACCAAGGATCCAGCCACGCCCCTTAGCTCCTGTTACGCCTCCGCATCTTGTTAGCCGTGCAAGTTTTCTGTTGTGTACTTTTCCCTCGACTTTTCCCGGCAGGAGCCAAAGGACAATTGCATTGCGAGAGTCATTAAAATTTATGCCTCGACATTTTTTGTATTCTCCGCTTTTTGTGTGAACAGTGGGCAGAAAATGGGGGGGCGAGTCCTGGGGAGCCTGTGTGCAATTTTAATGAGTTGGAAATGATTTGTGCGGGTAACTGTCCGCCAGATGCCCCGCTCCCCTGCCCGCTGCTCCTCCTCTGCTGATGCTGCAGTCCCCACGCAACAGCATACTATAAAAAGGGGCTCCAATGCCCACTTCCCCCTCTACCTCCCACGCAGCGGGTTCAATTTACTGTGAAAAATATGACTATATCAACGTTGACATTAGAGATCATGTTGTCATCTTCACTTTGCATCTCCTGCAGCGCCTGACACTCGAAGCCATGACTACACTGCGAACTACTCGATGGGGCTTACTATTTTAAATTGACGATGATACTTTCTGCATTTTTTGTTGCGAGTGCGGATTTAATGGATAATAAATAGAAAAAAGTAAACAAATATATTTTTGACCGAAATTTGCAATCTGCCTTTCGGCTTTGTAGCTGTAACTTGGTCAAAACAAGACTTACAGCCAAGAGAACGACTGTTTTGTACTGCTAACGACCAGCACTTACCACCCCTATCACTGCATTTTCGATTTTGAGAAAATCAATTTTTGCCGAAATTTTGCATTTTTTATAAGGGGTACATCATCAAAATCTGCGAAAAATGAAAAAAATTGAAGTGTCCCAGATTTGCATGCAACCCAAATGGGAATCATAGCAATTGAATTACGAGTCCTACGAGGTATTACATTTCATATTTGGACCATTTTTGGCTGTGCTATAACTAAAAAACTAATTTTTTTGGGCCCAAAATCATGAATACGTTTTTCGACAGCGGAAAACCCGGTTTCTTTGCCGTTTCTTAGCTGTAACTTTGTTAAAACAAGAGGCTCAGCTAAAACAATGACTGTTTTATGCAGCTTACTACCGAAACTTAAAACTCCTATACCTACTTTTAACATTATTGTCCTGCTTTTTTGTTGCGAGTGTTGATTTAATGGCTAAAAAATCATAAAACCTATTTTTGACAGAAATTTGCAATATTACTTGCGGCTTTTTAGCTCTAGCTCGGCCAAAACACGACTTACAGCCAAGAGAACGACTGTTTTGTGCTGCTTACGACCAGCACTTACCAGCCCTATCACTGGATTTTTGATTTTGAGAAAATCAATTTTTGCCGAAATTTCGCATTTTTTATAAGGGGTACCATCATTAAAATTTGTTAAAAATGGAAAAAATTGAAGTGTCTCAGATTTGAATGCAAACCAATTGAGAATCATTAGAATCAAATTACGAGCCATACGAGATATGATATTCCACATTTGGACCATTTTTGGCTGAGTTATGAAGAAAATACCGATATTTTGGGCTCAAAATTAAGTATACGACCTTTTGACAGCAGAGAGAGACGATTTTTTTGCCGTTTTTTAGCTATAAATTTGTTAAAACAAGCGGCAGGACTAAAACAATGACTGTTTTAAGCAGCTGACTACCAAATCTTAAAACGCCTATACTTACTTTTACCCTGCTTGTTCTGATTTCTTGCTGCGAGAGGTGATTTAGTGACTAAAATATCAAAAACCCCATTTTTATGCAGAAATTTGCAATATTACTTTCGGTTTTTCAGCTCTATCTTGGCCAAAATAAGATTTATAGCCAAGAGAACGACTGTTTTGTGCTGCTAACGACCAACACTTACCACCCCTATCCCGCGTTTTTCGATTTTGAGAAAATTAATTTTTGCCAAATTTCGCATTTTTTATAAGGGGTACCATCATCAAAATCTGCGAAAAATGGAAAAACTTAAAGTGTCTCAGATTTGAATGCAACCCAGATGGGAATCATAGCAATTGAATTACGAGTCCTACGAGGTATTACATTTCATATTTGGACCATTTTTGGCTGTGTTATGAACAAAATAATGATATTTTGGGTGCAAAATCAAGTATACGTCCTTTGACCCCTATAATATGTACATTTATTATTCGGTCTCCATTCATTTATCTTTTCCAGTGCACCTTGGGCACACCTCCACTACTCACTTGATGTACGGCTGATGGAGGGCCACGAGGCTGGCGTGGATGCCCACGCTGATGGCCGCCAGATGGAAGTAGTCGAACAGCACCGGCAGATGGTAGTGAAGGCCACGTCCCGGATGGAAGTTCAGCTGTAGGGTCCTGGTGGAGGCCAGTGTCAGGGTAGAACTGCCGGATCCAGAGAAGCTGCCCATCCCACTGCCATTGCCATTGCCGTTCAGGCTGCTCGTCCCGTTCTGCTCGCCAAACCAGAGCTCCAACTGCAGTGAGAACTCGGCCCGTTCAATGGACTCCTTCAGGTGACGACTGTCAACTGCAAGAGAGAGGTAAAATCAAGGGGGAAAAATGAATATCTATCTTGAGGTTGAGTGAACTGCAAATCCCCGGGATAAATGCGGCAGAAAATCCTGTATGCAAACATCCTATGCAGCCCTCACCCTGCCAATCCCTCCCAGAAGTCGATTTCAATTCCGTCTTCGGCTTATTTGTTTTTCTATTGATTTTCGTTTAGGTCGGAATAGCATTGTGGCGAGTGGGTGGTGGGGAGGTGCCTTGGGATAGGTCTGCCCGCCCGAAACCCCCAAACGAAATGGGTTAATGTCCATGTAGTTGTGCATGCGACAAAGACAAATCAAAATTCTGCGAAGACCGCAAATCGTTGGCCGGAAACCAAGTGAATCGATGACTCAGGGAAATGTTGTCCTAGTTGCCAACATTTGTGTTTGGGAACTCAATCAATTAGGTTTCATTGTCGGTTCGAGCAGATGTCTCACTATTAAATATTAAAGTCGTTAGCCTGGGAAACCTGACTTGAGCCATCATAATTGGCGTGTACTATTTTTAAGGCAGCCTGTAATAAGAATGTTTTCATTTTAGCTTCTTTTTATTGAGCCAGTAAAAGGCTCTGTAAATCGTTATGACTTTATACTTATCTTTTAAAGCTTTACATATACATCCTTCCATTTTTTATCTCAGTAAATTTGTTTTTCAGGGACTCATAAAGTTAGCTTGTATATGGCTTTAAAATTTTAAGAGGCTCTTAAAAAATCTAGATCCAATAAAGGTTTTATGCACTTCTGGATGCTGATTTCCCATTCTACATTCAACAAGTGAGCTGAACTTAATCGCAGCTCCCGCATATATTTGTATTTCATCAATACCAGCGATTATTCCACCTGCCACCTGCCACTCCATTATAATAACCATCAGAGTTTACCAATGTTTTCCCACTCCCCCCTGGCAGACCCAAATCTTCACCTATATCACCTATAATCCCCACCCACATCGTTGCCGAGCTGAAAATGTTAATCAAATTCAATTTGCTCCACACGCCGATGGTGGTTTATGGGGCAGCTACTTAGGATTCCTGCAGCCTTCCTCTCTCCGTGAGAGGCGGCGAGTATGTGTGTGTGTGTGTGTGTGTGGGGTCATAAAATTCATTTGTTTTCATAAAATAAGGATTTACCCATTGCAAAAGGCAATAAAAAGAGCAGAGAATGCTCAGTTCTCTTCGCTTGTTGAGATTTTTGCTTGGGTCCGCCGCATCACTCATCCGCCATGTGGTCCGTGGTGACAATTGCTTTTGGCTGGAATATTTTAAATGCCGAGGGTTTCACAAGGGTCTCCGCTGCTCCACAGCTCGACACAATTTATTTTATTGTCTTCGGTGCAGTAACCCACTATGCGGACTGTGCGAAAGATAAATTGCACAGTTAGGAAAGCGGAAAAGCGGAAAAGGGGAAAGGGACAAGGGAAAAGGGAAAAGGGAAAAGGGGGGAAACCCGACAATCGCACACATGCGAGGCATCAACAACAGACTGAGAGCTGTCAACTGAAAAGTTACTTTTGTTTGCGGCTTTTTCTAGACGCCCCGCACTTTTCCGCTTTTCTCCACACACTTGGAAAACTTGTCCAAATGAATTAATCACTTTACTCAGCAGCCAAGTGGATGATGTTTCCATTGTTGTTGAAGGATGCCAAGGCGTCGGAAAAAAGGGAAAACCGAAAAGGATAAGGGACTTGGGCTGGCCAGAAATCGAGGGGTTTAGGCGTCCATCAAGTGCTCATCATTCTCGCACTTTTCCGAGAGCGAATTGCCTTCAACACCTCGAAATCTCTTTCCGCTCTTTTATTTCCTCGCACAATACCCATAAATATGCGAATAAAAATATCTCTTTATATTTTTATCCAACATTTCCATTTGCCGTGGCGCGTGTGTACATATTTTCATGGGCCTTTCCGCATTTCCCGCCAGCATATCACTCTCCCACCCATCTCCCTGTTATTGTTGAAATTTACTTTCAATTTGCCTTTTCCCAGCCTTTGTTTTTTGCCACCTTCATTTTTTATGAGGTTGTATGCTGAGGTTACCCTGTACCAAATATACTTTAAAATATTATTGTTTTATAAAAGATTTGTTCTACTTTAACCCGCATGAAATACCATCTTTGGGTCCCTTTTTCCAATGAGTATATAAAAATCAACGTTTTCCATAGCAACACCTTTTCCTCTATCATTTGTAGGTCACCTTCCCGTCGATCACCTATCCATAAAATCCATAACTAAATTGTTTACTTTAGATCCCACCTTATGCTTGGCCTTCTGCCTTTCGTTCGACGTCTTGCCTTTTTTATTAATAAGAAACTGGGTCAATGTGTGGGCCAAGTTTTTCCTTCAGCTTGGCAGAGGGTTTCCTAAGAGGAGTTCCCAACTTTCCGTAATTGCATTGCAGCCAGGGCAGCAAAAATCCTTTTAGTTGCAGTCAGCAATAAATGCAATTAGGTGGAAAGGAAATTTCCCAACTGGAGTTCGCCTCCTGCCATACATCTTGGCCATCTGTCCCGTGTGGTCATCCATTCTCCATTCCCCTTCCCACAGGCATCGAAGTTTTATTTTTTTCTGGCCGAAAGCAGAACTTTGTCCGGTCTCTGACAATTTGATTTATATTTCCAATCGAACAATAAACTCATTTCGGCTCGAAAAGTTTCGCTGTCCGCTGGCTGGTGTCTGGTTACCCGCTTCTGGGATTTTTCCCCGGTTCGTCGCCAAAATGCCACCAATGCGGCAACGGGGAATTCCCGGCATTCTTGCCACTCGCCAAAGTGCACATTTCTGGCTTAGCCTACTTGACAAATTTCCCTGACATTTAAATTGCGGTTCTCGGAAATGCTTAACCAATCCTGTTAAATTTAATCATTTGATTAAAAGGGGAATGTGTTCTTCTCTTGTCTAACTTGTTATGAATCATTAATATAAAACAAAATTTAAATTTCAAATAAGATTAGCCCAGCCTAGACAGGTCAAAACTCTAACTAACCTAGATTTTATGTTTCTGTTAAAAACTGTAATGTTTGTCGACACGCTTTTCCTCAAATGAAACAAACACTGCAATGCCAACAATGCGGAAGAAGGCACTGCCTTTTCGCATTCTTGGCAAGAGGCACTCGAAAGTGCAATTTATGCGTTAGCCTACTTGGCCGATAGCCACACTCTGCAAAAAACACTAATTTTGGCTTTTCAGAAAACAACAATTTCCTTTGAATTATTTCTTTAGGTAATAAATATACTTTTTCCTTAGTAAACTTACCTAGTAGATGGCTCCTAAAGTGGATGATGTCGCGCAGTGGAACCTCCTCGTTGCGGTAGAGTATCTGGAAGATGCGCGAGGCGCCGCTGCCGTTGATAACGGAGGCGGATGTACAGCTGCCCCCCGGAGGTGCCTCGAGGAGGCGTGGCACTTCCCCCGGCGACAGAGGCTCTCCCCTCTCGCTGTCACTGCTTCCATGGTCAGTGACGCCCCCGTTCGCGTGTCCGTTCTGTTTTCCGGGGCCACTGGCTTCCGGAATGCTCGTCTCCACCTGCACGGGTAAGCGGGGCGAAACACGCAGGCCACAGCGTACCTGGTAGAGCCTGTGGGAGGGGAAATCCATTTAATTAAATGTATTTTATCAATCGGGAAAAGGTGTGGGTAGGTCAACTGTTGATATACACAGTGACTCTGTGTACTTTAGCACTATAATGCTATCTGCAAGCATAAAAGTTCTTTCCCTACACGGACTACTCCACTGATTAATAGTATATTCCCTTTAAGAGGTATCGAATTTCACCTATCATCAACGCTCTGTCACAACATCTAAAGATCAGAAATCCTCAATCCCCAGCAGTTTTGTCGGCCAGTGACACTTCAGTCGTCGGCAGCTTCATTTGCAGTGACAGGCGAACAAAGGGAAATCAAGAGGAAAACACATAAAAATCAGCCCAAACAATTGCTTTATTTTCCTTTTCATTTTCACTGGCACTCGTGCTGTGTGTGTCTGTGTTTTTCCTCTTTTTTTTTATGTATTTTTAAAACACGAGCCGTTTGCCGGCGTTGGTTTTCTTCAAGAGCAGCAGCAACAAATTGAAATCCCATAAACACTTGGCTGACAATTAGTGAGTGCTACGGTCACTATGCTACACTCGTATGTGTGTGTAAAGCCCCCTGGGGGGATCCCCTTCTGCCCCTTTCTGCTCTTGATTGGTTGTACACTCTTTATTTGCTTATTGCACTGCATTCCGTTTTGTTTGCCCAACACTTCAAAGGTCTCCGTGTGAGTGCGTGCGTCTGTGTTGGCCAGTTTGCTCAACAAATTGGAGAAAAATTAACAATTTTATTTGAAATATTTTGTAGCAATGGCGTGGAATGTCTGGGATGTCGCCATCGACCCGGATTTCTTCAATGTTTGCACAAAATTACGAACTGCAAATCATCATCATCATCGGCAATCCGAACACTCGAACATACTAATGGCAGGAACTAACTTTTAAAGGCTATACTAAACTCGAAGCTGAAGCAGTTTGGAATATTTAGGAAGCTATGAAACAAGCCGAAAGATATGGGAAACTGTTTTAATGAGCCACTTAAACATTTATTGAGAACAAAACTATTGCGAGAGCCATTCGGTTTTGTTGGCCACTAAAAACTCAGCCAAGAAAAGTCTGCTCTTATGCTAAAGACTGTTTGCTTAAAATATAAATTCAAGTCAGGAAATCGTATAAATCTTCTTAGTTTATGGAAATTTTGAAATGAAAGAACCCACAAAAACATAAACTTTCTCGCACTGTAAGCAGCGCTATTTCATTTTTCGTTTAATGCGGAATAGACAGCCAATTAGGTTTCTTGCAATTTGTCTTTTTAAGAACTTTTAGTTTGACTAACGCATTTGCCAGCTAATCCATCAATTTCCCTGCCGTTCAAACGAAATTTTCCTTTTAACTTCGCGTTTCTTTCAATGGATACATGACTGAGTTTGAGTGCTTTCGGGAAAATTGGCGACAGACTTACCCGCGCTGAAACAAATCCACGTTGAAGAACTTGTGCAGCTCCACGACGAACTCGATGGTGGCCTGTAGGTCGCCCATGGCTTCTGGATTCCTTGACCTCCCCAAGGGCACTCCCCTCCTTGTGGTCGTCTCAAGTTGTCAGCAAGTTCATTGGCTCCTCTCCCTGGCGAAAAGGAAACGAAACACAAAAACTCCGATAAGTTTTTCACTTTTATTTATGGTATTTGATTTTTTGGCTCCCAGTGCAGTGCCCACGGGAAGGTGGAACGTTGCAACCAAGTTGCCAAGTTCGATTGCCGTGCTCTCAATAAATTTATTGGCAACTATTGACAGCTTGGCCAATTGATTGCCCCGTAATTGTGCGAGGAAACTGTGTCAAGTGGGCGATTTTCACCGAGCGCGCTTTATTGCCTTACTTTCTCGGGCATTGGTGGGTGGCCCCCTATGCAGTGCAAAAATAATACCCGAGTTGGTCAGGAGAAGGCATGTTTATCCTTTAGTAATTGGGTCAAATTTGAGTGACATTTTAGTTGACTTTTTTAGCTTAGTTGCCAAAAAAGGTTATCAAGAATTATAGCTTTTCTGTCCCTAAAACTATTATTAGATTCTTATTAATCATTAATTTAGAATCAGTCTGTGGATAAAACATCATTATTTGAATTATATAAAAGGCCAACAGGGACCAGGAGATGAATGGCTGCCTTCCTCATGTTTTTCCCTTTGTGTAGCTGGGCTCCTATGTGTGTTTGTGTGCTCTGAGGTTAGCGGGTCAGCCACAACAAGAACGAAGTGGGACCAGAAGCGGGGGAAGCCCCGCCATGATGTCAGTCGAATGGGGCCAAAAGCGAAAGGAAGACAACAACAACGACGACGACAACTTTTAATCGCCCAAACAACAAAAGCTCCTTTCCTTGGCGGCAACAAAAAAGCGAGAGAGAGAGATAGAGAGAGGGAAAGTGGAAAAAGTCGGGAAAGTCAGTCAGTCAGTCAGTCGCCTGCGAAGCCCACGCCTACAATAACATTAACGTGCTGCAGTTAATGCCACCCACTTTTGGGCGACCTCGCTTGTTGACACAATGGAAGCAAGGCAAGAAAAGTGCCGCTTCTGCTTCTGCTTCAGCTTCTGCTGATGAAAGAGTTCTGTTCTCCGTGCGGATTTTAAGGATGGTCTGGCTGAGGGAACATGTCTGTTTCCCCCAACAACAACCGACTGTCTGTTGTTTGCCTCATTGTCAATGTGGGTTAACCTAAGTGAGCCAAGAGGTGGGTGGTGCGGGCGGAACGGTTACACTACGATTCGAAGGACTGTGTGATTACTTCATGATATTGGTTACTAAACAGATTACCAATAAAATATTAAATTATTACCAAACTGCTTGATTTATAAACTTCCAATCATTTAAGAGCTAATAAATGGATTAGAAAGCAGCTCTAGAAAAGTTTCCCCCCAAGAACATTCCTCGTTGCCTCCAGCTTAAAGCTCTGCCAACTTGATATCTAGATTTAAGCAACGCAGACTTATACTTTCCGACCGCACTGTTCGTCTGCTGCAGCTTGGCTAGTGAAAGTGATGATGCCATTTGTTAGCAAAGCCCTTAGCCGCCGCCCCTGCCCTCCTTGGGGCCCAGGCCACAATCCCCAATCCGCAATCCTCCATCCCTGTCTTATCCCATGATGTATGAGCAAATGTTGTCGCTACATTTTGACTTACTTTGTCATTAAGTGTGCGCCCCGCCCCGCACCGCCCCGCCCAATTCTCTTTCGCTCGACAAATATTTCTGTTCATGAATTTGAAATGTTCTGTGAAGACTGCGGATGTTCGGCTTTGGCTTTTGGAAATTAAAAGCAAATTTGCCTGTTAGTTTTCGCCCCCGCAAACAAGCGAGCGAGCGAGCGTTCCTTAACTTTCCGACATTACGCATTCGCCGCGTTGTCTGAGTGAATTTACCAAAAAGTGCAATAACAACTTTTGGGTCCAAAAGGAAACTGGGTCAGCGCCAAAGTTCACGCAAAAAACGAATTGCGAGTAAAGTGCCGACAATGGGTTCCCAAAGAATGAAAAAATTGTAGAATAGGATATAGTATGGGGTATATAGTATATGTTTTGGCATAAAACGGGAAGCGGAAACTTTTAAAAAGCTCAACGAAAACACATTTGTGCAGTGGATGAAGTGGAAATGCGGAGAGGCGGAAAGTGGGATTTCGGTGGATTAACAATGGCGAAAGCCGAGCCATAATGAGGATTTTTTGGCCAACTTAGGAGACCACAAAGACGAAAGCATTCATCAAGTTTCTAATTGAAAAGTGAAAACTGAAAACTTCAGTGAAATGGCATTAAAAACCTGAAAGGATAAAGTTTCTGTGCGCAAATTTGCCCGACTAAAATAATAATAAACGAAATGAGCTGCGAACTATTCAATATCTGGCCGAGACCACCGAGAGTGCGCCATAAAAATAAAGCTACAAAAGCCACTTGAGTCACTTATCGAAACAAAAGGCAGGCCAAACAAACCCGAAACATAAGCCCGGCATTTCCGATCGTAGGCCCAAACCAGCCGAAACTGTCGATGACAACGGCCTCATAAACGGGAGGAATCAAATCGTTCGTGCTTATCATCGTAATGATTATCCCTAATGTCCCGGGGAGGGCGAAGAAAGGACTTCCGCGCGAAGGAAATGAGATACGAGAGAAGCGGCAGATAGCCACATCTCTCCCTTGGACAGCCCTCTTTGGGCCAACTTCGCTTTGCGTTACGTGTGCCCTAAATTATCGTTGTCTGGCCGAAGTCCAAATGGCAGGAAAAATAGGGAGGAAAAGCGGACTAAGGGCCGTCAATGGCAGACAAACGAGGGTTGGTCCTCCCTTTCCCGTTCCCGTTCTCGTTCCCTCCCGTCCAGATGAAGATAAGTTGGTGACCCCAACACGTTCTGTTTTTTTACGTCTTCCCACCGCTTCCACCACTTGTTTTGATAAATACTATACTCTACTATGTGGTATATTGGGGGCGTAGATACATAAAACATGGCGTGTGAATGTGTTAATGTCTAAGGTCGTCGTGGCCTGTTGATGAATGGAAAAGAAAAGCTTTCATCTTCATATTTCAATTTAATGCCACCGGCCGGTAGCAGTTCCTTTCCTTTTTTTGGGGGCCCCTTTTCAAGGCCATAAATTCAATTAATTTCCTCTTCAGGTCTGACTTTATGATTGTGAAAAATTAATTAAAATATTTTGTATAGCTTCAAGCTGCTCGGATCAAAAAGATTGCGTTGCCCGGCGAGCAGAAGTCCTTGAAAAATTAATAGGTCCTTCTCAGGAGCTCGATTTCATTCATTAACGATTCGCATCGCTAGCCATCAAAACTTCGATACGAAGCAAGTCCATCTAGCTGGGAGGTTGGATCACGATGTTTATCTCAGGTAACTTGAAACTCCGAAAGAAGAAACTTTCTGTTGATTGTTATCTCGGTTGCCAAAGCAAAAGCTCTTCCAATTTGGTTGGCCGGCAACTTTTGGTTACCTTCATACCATTCCCATGACAACTTCCTCCTCTGCAGTCAGACTGAGCCGGAAATAGGCAATTTCATATCAGACGGTTTCAACGACCGATTTGTTTGCCAGGGTGGCGATGCCTAGCCCAAAACATGTGTTTTCGTTTTCCCATTAAATTATTCACCAACTCGGAAAGTTAACCAGCCGGTGCTCCAGCTCGGGCCTCCACATCTGCCCAGGAATCTCATAAAAAATGGCCTCGAGTGCCGACTTCGTCGCCGTGCATGAGCATGAAAATTATTTTCCCTGGCCTCCAAACTCTTTTTTCCTCTATTGTGCAGAATAAAGTGAAGGGATGTGGTGTGAACGAGTGTTTAGACTAACAGGTACCTCCTATAACTAAAACTTCTTCAAAGATTTAGCTTACAGATAGTTACTTAGAAACACATTTTGACTATATGGAAAGTAAAGTTATGATTTCGTGATATCATACTATATCACATGATGTAAATAAGATTTCATACAACCAGCATACCCTTGCTATTTACGGGTAAGCCATAAAAAATGCCAACAGTTGCAGCTGACGGCGTCTACAAAAAGGCAAAGGGGCCACAGAGGTGCTGAGGTATCTTGGCCAAGTGCATCGCGTGCCGGGGGACAAGCCAGGGGCGCCGGGCGGGCCACTTGCTCACGTTCACGTGTCGAGGCCCGAATGGGGGCCCAACTAGGGGTTAGGGCTAGGGATTGGGCTTTGGGGGTCGGACAATAAAGGGCGAGCCGAACAACTCAAGTGCGCAGCCAACAATAACAAAAGAACAAGACCTCAAACCGAGAAAGTTAGGGAAAAACCTGGAAAACAGGGCTTGCGGCGAGTGCAGGCAAGTGCAAGGAATTGGTCAACATTTATAGGGGCCTCTCCCATCTCACTCACCGTCTCGCCATCTCGCATTACACGTGGCCCATGTTGCAGCGGAAAATGGGTGGAAAGCGATTGAAACGTCTGGAGGGGTGAAGTCGGGCTGGGAAATCTTGCGGCGCATCAAATGGAATTGGAGTGAAGGAAGCACGAACCAGTGAAAGATTGCGCAGAGGCTCAAAAGAGCTTTGCGAAATGGAATGAAAATGAAAATGGGAAATTGGAAAAGATCAAGGAAATGTAGAAGATCTAAGAGGGATGACAAAGTTAAAGATATGCATCAGAGATTAAAGTTCAAGGAGTCTAGAATGTGGGGAAAGATGTTAAGATTGATATTCGAAGAGGTTTAAGTTAAAAGTTAGTTGCTGATATTAAATGCAAATAAAACAAATAGTTGAATGGTATAAACTGAAGCTCTTAATTGGAAAACAGAAAATTAACAAGAAATTAGAGCAGAAACTCGTTAAAATTTAAAACAGAAAAGCCAGGAGCAATCCAGCCGAATGGAATGGAACTCTTCACAGGATTAGGGAGCAGGGAACATGGAACATTACAGTCAGAGAGCATAGAAAATCCCCCACATGGCCGGGATAATTAAATCAAATAAATTATTTATCAAACCACGAAGCCTGCACTGTAACTAGTTGGCTACAACATAATTTGCTCAACTTTCTGCAGCATTTCCGAGCATACATGATGCATGGCTTCTGGCCCGCCCACCGGATGACTTAATTATATGCACCAAGCACCCACGTCCATGTCCTCATCCGCATCCACATCCACATCCACATCCACATCCTTTGGGTCCCCTCGTTATGAAGGACCCTTCCCACTTGGCTAACTCCAACAAAGCTCAACGAGTTGAGCATTGTGTAGAGCGAGCGGAGAGAAAGCACCGGCATGTGAGCACCTGAAGGACCTCTAGGGTCTGGACTCCCTAATGAAAATGGAGACTTGAATTGGCAGCAGACCGAGTCGGAGTGGGAGGAGGAACCGGCTCCACATTCAGATCCAGGAACCGCGGGCTGGGGCGTGGAAAAATTGAATTGAGCCTTTTTATGCGACTGACGATGGATGGGGCGGGAGACGGAACAGGATATTTCATTACATTTAAGCATGCATGGCTGAATGGGAGGATTCGGCTCGGCTGGGTTCGAGGGTGGCTTAGATAGGGTGACGCCCACGTGGAAAAAATGGCAACATTGTTGAAATGTGCAAATATTGGCTCAAGTGACGGCAATAAAAGAGTCAGTCCCGGCAAGTCCCGGCTTGTCCTTTCCAACAGCCCTCGGGCACCTGGTGGCCATCCCTTTTCTAAGGTACCTATCATTCTCAGGATATTGGGCATATTTTATAGCAACATTATGCAGTATGGAGAATATATAAGTTGGTAACAAAACTGTCTAGATATAGTAACTCTCATTCTTTAATAATTGCATTCAAGAATAATCGAATCATAATCCTAAGCAAGGGTAACTTATAGTCGTATCCCTTTGACTAGAAAGTACCCTAACCATTTCCCAGCACATCACCTGACATTTCATCAATTGATGTCCCTTTAGTGTTATCCCAACTTTAACCCTAAAAGCTCACGATTGTCGACAGCAATTTCAATTTCCCCATGATTGACAGTCCGCAGGCGGGCGGAGAGTCCGCCCCTTTTTGCATAATTGCATACCTGGCTGGGCAATATTCGAGTTTTCCGATGTGCAAATAAATATATATATATATGTATATGATTACAGAGCGGTCATGTCATAGATCTCGGCGGGAAGAGGCCCTTAACCCCTGACAGGCCGTCACAGCCTCACTGCGGTTTGGCTGGGTTCAGTTCAGTTCAGTTGGGTTGAGTTGCGTTATGTTGTGCGGGGTGTTTTTGCGTTATGCGGCAGTTAACTGTGTCGTGACATGTGGCAAGCATAAAAGAACCGTAAAATGTCATGTTTGTCGGGGCCCAAAAACATGACGTGGAGTGGCAGAGCTGGAGCGGAATACTGGAGCACTCTGGCAGTACGGCGACATGTGACTCACGCATTGCCGAAAGGTCGGGCTAATGGCTGGGTTCTACGAATGCGACTACGATGGGTGGTTGACTAGGTGGCCGTGTCGACGACACATGGCCAAATTACACTAGGCACGCAGGAAGGAAACCGGAGAACCGCAACAAATTTCGGCGGCGGTAAGGAGTTTTTAATAAAGTCGCAACGCGAGTCGAGTTGAGTTAGTCATGCGAGGGCAGCTACAAAGGGACTTCTGCTCCTTAACGAATCGATTTTTCATTGGGTTTCAGTATCGAAATATCGATTAGAAGTCATACTTGTTACTAACTTATAGTGCAAAGTTTTATCTTTATTTTGTTGGCCAGTGCTGGCCGCAGTTGTCGCCCGCATCGAGAGTCCCCATTTAGTCCCTTTTTTGTTGACCATCAAATTTGCGAGCAAATGTCCCGTCCTGGACCCTCCGAAATTCGTTTTAATTAAATGCATCATAAATTCTCGCACATCTCGGCCCAAAAAAAAGACTCCCCCGAATCGCACTTGTCACTCAGTTTCGAACACTTTTCCATTCCATTTTTGATTCACTTTTCTCTCTGGGCTTTTCGGTTGCTTTTTTGTTGTTTGCGGAGGTTTTTGCCCTACAATCGACGCCGCTGCCGATTTTTTGTCGCTCGCTTTTGTGTGGCCATGAAAATCGGAAAATTTATTTATACATTTCTGCGTTTGCTCTGCGGGGCTTTGCGTATGAAATGTTTTTGCAATTTAAAAATAATTAACCCAGCGAAATGCTGTTTGCTCAAAGCATGACATGTAAATGCAGGAATATAATGTGTTTGCGGTATAAAAATATCAAGTAATTGCCAGGGGAATTCGAGACAGCCGTATCCTTTTTTGGCAGTATATTTAGTAAGGAACTAGTAGGGAACCTTTTCAGAATTTAAATAACAATATAAATACCAAGTAACTTTGCTGGGAATGTGAGACACTTTGAAATGCCGAGGAGGAGCCTCACTGAAATTATCCCAAACTTGATGGGAATTTAAGAACGTGGCGTCCCTTCTGCTAGCCCTAAATTTAGGTGCCGAAGAGTGGGGCCATTGAATTAATTAGGCTGCGACAACGAGAAGCACTTTAAGCGAGGGCGGTCAAGTGGTGGGAGTGGCACTCGCACACACTCACACACACTCGGCCAAGCGTTTTGCCCTAATTTTACTTTCTGCGATGCGATGCGATGTTATCAGGACACACACTTTTGGGCTTTTGGGCTTCTGGGTTACAGGGAACCATTGAGACAGGAAACCAAGGGAGCCAGCCGAAGAGACAAAGGCTCTCTCTCTTATTTTTAAACCATTCCGATGTCATAATTTACGCACTTATCCATCTGCCTCCGGATTACTGGCACTGCCCGGTGGACATTTCCATTGCCGTTTCCACTTCGCCGCACTCCTTCCGGCTAATGAAATTAGAGTGCAAAAACCGAAAAACCAACAAAACCGATGAAACCGCAGGAACCGAGAGTTACAACGAGCGCCACTATTGTGATACTTTCTTTCGTGCCCGAGAATTTCCACCGCCAAACGCACGTCCGCACCGGGAAAATGTCTACAGCCAACTGGCGGAGACACTGCGCCGGAAAATGAGAAAAGCCCGAGAACTGGGCAACGAGCATCGAGCACGGGGCATCGACTACAGAGAACGCACCACGGAATGCGTCTTCGGATGAATTGTTATTCGTGCTCTTGGCCGTGTTTTTACCATCGTTTTAGCCAGAATCAATTTCCTTTTTTATCTGTGAAGAGAAGAAGGTGAAGAGAGTGCATTTTTTAGGCAAAGAGAAGTCTTTGCGAAGACTGAACGACGGCTGATTGATGGGAATTTAAGTGTTCTGGCCATGACGGATGATAAGTGATTGATTAATTGGCCAAAACTATGTGGTTTCATATTTTGTAGTGAAATTGAAAGTGTTAGTTCTGGGAAAAGTAGGATCTTTGGGATGGATACAAAGGGATTTAGGCTAGGAAATATTTACTAGGTATTAAAAAATAGATAAACGTTTTCTACAAAATAAGAATCATTAAAATACGAATTAGATCGATAAGTAAAACACTCATTTAAAGGTCTAAACAATAGTTAACTAGTAGCTAGTCTTCTTTTCTATCATTTCAGGGATTTGTTAATTTACTAAAATAAAAAATAAATGATAGATAAGCGATTAGTGCAAAATGGCTTTCAAATTTAAGCGCTTCCAATAGTTGATTGTCCTGGCAGCACCAGCTGATTCCTCTCTTTGCACCTTCTCTCTTCCAGGAACTTCTGCGCATGTCCTCTCTTAAGGAAACGAAAGAGTACCGCCTGTTCCCCCGGGTCCTGTTTTTGTGACTAGCCCTTGCCGGCGGTGACAATTCCAAGGGAAGCCGTGATGGAAGGGCGCGGGGGAGTTCTGGCGAACAGCTGGACACGAGGACAGAGCCAAGGGAGCAGGACGGAAGGAGGCATCCACTGGGATAAGGACAATGGGACAGACGCCCAAGTCGCGAATCGCTGGCAACAATGTTCGCCAAAAGCTCTTCTCTCATCGCTGGAGCAGAACAAAGTAAATCAAGGATGGAAATCTCAGAGCCGAGTCCTCGCCTCCTTGCCTCTCCAGCTGATTATTTTATCGGCATTAGTTTTGTTTAGTTGCCACACACACACACACAGACAGGTGGCTGCATGCCCCAGGAGACTGTCAGGAATGTCGGGATGAAGGGAGGGGAGGGGCACTTTCGAGGGGCTTTTCGAACTGCTGACAGGCACTTTCAATTTTATTTGCGCGCATTATGGCAAAACATGATTATTGCGAGGGGGGAAGTGGGCGATAAGTAGGCGGAGTGGGCGTGCTGTTCAAACTGGATTGCTCATACGCACCGTTGCACCCATGGGAACCGCCGATGAAGTGATGAGCTTATTCCGCCCAAAATGAAAAGCTGCCAACTGATGGATATCATTTTTGTGGCCTAAATCGATTTGGCTGCCCACGTTTAGGCTAATTAGAAAGTGTGGGCCTGTAATGGATTATTACTTTTCGGGTTTTCATTTTCAGTGGAAATGCAAAGCTCATTAAATGTGACGAATGAAGCCTCGATAACCTTTGTAAGTTCCAAGTTAAACGCCAATCGAATCCATAATTACAAGCACTCGATGTCCTTGGCAATTCGCTGGTTTTAACAGATAAAATTCACACTCATTGAGGCTGCTTTGAATGTGAGGAATAAATCCTCGACAGTCAAGTCAAATTCAATTTAACGGCATGTCAAGGCAGCTGCTGTCCCTGGCAACTAGATTTAATTAATACAAAACGGATTCGTATCAGGGTGATTAAAAATGAAAAGCAAACTCCAAAGAGGATCTAATTTGTATGATACATTTTATTTATATTTTACATGAGAAAATACAGGCAATCCTAGGCATAATTTAATTAGGTTTACTAGCTAATTATCAACGAGAATTTCTTTACACTTACGCCCTAAGCTAAGAATACGCGAACTTGGATCGTTCAGCTGTGAGTGTTCGACATTCACATCCACTTTCACTTAAACTTTCGCCGGCCAATGCCAGCTCAGCCCAACTAGCTAGCTAATCACTATCGCATGTGGAGTACGGATTCTGGGGTGTCCAGGGATCCCTTTAGTTGGGCTGCACCTCGCAGACGAAGTACGTCTCGAAGCTGCACGGCGAGTCGTTCCACTTGAGGCCCTTGCCATCGCGGTTCCACAGCTCCAGGCAGTTCTCTTCCTCGCCGTTCTCGTACCGGAAATTGTTCGGCTCCCCGGCGTTCCAGTTGGTGAATGTGATGGGTCGCCCGGTGGCCATCCAGAAGAAGTTGCCCTCGTCGGCCAGGTCCGTGCCGGAAATCCAGAAATGTTCGTGGCCCAGGCCTGGAAATTAAGTGAAAAGCGATTATGCTTGGGAAACATGTGTATGGAAATTGTTTAACTTGTTTTTCTCTTTTCCTACTGAAGGGTACATAAGTTCTGTGTTAGCTTTAGTCTAATGAATATTCCACAAAAGCAAAACCACAATTAAATAAGTTACAGTCCAGTAGAAATGATTAGATTATATCTTTCAACTGTCTGACAAAGCCAATCAAAACATCTTTGCTCTGTCAAATCACTGAATGCCTGACAACTCGACAGCTGCATTCATTTTGCCACAGACCGAGTGGCGTGCAACAACTCGAATCGGTTGAAAAGCCGATCAATATGACAATAGACCCGGCCAGCAAACAAAACCATTTGCAAGTGCCGCAGGAATGGAACCGGGGGACTTGTGAACTGAACTGGACTCGACTCTCGGTGGACTTTCTAGTGCCATAATACACGGAAGTTGGTAACCGAAAACCCAGCAAAGGGGTCGCCACCGGGGAGAGGGCTAGTGGGGGAGCTGGAGATTGGGAGCTGGAGTAACGAACTCCGGTGCACTTTCCATTGCATAAATCTCCATAAAAACACACATGGCCATAGACGCAGACAAACGGAAAAAGTGAATGTTGCACATTTTTGTTGAAAGCTGACCGCCGCAGGGCCATGGGCAAAAGCCACGCCCACTCATTGTGGAAGTGGAGGTGGGGAAAATAACAATAAGCTTTGAAGGGCTCAGCTTAGTTTTCAGACTAGTGAGTGCTATATAGGGATTTCCAATCTCTTCCTATCCGTTGACTTTACTTCGAAGAGGGAACCTTTAAAATGAAGTTTTCAAAGTTTTTCTAATCATAAAATATTGATAACCTGCTGGGTAAAATGCCATCTAGGCACGCCTTCCCCCTTAATCAGTTTAGAGAATGTGAAATGGCTTTTTCAACTCCCTGCCAACTTACCAAAGTCACGTATGTGCTTCTCCAGTCTATCGTTCTCTTCCTGTGATGAAATGCTGGCCAGATGCATGCCGTGGTACCGGCAATATTGTGTGGCTTTGAACCAGTTTGCCTGCAATGGAAAACGAATTGAATTGAATGGAATTGGATTTAAGATGCATGCCAAGTTAAAGATTATATAATTGTGTTTGCGCAATCGGTTGACCCAGTTTCCGAGAGCCGAGATCTCAATCCTCCGGCCTCAGTCACTGAAAGGTGCCATTCAATCTCGGTGTCGGTACTCCAGCCGACACTTGTCAATGAGAGTTCCAGAGATTTGTTTTCCCCCTGTTTTTTGCGCCCATATGCGAGTACGGGAATGTGCAAAAAAGGGGCAGGATTGGTCACGCACTCGCATGGAAATCGAGTTTATCTTTGGATCTGCGTGGGCTTGTGGCCAATTAGTGTTGGTTTCTGTATCTGATGTGGTTGGCCTATCTAAATGTTGTCAGAATCGAAATTGGCATCTGAATCTGAATTGGTTTTGGCCATATCCTGCACGCCCCAAACAACATATTCAATTAACTCTAATGGACTTTGGCCATCGGGTCATTAGCAGGAACGGATGGCTGGCAAAAAATCGGATTGTTAGAGGGGTCATATATCTCCTGCCGTGAACTGATGTGCACATAAATCGATTACGCAACTATCCTGCGCTCCTCTCCTCTCTCGCCCTTCTCCTTTCCACCCATTAACTTGGCTTTAATTGTATTAGCCGTAATTGTGCGCGAATAAAGCGAGACGCCCTCGCTTCAGTCTGCCATCCTGCCATCCTGCCATCCTGCCACACTGACATGCCACATGTGGCTAGAGAGGTGGAAGATGCAAGGTGTTTAATGCCTTCACTTGTCTTTCGCCCTGAAAGTGTTTATTGGGCTGTAAAAGGTTCATCTCGTCCCGCCGAGAAGTCAATTAGTTGGGTGTGTCGAGGTGAAACGGGGACTCTGGTTCATAACAAAGCCTCGGTTGTGGTTCCTTGGCTTTCTTTAATGGCCCAGAGTTGCTGTCAGGGAAACTGCAGAGGTTAATGCCTTGTCTGACTCGCATTTTGATTTTGGTTGAGAAGAGAATAAAGAAAGGTAAAAGCAGTTCCTAAGGTAGTCAAGGTTTTGACAAGGTTAACTAACAAGGAAAGTCTTTGTTTAGCTGGGAAATATTATGATTACCTTAAGGTCAGAGAGTATCAGCTTTTCATTTATCAAAGTCTCTGAAGAAGAAAGTTCTCCTTACCCTTAGGCACTCTTTAGATTTCTATTGCATTTAAAGTTGAAAATATTCTAATAGTAAAGAGTAGAGTCTCTTACATTAGGCAACTCTTTCTGGGTTAATCAAATTGCAGGCCACAAAATTCTGTTAAATCATTAATAGGCGATAGGCGACAGGCGATGGCTATGGCGACCAATTAAGCGTCTGAAGTTTACACAAAACGCAATTGAGTGGCAACAAAATATTGGACGTGTTGTTAATGTCATTAGCACGGCTACCTTAACACCTAGCCCCCCCCTGGACCTGTCCGGGTGTCTCTCAATTAGCTTTGATTTGATTTGCGCCTGCGTGGAGTCCAAAATGACATTATGCCTCCGACTGGCGCTGTGCGGCTGTCAGGTCTTATTTTCCCCCCAAAAAAACTTAATTGCTTCATTTGCATATTTACACGCGAAATGAATTTGCATTAAATTGCTCATATGTATTGCATAACATTGTGGGAAAGAGAGAGAAAAGGCTGAAAAAGCTGAATGACTTTTGAGAACTCCTAATTAGATATTCCCATAAATAATCGGAAAACACTTTGGAATTGATATGCGTGGTTAATTAACTCGCCAATTTGGAAAAAGAAAGAACAGAAATACACAAATTAAGTATTTAAAACTTCGATGTTGTTCAACGAACTTGGGAATGCTCTTGAAAGTTATTAATAATTTAAGAAGACCGTTAGGTTCTAGCTTTAAAAGCACATTAATTATGTTAATTCAAAGTCGTAAAGTTAGTCACAACAACAATCAATATTTAGTATTGGAATTTAAGAACTTTGAACTGAACTTCCACTTAATATTCCCTGGAAACTAGGCTGAAATTATTAACTTCTTATCCTTAGCCATCTTTACCTTGAGTTCTACCAAGAAAACAATCAAATGAAACGATTTAATAATTAAATTCCAATTAATTAAAAGCCAAAGTCGTAAAGATAACCCCGATGACAATGAATATTCAAATTATAATGGATCGATGGAGATGTTTTTTGGGCGAACAACAAAAGGCTGCATCCCTGCATAGGCAAGGGTGAGATCAAATGAATCGAATTAAAAATTAAATTCAAATTAAAGTGCCAGCGTTTTGAGCTTTTGAGATGCTTAAACTTTAATCGCTCTGACAATGGGAGGGGGCGGGAGAGAAGGTACCGTTAGAGAAAACAAATTTGGGAATATTTATGGATTTTCGGTTTGGTTTTCTGGGTGGCTTCGGGTATCTAAATCGCAATCACCCGACTGGCTAGAGGGAGATGGATTTTTCGGGTTAATTAACGAGCTAATAATTAATTCATTTCTGTGCTTATCCGGCGGCAAATTCCAAATAGAATCGCCTTATTTACACGCTCACTCAGCCGCGTTCATAAACCAAAATATGCAACGAAAGTTGATTAAATATTTATTTGCTGTTTGCTGTTTGCTCTTCGCTTGCAATTAAAGCGTTCAAATGTCGCGTTAAATCGCACAGATTTATTTGTCATCGCTTTGGGAATAAAAAATTAATGAAAACATTTCAGATTGTGTTCGGAATTAAACGGCATTTGTTTGGTGGGACTCCATTCTGGTTTTCGAGAGCGTTGTTTATGGGAGGATTGGCTTCTTCGGAATTTACATGAATGATTAAGACTGCTGGATTTATGGCCTCTTTTACCCAGACCACCTTAGCAAGTCTACCGAAATTTATAGTTTGGCATTTGGCAAGACAAGGTTCCGTTTAGTTCGCAAATCTATTAATCCGCCATTTCAACCTCTATAAATCCACCGTTTAACCTCTTCCTGAAAGACTCGGCCCATTGATTAACACAAGCGATGTGCATCTGATTATTATTTTTACAATGGTGAAGCAGTTTCGGTTTTATGGCTCTGCCTCCAAAGTTCAAGGAGACGCTGCTGTGCATTTTATGAATATGAAAATATAATTCAGTTTGACGTGGAACCAGTAAACAGTCCATATTAGCATGGCCTGGCCCCACCTTCCGTCTTGCTCAGCTTGTTGCCTACTCTTTATATTACTCATACGACCCGTGGACGCCTCTTTGATGCTTTGACTAATTCGTTTTTAATATGAATAGCCGCTTTGTTATCAATTTTACTATATCCACCGATGCGTGGCCAAGCACACGTCTCTTTTTGATACCCTAGATATCTTCATTCAGGGTCGACTTGCTGGGAATTTGCTATTTTCTGTTTGGTTTTATGTTTCTGCGATCAGTTTTGACTTTGAATACGACTAAGGGGTCAGTTCTAAGGCTGTTTTTTATGATATTAATTGACAGATTGCCAAGGGGATTACAGTTTAACAAGCAAATATGTATATGGCTTTACTTTAAGGAGATCCTGTATAGAATAGAATTGACATTGCCTATCCATATTGGTACATATCTCAATTCGAATGTCTTCATCTCATACTCATTCATAAGTTGAATATTAATGTCTGCTTTGACATATTTTATAGCTATGGATTTGGAGTTATAAATCATCTAACAAAGAAACGATGAAAGGTAAATTCATTTTGCATGCTGACTTTTAAAATATTTGTTTGATGTTGAGTTGAAAATTGATAGAGAGTTAAATGAGATGTAACATCTCTTCCCCTGGCAAATATTAAAGAATATTTTTCAAGTGTAGCTCCCACAGCAAAACCAAAAACCGAAATCAGAAACCTGCTGATCAGTGTGGCACATGAAGTTAAGCTTCTTTAACCGCCCCTGGTGTAATATTCCATATGCAAGCATCTTGCAATCGGCAGCCTCTGAGCTGAGGAACGAGAAACCCGAGACCCATCAAACCGGACTGGTGGAACCGTTGGCCAGACCGTTGGGTCAGATGCATTCGGTCGGTGGTTTATGGACCGTTTTGTGGGGCGTGGAATGCGGCTCACCTTGAAGAAGATGCCGAGGTAGTAGCGCTTCTCCCCGAGCTTCAGCAGCGGCATCGTCCATTTGTTCGGCGTGTACTGCGACTCGTCCACGCAGTTGGGGCAGTCTAAAAATAAGATCGGAAAGGATGGAGGATTAGCTCGTCGTGCTGACATCAACGATCTTAACAGAATTAATGCGAAAAACGAGGCAAAAATGAGATGGGCCTCGACTTAAGAATAACCAACCAGTGGATCCTTATGATGCACTCCGAAATAAACTATATACTAAATGGAGAATCATCTTATTATATATCTTAAGGTTATATAGTGGTATATGCTTCCTAGTCTCGAGGTCGTTGCCTTTGTTCTTCCCTACTGAAATATTTTACAGCCTTTGCACTAAAAAATCTATAAACTCTCTAAATATTCGAAGACTTAGTTTCGGATATCTTGTTTCGGGCACTTAAGATAAACGTATTAACATGTTTGGTTAGTTCGTAAAAATAAAAGTACTTAAACTGGTTTGTTTAACTTTAAAACGCCCAAAAATGCATAGAAATTCGCGCTTCTTTTGGTCTATAAACTTTTATAAGGCAGGTTGCCTTGGGCCTGATTCACACTTAATCGCAAATCGCCTGTAAATGTTGATTTGCCAGAAGAGAAGATCGTAAAAGTATAAGTCTATATATCCTCATTGAAGAGACTTCTTTCACTTTCCGATTGACTCATCTCCATATCGCCCCTTGACTAATTAACTGTCGCATAAAACCCATCTCAATTTGTGATTATAAATGCCGAAGCCACCTTAAGCGGAGATGCTAAAGACCAAGTGGACATTAGACTTTAAGACTAATTGCCGGCGATGCATGAGGTGTCTGTTGTACTAAGAAATTGAGTTATGAAAGTCTGTCCAGCTGTCAGAAGGAAACAAATTCGAAATGGGAACTGGTTCTCTTTTGGAATTCAGCGAGAACCAGTTCTACTTGTCCCAGCGGATTAAGCATAATCCGCAGTGACGCACAGCCTCCACTCCAGCTTGATCTAGAACTCATTTTGGGTATGTGAATCAAGGTCTGGCCAAGTCATTGTTGGATCTAAGAGTAAGTGAAGGTCACTTGTGCTGTATTCTTTCTAAAAACGAAAAGCGAAACGGTTTCCCTTTTGTTTCGTAACTGTCTTTGGGCTAATGTCCATTAATTAATCATTCGCCATGTATGCCCATCTGCGAGCATTCTGCGAAGGCCTTGCCGAATGATGTTGATGTTGTGGCGATTGTCGAATGCTGTTGATATACGAAGGGGCGTAGTGACATGGCGCTCACTCCGAAAAGAAATAAATTTACTTTGAACAACGGCCAGAGCCGTGTGAAAACATGAACAAAAAGCAGTTAACATTTCGACTCCATCGTAAACAATGCAAAAAGGCGGTTTAAGGCAAAGATTTGGCAACAGTTTTAGGGGTCTGGGAGTTGGTTAATTGCGAACAAATAAGTAAGTTTTCTAAATATTCATAACTTCTTTTCTTGAATAAAGTCTAATAGGCTTGCTGTGCGAATTTGTTTGAGCTTGTAAAGTTGGCAAGCCATTTTGTTAACATGATAAAATATCTGTTAATCACCCTTGTTCGACAGATATGCTAATTTATGATTCTTTTATGACTTACAAACTTACATAAATGATAACAAACATGACATCTATGATAATTAGTGTTAATGTGTGGGGTATTAATCAAAGGCAGATCAAACGAAGCGTGTTAATTGCTATAAAAATGAATTTACAACTTATAGTTGACAGCTAAGGGATCCACTAGGTTGTGAAATTTACTCTTAGCACTTAATATATTTTATAAAAATCAACTACTTTCACTGCAATCTGCACTTTTCATAAATGTTTCGCACGTATTGCATCATGGAATTAAGGCCTCTGCGTTAATTAATTTCCCAGATTTATTGCAAATATTAAAGACCGGTTGAGTTTTTGGCCAACTGAGGTCTTCCTGCTCCTCGCAGACTGACTCAAAAGCGAATTAAAGGTGCCAAATTGATTAGGATCCCTGCAAACATGAATTTGCATTCACAATTTCTGCGCCAATCAACTCCAAAGATAACCGTAAAACGAAGCATATATTTATTCATTGATTGTTTATTAATTTTTAAAGAAAACACTATCAAAAATTAGTTTCTGCTAGGTTGAGTAGGTTTATCATACGGGTTATAAACCAGTTTCGCGACAAGAATGCCGAAGAGTCAATGTCAATTTGGTCATTTTCTAAGAACTAAAACTAAAAAGTGATTATCAACCTATACTTTATGCTAGGCACTACGAGACATGTTATAAAAATTTAATTTCCTTAAACTTTTATTTCTAACTCCCTTTGGCATTCTTAGCCTGACATTCAAGCACATTTATTGGCCTCGCTTCCTGCTAAATTTATATTTTTTCGTAGAAGAATTTTTGTGTTTTATGCTAATGGAGTTGGACATGCAATCAGACAAAAGAATATTTAATATCTGAATGGGTTTTTCTGTTATTTTTGTGATTTTTATGATTGGGTTTGACTTTTATAAAGGTTATAAATTGGCTAAAAATTGGATAAAGTTAAGATTAAGTTTTGGATTAAGAAGATTTATGAATGGCAAGAAGAAATGATGAATTAATTTCTTAAAACTTAAAGTTATTCTGTAAAGGCTTTCATTTTTAAGGTATTGATTAACTTTTTATAAATTTAGCCCTGACCTTCAGTTCACATTTTTTGCAGCCTTTTCTCGATTTAACCTAAATCTGTTTTGATCTCTTTTTTCAGTGATTTATATTGGCTTTTGTATGAATTTATTTTTGCCCTGATGAGTGGCCTGTGTCAACGGAATGGCTTGTTTTATTACAAACATTTCGACAGGCGATGGCGACGGCGACGGAGAAGGCAATAAAATGCAGGCAGGTGCCCGAATAAACATTTGACTAATTTCGATCCAAATGGCCGGGCCAGAAAAGGCAAAACAAATCGAACTGGGCCAAAAACAGAGGGAGCTCGCGATAAATTAAAACGGAATGCCATGGCAAACGGTAGCTGTCCAAACAGAGCTTAAACATCATCCATTTTGGCCCCAAAACTCCTCAATTAAGCTTCCCAACTTCACACATCCATCCATGTTTCCCAGCCAACCCAGCAAGCCAAACCAATTCGAGAAAGTGAAAGTGAGTTCACGTTTCTGTGCATTTTTTGTGGCCAGGACTCCCCAGTCGCATGGGTTATGCAATGGGTAACTCATAACTTCATAACCTACCCGCCACAGGACCTGCTGCTTTGTTCGGCGACGCCAGTGTCCTGTCCAAGAGGCATAGCAGTTGGATGGAGATTATCACAGACAAAACGAAATACTTTTGCATCTTTCCAATCGTCGAGCTATTCCGATACGAGTATTTATGTAAATTAATTCTGTTTTTGAATTTTGTAAACACTTCCGCACACTTTTACCCTGAAAATTCCGTAAAATGTGTAAATTTGTAAATGTGTTTTGGGAAAAAATTTCGCTTTTGAACTTCAACGCATATTTTGTCGGTCGTTGGTTGTTTTGTTCGAATTATGAATTATTTTAAATACAAAAAGATGCTTATCGGATGAAGTCGAAAGTTGGCAAAATGCGGAGACGGAAACCTCAGTTTCGGATCGTGTTAAATGGTGTGCGCAGGCGTGCGCCCAAACTGACCGTCGGCTGTCGAAGAACTAACTCTTTCGGCTCAACTTGGCTCAAACCAAGGCAGAATTCCCTCGGAGATGTCGGGGGCTTGGATCTCTCTCCGTAGCAGCTGCCAGAGAAACACTCAGAGAGTGACTTTGCCAGTTAACTGGTAACTGGTTCGAGAGAGCCCAACATCTTCGACTCGAAGACGAACTTGTTTGCCGCGGCCAAGAGACTCGAAAGATTAACATCACCCGAGATCGGCCATACATGGACATATGCATACGGCTGTGGCCAGCGGTCGGCGGACACTTGCGGTTGTTTGTCAAACACTTGACACAACCTCAGCTGGAGATCGAGAGCTCGAGTCGCATCTGAAGTTTCACCAAGGTGAAACGTGACGCGAAACGAGCACCAAACCTTAAGTAAGAACGCTCTAGTTTAGTGGCTCGAACTTGAGTTACCCGGTAGCCTAAGATTCTTACTAAAGCTTGGATTTTTCAAACTCCTATTTCTAAACATTTTAAGCTAAACATACTTCTTGCAGTCTCTCTACTCTTTTCCACCTAATCACCCATTTAATGGAGGAACCGGAAGACTTGTCTCAAGCAATCTAATGACTCACTGGCCAATTAAATGAAATATAAATGAAATACAAATAAAACCAAAGAATTCGCATAAATCTAGGCTAACTCAACAAACTCCGAAACTACCGGGTACGAGCACCAAAGTGGAATCATTTCAAAATTCTGGTTTCGCATCTGCGGTTTTCTACTGCGCTCTGATCCGTTCTGTTCTCTGCTCATTTGATCCGATCTGGGTTCTCCGATTACGCAATTTCCACCCGGGACTGGGTGCATTTCAAACGTGGGTATCTCTGAATTTGGTAGTTGACTTAACTGTGCCGAGCCAGAAAACTTCACTTTCCGCTGTTGCTGGCCGAATTTCTTAACGGTGACCTTGGATTGCGGATGATGAACTAGTTTTCTGGCTTAGATTGTTCGATTCCAGCTGCTGGAGTTGCGTCTTCATTCAGCGAATGCTGCTCTACGGGCATACGTAGCGTATGCGTGATGTTTGTCAGATATCACACAAAAGTGATGGGAAGATATATGGTGGGAGATTTATTTGGAGGTGTATTTTCAGACGTCAGCAAGGTGGCTTGGGAAGAAGGTTTTCATAGAGATGATGCAGACTATTAATTGATTTTATCGGAGGAAAGTAGTCTAGTTTGCTCATAGAGTTCGAAAATCTTTCTTACCAATGAATAAACCTAATCAGCCAGCATTCTAGAAATACCTTATGAAATTCCACCAACAATCTTTGAAGTTCTTTACCAAATTGTGAAACCATTAAGTCCATAAAACATATTGTGTCGGCAATTAAGTCTCGGCCATAAAAATTGATTGCCCCGCCAAAGGGGACAAAAACTATTGACAACTTTTTGCGGAAAATGTCAGCAGCAGAAAAAGATTCCAAAATTCCAATTGCAGATGGGAGGAGGCGAGAGGGCAGAGAAGAACGCATCTGCAATGGCCGCAATTTGTGAAGAAATCGAAAAGCAAGTCGCCGAGTGCCAGCCACTTGTTGCATTTTGCATGAAAAACAACTTTGTGTTGTCGCCCGGCTGGTCTTTAGTTTTTTCCAGCTGGCTTACGTGTTTTAAATTAAATTTTTTGTGACTTCTGGTATCTTGTAAGCGGCATCGGTTCGATTCGATTCGATTCGCAGTTCTTTTGGGGTGGACTAATTAATTAATTGGAAACAAGCGATCGGTAAACAAGAAACGAAGAAGTTTAAGGGGTATTTATTCAGATTTCCAGTAGTTTTATATGCATCTCGCTAACCAAACCAGATTAGAGACGAGTTAAGTCACAATATATAGGCGAGGAGTTCATTGCTATTGACTCAAAACCAAGGCCAAGCTCGGAAATTCTTTAAGGTTTTCTCTCTAGGGGAAGCACCTACCTAATCGGAACTAAAGTTTACAATTATCTTAAATTAGCTTATATTATTAAGCCATTAATTACCATGAATTTGCTGTTAATTTGTAGATATATTTTAATAAAGCCCGCGGGGATTTGCATAAATTTTCCAAAAATAGATTTCGTAAGACCATTCTTGGAATCGAGACTTGACCCTTGCGTGTGCTTCGACTCTAACCAGGTGAATCCCCCCAAACAAACTCGGCCGGCAAACCGTCGTCACAATCTACGCAATAGGTGGCCTTTGATGGATCTTCAAACCTTTGCTTTTATAACTCATTCGATGCTAATGGAATGCAAATTCGATTCATCTTTTGTGTGATAATTTTAGATACACTTATTGCTGGTTTGTTGAACTAGATAACCCGATCCAGTTTGCCTTATGACGTCTTTTGATGCCTTCTCAAAGATTCGTTAGTTCGGAAAATTCGTTTAGTTTACTCTCAGAAACTGATAAATACGCGATAGCAGCTCATAAATTAAAGAAGTTTCTTCTTTTCCCTCTTTTTAAGATTCGATAATTCTTATCTCAAACGACTGTCGCGCTGAGTTAAGCAGAATCGCTAACAAAGTGTCCTCAACTAGTTCCCAACACCTGGAAGTGGGTGCAATGCCTCCTCCTCGACTGCGGTTTTATGGCAGCTCTTTTGTCTCACATTCTGCCCGACTCGTGCGGGGGCAATAAATTTGAATGGTTTGACGTTTAAGTAAAATAAAATCCCGTCATCGAACTACTTCTAGACTCGTCTTGATTCGATCCGATGCGATTCGATTCGTGGTCGTAAATTTTTTTGGCAGATTTTGCTCAGGGTTAAGATTGGTGCGAAAGAGAGGGAGGGGAGGGGAGGGAGGGTAACCAGTTTCGACCCTGGGCCAAGTGAAATAAAACACTCATAAAATTGCCAATTTTTTCGCCTTTGAGTTGTGTAAATAGCCTGACAAAACGAGGCTCGCCTGATATGTTATGTAAACACATGCAGCCCGAGGCCATTCATCATACGCACTGTGGTCCCGGAGGCGACAAAGCGATCAATGCTAACAAAGAGCTGCGAAATGCAAATAAATAATGAAGGAGGGTAACGCTTGAAAAGTGCGGGTAATGAGACTGATACTAATGTAAGGTACGGTAAGGTTGGAAAAGAAAACTAAAAGAAATCAACAAAAGTTTTTGGAAGTTTCCAGAAAAATTGCAAAACTGGCAAGAACCCATTGTAAAAATTCAATAAACAACTTAAAACGGGGAATTTAAGAGAACTACCAGATAATTGAATTTATTCCCTTAAGGAGAGGCAACATGAAAAACGCTTCGGAACGTTAATTGTAATTTCTGAGCTCGATATGGAATTTTCATGAACTCAAAATGGCTTGAAAACTGAAACAACTTCCCGAGGAATGAATCGAAAGTGACAACAGCTTGGGGCAAGGGAATGCGGCAAGCTACCTTAAAAACCGAAGTAATTTAATGGCATGAGATAATAATTGTAATAATGCAGCTGGAAGCCGAACCACATCGCGTGGAACTAAACAAATTAAAGGGGATTGATGGATGGACGCCGTGGCTAATGGCATAACCTCTAAGTAATGTGTAGGGTGAGGCTTAACACAAATTCCACGCTTGATCACTTTATCAATCTGTGGGTTAATGGGAGTTGATTGATGGTGCTTATGAAGCAGGTTGTTAAAATATAAAATAAATAAGAAGAACAGTCTCAGTTTTTAAGATTAATTTATAAAGTACAAAAATATATTTTAACTCACCCGCATCGACTTCGTTTTCGCTGGGATCCCGATGGAATATGTTGCCGTAGTACTGATCGTGCTGTTCAGACTCCACGCTCTGCAGAGACTCCTGCACATCGTAGTCGAAGTCCTCCTGGTTAGCTTGGGGCTGCTGATCCGTGTCCTCGTCATCACCCTCCTCTTCCTCCTCCTGCAGCTGCTGCTGCTGCTGCTGAAGGCGTTTGCGGTTGTAGCTGCTTTGCCTTTTGGCCGAAGCAGCAGCCAGGCGATTCCTCTGGGCTCCACCGCCGCTCCTCCTCAGATTCCCCCCATCATTGGCAGCAAATCCTCGAGGACGAGGTCTAGGCGATGGTTTCGGCTTGGGCAGGATGTCCGCGATGGTGGGAATCTTCTGGCTGCCCGTGCGGTTGGGAAATAGCCGGCGTTCCAAGTAGTTCGCAAATATCTGCTGGGTTATCTGATTCTGGCGGGCGATCTCGCTCTGATCCAGCTGGGCGCCTGGAAATGGGACCACAATTAATCATCGATCAAGTAGTCCCCCATGTGGGTCACAGCAAGTTGAGCCAGACCCGAGGTCTTTATTTTCGAGGGCAATTACATAAAGTGCGGGACGGGATGGGACTGGCAACCCACGTTGAGGTGTTGAAAATGCAGTAATTAAAACAAAAACCCTAAAGAAAACCTCCACGACGTACGGTTACCCTTGTGGGTAAATATCACAAAATATCATTGCCTCCTAATAGCGAGTTAATGGCCACAGTTAGGCAACGAAGAGGGGCCTTTTTATATCCATGTTAGGGCATCATGATGAGCGTGTCACTTGATGATTTTTTGATTACATCGTTTGGGCTTCGGAGTGACACTCAGACATCATTCAAAAGTCTGGGAATCGGGGGAAGGCCCCTTGAGCCACCAGTGTTGCCCTTATAAAGTGTTTGATCGTGGCTCTCGAGCATCACTTCTCCCGAATGAAAGTGAGAAGATATGGTAATAACGGAGTCCCCGGCCCACAGCCATGATCACTTGCCATTTCGTCTCACCAGAAAGTGTGTCAAGGCCGGCAAAGACTTTACTGCCCGGCATTTAAGCCGATTGCAGTCGCTTTATGGCCATTTCCAGTTTCCGGAGCTCCCTGTGATGAGTCCGAAATTGCCAAATAATTGATATAAAGTTCGTTTTTTAATCTGGGCCCCTATTTGCCCTGTGATGCATTAGCCCCGCCCAGCCCTCAGCTCCTGATTTGAGTGGCACTTCGGGTTAAATTTATCCCCAGAGGGTTAAGAGAGGTACAGAAAAATAAAGTACAATTTATTGCGCAATTAACGTAATGTTTTTAATATTCCGTGTTAAATATATCTTTTTGTTTACTGCTTATCGCAGTGGACAGTCAAAATTACGCGGCAAGAGTTGAAAATTCCGCCCTGGCATTTGTCTGTGATTGAGTGGGGACATGAGCGGCTGTCAGGGGGTTTCTGCGGGGGTTTCTCGAGGGGCTGAAGTGTGTACGATGTCAGGTGGAACATTAATGCCGGATTACCGAAAACAAGGCCTCTGCTCACTTGACTTTGTATGCCGGATAATTCGGGGTCTTATCTGATCGCCTTCGCTCAATGAAATTGGACTCCCCGAATGGGCGAAGCACTTGGCCGTAAATCGACTGCAAAGATCTTCATTTCAGATCGGAGGTTGTTAATCGAAATTTCGTGTCTTCAGTAATTAAGTGAAAATTGTGAGGTAATTTAATGGAAAGTTCAAAATTGTGAAAGGAAATCAAAGGAAAAGTCTCAAATGAATTTGTCAGGATTCCAAATACTTTAACTTGATTTTCTGGTTTGATTTTGAGTTATGAGAATCTGCCAGAATGCACTCTCCCTTTTCAGGTTATCAATAACTCTGATTCTTAGTTCCATATATAATAACAAACGAAATCAGATCTTTAAAGAATTATAACATACTACAACCTAATCCCATTGAACTTCAAGTTCAGTCCACTCAACACAAATATTTGAAGTAATTTCAGGCCAGCGGATGTGAGCACTTGCTAACAACTTTGAAGTCCCAGCGGATTGGCAAGTCATCGAACGAGGCTTTAATTTGAACATTAATTACCAATCCAGCTGGAATCAGACTACGTCTTTGAGGTCGCCTTCGGAATGAGAACAAAAGGCAGCTCAAAGCATTCGCTCGCATGAACCAGACAAGATTCCAAGAGTCCATTGTTCGGTTATTGTTCTCCAAGAGTCGCAATCCTTGGCTAGTTAGCCGAGCATTATGCGAGATAATTTACGTGCCATTGTTGGGCGCCATTTGCTGACCGATTGAAAGCTGGTACGAAATATGACAACGGTTGGAACGTGATGGCCTAAATGCTTTTCGAGTTGTCAGGAGGAGAGGGGGAGTTCTGATACACACTCGCTGATCGCCAATCAAAGATCACAGAACTAAACGCAAAAACGTGATACCATAAAAGAAATTCCATTTCAATTTATCAACTCGAAATCATGATGGTTGCGAATTGTATTACCTATCTCTGATCTTTTTTCTTGCAGTGCAGTTTCTGATCGCCTGGGCAGCATTCAATAACTTCACGACTTGGTGACCCAGTTGTGTCTCCGTCGCGATGTGTATCTATATCGGGCAACAACTATATAGCCGATACTTGGACCGACTAATTGTCGTTTGCACAGGCCACATAAATCATGACAACTGGCTGAGGATGTCGGGCTTGCCTTGAGTGAAAAACGAACGAACCTATCAAAGCGGTAAATCATTTCCAACACAGCATCTGTATCTGTAACTGTGCTTAAGAACCGTCTCAAAATGCATCTGTATCTGATTCTGCGGCCTGCAACAAGCTGCCGCAATTGCAACTGCAACTACTTGAGGGCCGTGCAATTGCCGCTTGGCTGAAAAGAGGTCAATTAGCTGCGAGGAGTTGGCCAAAGACAAAGGATTTCGCAATTCCGCACGCTAAACGATTGTTTTTCTGTTTGTTAGCTTTTCTGTTTGTGGACCAGCTTCCACATTCCATAAAGATACTTTTTCAAACGCTTGCGCAATCCGCTCGTATCTCTTGCAGCCAATGCGGCGTATACGTTACGCAGAGCTGTGGTCAAACTTCTTTGATTGACGCACTCAAGGTGCCCAAGAATCGGATTTTAATATGACCAGCATGATATATTAGATCATTATTAAGTTAAGTTGGCAGCCGTGGTTCAATGTCAAGCCACAAGCCTGAAAGATTTATTTTTTGAATGCTGAAATGTGGAATTATATTCATAGGCTTATGGAATGCCCTAACAAGGCGGGCAATTATGGTTTGTAGGAGGCGGTTGTCTTTAACCAAAAGTTGTATCTTTACTCTATAAGAAAAGTAGTGGATTATAATTGCTACTAATAATTAGCATAAGACTCTTCATCACTGACCAAGCTATTATGATAATTGGGATCAGTCTTTCGTTGTAAACAAAACTGAAGACAAATGGACAGATTGAATATTAATAAAAAGACCATATTGATGGATAACTACCACTACTATAGAGTATTCAAATAATTAAAACCAAAACCGATAACTTGCGTTATCTTGACAAATGACTCTCTTAAGTGGTAGGCCCAATCCGAATTCTTACATTTAAACACAGAAATTAGCATTTTTCGTTTTATTTTTGGCCAAGTTCGGCTAATTTCTGATCATCACGACATCGAATTCAATTTCCAATGCAAATCAAAATTCTTTCCAGCAATTATTGATTCGGGCTCGTCGAGGGGTTTTTGAACTCTTGTTTTTCGATCTCTCGACTTGGGCTTTCAGTTTTCAGCTGGCCTCTCAGACTCATTAATCTCTTGGCCATTTTGGGGGAAAGGTTGGTTGTTGGTGGACACGTGTTGGTCTTCTGCCGCTTTTGTTCTCGGCAAAATGTCACGAGGAAAGAGGGGTTCGAACTGCCATAATTCTTTTGGCCACAATTCGCTGCTGCATAATATTGTTTAATGCGTTTTCTGATTTGCGTCAGTGTTTTCTAGTTAATATTCTGAGGTCACCGGCATTCCATTTTGAAAACAAAGTCAAGCAGCGCAGCCCAAAAGCGGAGAGAAATATTATTTAAACTGGATTTCTTGTTTCGTTTTATTGTTGAATATTTATGCAACTAGAAGATGGCCATTGAACGCACCTACCTCCGATATAAATATATCTCTAAATCAGGGGCGGGCAGATATAGCCGACGCGAAAGTTTGCCGCTGACTCGCGCCGAGATTCGCCTGGCCAGAACTCATATGTTTATGAAATGCGAAATCTTTAAATGCCAAATGGTGCATGGGAAACACAATTAGCATTTTAATAACAGCCACTAAGTTTGCTAAATCTGCTTTTTTGTTGTAATGCATATATGAAAACCAACGATGAGATTGCCGAACTGATATGCTATGCAGGATTGGAGGAGACAAATGAGTAGAGCTTTTTTATGCAAATCTGCTCTTTGTTCATTTTAAATTCCTTTATGATTTGTATTGTTAGCGACACAGAACTAGATTTGTTTGCATTTCCAAAATAAACGCTGCCGAAATACATTTTTCTTTTCTTCGGCTCCATAAATCTTATCGGCTTCTAACATTGCAGATTAATATGTTTCAAGTTTTGGCAGATAAATTTTCACACAAAGAAGATCTTAACTTAGACTTCGGGTTTGAAACTATAATTAAGGGTTTGCTTGTCCAATAATTACTAATTAAAAGATGATTTGCCTGTCTTACACCTGCCACAGTCGAACGAAACCCTTGAAATGCCACACGACTACACCCACATCGCCCACATTAAGACCAGAGAAAGAAAAGGCTTGACTCAAAGCAATCTGGCCAAGAGCAATTGTTAATATTTGCAGGCCAATTGACACAGCCCCTTGATGGCGTCCATCACAGAGACCGAGAGACTCTGACCCTGACACGGATTCACCACAATCGAAGGCACTCGGAAAAGTGCCTCAAAGGGGCCAAGTACTCACCTCTCTTATCACGGCCATTGGCTCCTCCAATATTGGCCATTACATCGCTGCCATTGCTGCTGACGTGATTGATTGGGTTGAGATGGAAGCCGTGCGGAACATTGCTGACGGGAACGGCCACCGGCACTTTGGTTACGGGCGTATTGTGTCCGGAGTCGACACTGGCCAATGAGATGAGCACTATGACGAGCGTGGGGCGTAACATTATCACTGATTTGTAATTGTAATTTTTCACGTGAATTCGTAGACACCAGTAAAAGTTGCAAGTGCACTTTGTGAGATGTCTCGGAGGCACGAAACCGAAAACCGGGGAAAGCAAGTCGACGCTATATGCAATAACCTCCGATCTCGAGCTGTAACTGAAAGCCAACTGACCGAGGTTGGTCTTCCAGAGGGTCTCTCTAGATCTCTAGCTTATTTGGTATGCAGCTTCGCTTTCTAAATTATCAAAATCAAAATATCGGGCAAATGTGTTGTATCTCTCGGATCTAGCTTTAATATTCAAATACTTTGCTTTTCTCCGCCCAACTGTCAACGGTCGCGGGGCGGGGTAGGGTCTTTAGGTCTGGGCCATTAATTTGCGCCTCCGAATTGGAATTTTGGAGCCAGGGTTCGATGCCTGGTCGTAGAGGCGGACGCGGATTAAGTAATCACCCAGATCTCCACTCAATTCACTTTCTTTCCGCTTTCGCAGAGTGAGAGGGAGAGGAAGACTGACACTGAGCTGGAGATTGAAATTGAAATTGAGTGAACTGGAGTGGTCCGGAGACTCTCACTGGTTTTTGGGTCTGCCGTGGACCGATCTCAAAAGTTGCTCGCATTCGGGGCCGATCCGCCGAAGAGTTAGCATCTAGGCTGGAGCACCGCTTTACGATTTTCTCGGCTCTTTCCTGCGATCGCACTCGCCGTGTTAACTTACAGACTAAAGCGTTTGAACGCAACTAAAACGAGTTCCTCGCTCGACTCCTCTCCGAGCCGTCGATCGGTCAGCTGGCCCGAGCTCCGGTCTCTCTCCCTCTGCATATACTCAGCGGTTAATATCTTCGGTTCCTCAACTTGTTTGAAGTGACCAGACCAGACACCAAACCACAAAGCTGTTGCCGCTGCATCCAGCTTCCCTCCTCCTCCATCCTCTCCCCTGAGGTTTTCTGCCGGAGATGGGTCCCATGACTTTTAATTACAGGTGTGCAATAGACGAAGGTGGTCGGAACGGTTAAGTCTTACAATTCTGCATCGCGAATTGGCTTTGTCGGTTATTTTTAGACACGCTGGGATTGCAGATGAGCACCTCTGCGGCCTTGACTTGGCCATTAAATGCCCTTAAAGTGGGGCTATTTAAGTTTTGCAAAAACAGAGGGTGTTTCCCATCATATAATTTGGAATTTGGTATCTCATTGATTGCATTTAAAAGCAAAATTAAAAGAGGTTTGATATGCTTTTATTCGGAGCTACATTTTTAATTTTAGATAACGGAAACCATAAAACTGTCAAATATTATAATGCATAAGCTACGTCAATTTTAGATATCTTTTCAGCTCTCTAGGGGGCTATAAACTGGTTAGAATGCGCAAAGATTATATTAGAAAAAGTATTCCACTCCAATTTGTGAAAATATAATATAATTTGCAGGGAATTTCAACTTTCGTAGTAGTAAATCAAGTCTCGCTTGCATTTATAAATAAACAAAGACCTGCGAAACTTAATCCCTTACTGGGAGCTTAATTTCTGACGGATCAGCAAATCCTTGCATGCGGTTTTCACACATCGAAGTGAAACATCGGGAGTGTTGATAATTTTAAATTTTTATAATATTCGTTGAATCCGAATGGTACATTAAGGTAACTATATATTCAGTATTCGTGCGTCAAACTAAACGGGTTGATACGAGAGGTCTAAGTCCAAAACCAAATTTTAATGACAGCTGCAGTGAATTTTTGAAGTGTTGCAAGTGAATGCCAGTTGATGGGTGCCGAAAAAGTGTACATCAGGTCCAGTTAGTAATATAGGATGATCCTCCTAGGGATCAGACGGTTACTTCTTCTTGCCCTTGCCCTTCTTGCCCTTGCCCTTCTTCTTCTTTTTGCCCTTCTTGACACCGCCCAGCATTTCCTCGGAAACATAGGTCTCGGTGGTCACCTTGCTGACCGGAAGGGTTACGGGCTGCTTCGGCGTCCTCAGCTCGATCTCGATGGTGTTCTTCTTGTGCTGTGACTTGGCCTTGCTTCCCAGTTTCACCAGAAAGACATCGCTATCGGTCTCCTCGCAGGTCTTGTAGCACACCTATGGGTAGATAAATATAGATTATATCAAACTACCATCTATAAAACTAGGAAAATGCTTGCAAAAACACCTAATTTGGACTCGTGTAGCCTCAAAATTGAATCTATTACATCTTCCCTGTGATTACCATAAATAAAAACCAGAGTAGTTGCCACCGCAGAGTGAAAAAGTGTTCCACATTTGGTGCTTGCAGATGTTACGCAACTGCCCCACAATTGCGGCAATCGAAAGCCTTCCCGAAGTTGCAGAAGTTGCCAAGTTGCACCACCTGCATCGGCATATAGAGGGGCAAGTCACGGACTGAAAGCGATCACACTTCCGCGTTCGCACACGTAAGCGGCGATGCCAAAAAAAGGAATGCGGAGGCGATCAGTGATTACCAGATCAGACTTAAGATTAGACATTCTTAAAAAGTGGATTGTCGGAGACACTTCCACAATTTACAAATAATTACTAATTATATCAGGTTATATTAGCTAAGCTCACCTCTATGCCCTTGCGTCTGGTGTCCAGATTGACGCCCTTCATGGTCTGCATGATGTCCTTCCGCTCGACCTGCATGCAGCAGGTCCTCTGGTTCTGGGCGGGACACTGAGCGGGGACAATGCGATCGGATCCGCCGCAGAGGCGCTGGCGGTAGCAGTCCACCTTGGCCTCCTGAAGGTCGCAGGCCTCCTTGATCTTCGAGAAGGGCACATAATAGTTGTCCGTTTCGCAGGCATCGTTTCCAGAGTACTTAATATTGGCCCGCACCTTGGGGATATTCGGGTGGTTTATGATCCTGCCGCCGGTCCTGCGCTTGATGTGGTTCCTGGCGAAGGAGCTGCGCTGCAGCATCTCGTGCAGGCAGGACTCCTTCTTGGGCTCGCAGTCGTTGGGATCGTCACGATAGCAGGGATCGTCATCTGCCCCAAGGTTAGGGTTGGTTTCACTTCCGTCCAGGACGCTCTCCACCTTGTGGGTGTTCTTGAGAACGCGAATGGTCAGACCGCTGCCATTCAGACAGGCCTCGAACTCATCGTAGGCTTCAGGACCCGGGTCCGGCTTGGTTGGTTGGATGAAGCACGGAGCTAATTCCGGACTGCAGTCGCAATCGCAGGGGCATTGGCAGCAGCCATCGCAATCATCCATATCTGGGGGAAAAGCAAAGATTAACCCAAAAGTCAATTTATTTCGACATCTGTCAAAATAAAGTCGAAAGTTGATTCATCGAATTTCTATCGAAAGGACGGACTTACTCTCGTTCATTGGCTTGAGCATCTCGTCCGTGATGTTGAACTTGCAATCGACCTTTGGGCGCTTGCCCTTCTTGCCCTTCTTCCCCTTCTTCTTGGCCATGATGTGTGGTTAAGTGTGTCTAAATCAATACAAGTATTCACTGGGTACGTCTGCAGGTGTTGTCCGCTCAAAGACTGCTGCTGGAGGCTCGATTCCGAATTCCGAAGGCCTTTAATTCTCAATTTGGATATTGTACTTCACCAGTAAATGGCGCAATTTCCGCACAGCTCGTTTTCGCGCTGACAAAGAGAACCGAATTATTAGAATCACTCGATAACGATTATCAGGTTTTCCGAATTACTTCTGTTTTATTTTCCATCCAAAACTCGCGTAAGAAAAACGAAAGAATTTATTTTTTATTGTTTTGTGCGGCAGACAACATTTCTCGATTGAATCTACAAAACGAATGCAAACCGAGTAATGATCTATTACCCCCCGGCTACTTGGTGTTACTAAATGGTTTGTCAAACGTGTCTAGGTGGATGTGTTATTTATTTCAAGGCCTACTTAGTACCCCGAAAATTTGAGATATATGGAACATAACTTCGGGTGTAGAATTTAAAATCGCTCAAAGTTGAACTCACCTTCATCGGAGGCCATATCGTACTCCTCCTCACGCCTGTGGCAAGTGGTACTTGGAGCCGGGTAACTCACTTTCCTTGTGGCCTGGAGAACTCCTTCGCAGACAGGATCGCTTGAGTCGTAAACGGCGGAGGGGTTGTTGGTGTCGCCTAAACAGTAAACAGCACCTCCTGCCTGTCGCTTTTTGCCCTTGCCATCCTTCCCATCCTTGCCAGCCTTATCCTTTTTACCATTTTTGTCCTTCTTGGAATCCTTGGCCTGGTTGCTCCTCATCTCCGCCTCCATCTTCTTCTTCATATGGCCTGGGTAAGGCTGAATGCCGCCGCAGGGACCGCATTTCTGCAGCTTCTGTTCCACGGGCGAGAGGTTACAGCGCTTCGTGGGAACAGTGGGACATTCTGGGAAAGAGGGATTTAATTTCCGCATTAATAAAGATTTGTATTATTGGGACAATTAAAAAGACTTAGATTAATCCGATTAGATACCGATTACAGTATTTCTCAACTCACCCCTGTCGAATTCGTCTTCGCAGTAGTCGCAGGGACATAGCTTGTCCAGGTTGCAGGAGTAGTATCGCAGGCACTTGGCCGGCGGGTCGGCTGGCTTGTAACAAGGATCCACCATTTTGCACCGACGACAAGGAGGCTGGCCACATGGACCCTTGCAGGTCTTCTTGTCCATGGGGCCACCGGTGGCTGTTCCTCCACCACAGCAAGGACTGCAGGGATCGCACGGATCGCAGGGATCACAGGGAGGTGGGCAGGGAGATGGACATGGTGGCCCACAAGGAGGAGGCGGGCATGATCCGCAGCAGGGAGGTGGTGGACAGGGACCACATGGCTTGCAACAGGGCTCCGGGCACTTGGGATTCCGAGAGCAGACCTTGCTGAATGGGAATGTGGAAACGATGGTCGGGCCATTGCAAACCAATCTGAGGATCAGCACAATGTTGCCAGTCTGCATCTTGCAGAGATTGAAAAGGGGTAGCAACCGCTTGGATAACTCCGACGTGGGACACCACTGCTCATGGCGTTCATTGAGCTTTTCGTAGCAAGAGCAGTTGTCCAGAAGACCCTTGCTATTGGGACCCTTCATTTTGGGCAACTGGTTAATGTGACCCAGCATGGCGCCCTCCCAGTTGGGATTCTCTGCGTCGAAGGACTCTTTAACCCTGTCGAAGATCGGCTTCACCTTTAGCTCCGACAATCCTATCAAGAACTTGCAGCTTTCCGTGCGTTTCTTGTAAACATGCACCGTCAGAACATCCTTGTCCGTGATCGGGGAGTCCAGGGTGAACAGGGCACACTTTCCGCACTTTGGCGAGCATGGGTTAACGCAGGTGCCTACCTCCCGATCGCAGATATTCACGTAAACCGACGAACGGAACGTGATCTCCGTGCAGGTGGGATACTCCTCAGGGGCACACATATTCTGCCGTGTTATCAGCAGGTCGTCCACCACAAACTCGAACATGTACAGGAAGCTTCCAGCGATTTTTGGTGTCTTCTCAGGTTTCTCGGATTTCTCACCCTTATCATTCTTTTCACCTTTGTCGGACTTGTCCATTATTGAGGAAGAAGCTCTAACCTTAACACTGATGCGGAAGAATTTGAATTTTTAGATGCCTTTCGGTTTTTCCGAAATTTATAATTTTCGTACCAGAACACGCGCACTTTCGAAATTTGGAGAATAATTTTAAATTTTGATTCGGAATTTGAATGGACGTCCAGAGACGGAGACTGTAATGTTCGAACTGGCAAAACTATTGAAATATCAAGGACTACTATGGATAGATAGGGCAATGCCACGCATATCCAGGTTCGGGTTTGGGTGCTAGTTCAATTTTTGAATTATGAAAATTGTAAGAAAACTCCCTCTAATCTTCATCGTTAGATTAAGTCCGTTCAGTGCTAAGCACATTGCATTTTTATTCTAAACACTACCACAAAGCCAAATTTAAATATTTTGACCTATATTAGCAATCTTGATCATATTCTAGATATCTAGAAGAAGATCTAACTAAATATATTTAAACACAGGGTTGAATATAAAAGGCTAAAATGTCTTTATTTATGCTTATAAAATGCTATGAAATTATATTAGCTTCCTTTACAAACATTATTAAGTGCTTATCGTTATGAAATATAAAACGGAATAAAAACTCCGCACAGCTCTAGCTCGGGATTATCTCTTCTTGGTGATCACCGATTTGCAAGGATTGCACGGATCAATCGGCGACGAGCAAGGAGCAGGCCATGTCGATGGGGAAGGATAGCACGAGCAGCAGGGGTCCTTGCATTTGGGAACTTGAACAGGAAATGAGGAGACCATGGCAGGACCGTTGCACACCAATCTCATGAGCAGGACTATGTTTCCGGTTTGCATCTGACAGAGATTGAAGAGAGGCAGCATCCGCTTGGAGAGCTCCGATGTGGGACACCATTGCTCGAGACGCTGCCTATGCTTCTCGTAGCAAACACAGTTACTGGTTTGCTTACAAGGACGCCTTAGACTGGGCAATCCCGAAACGTGCGTCAACACGTTCTCCTCCCAGTTTATGTTACGCCAATCAAATTCCTTCTTCACTCTGTCAAAGATCGGCTTCATCGGGAGCTCCGTCAGTCCGAGCAGGAACTTGCAGTTCTCGGATCGCTTCTTATAGACGTGAATATGCATCACATCCTGATTAGTTATCGGGGAATTCAGTGTGAAAAGGGCGCACTTTCCGCACTTCTGTGAGCACGGGTCGACACAAGTCCCATACTCCCGATCAACGATGTTTAGAAAAACCGAGCGGAACGTAATCTCTGTGCAGGTGGGATACTCCTCCGGAGCACAGTCATTCGGACGCGTTATCAACAGATCGTCCACCACAAGCTCCAACATGTACATGAAGTTCTTTGCAAGTTTTGAGCCTTTCTCCGCTTTGTCCATATTAACGTAAAAGCCTTAAAAGATAGGAACTACACACTAGGAATTGTAAGTCGAAGTTGGTTTTTTGGTTTTTGTTTCTGAAACTCGAAATTTTGGGTCCTTATACTACGAAATTTTGTTGGAATGTTGAAATTTTGTTCAGATTTTGAGGACGTGCCGAAACGATTAAAGTTATTGTACTTTTGAGTGAATGAAAACACACGGCCTGGCTGGGAAAATCAAATGAAAGAAAGGCCTATTGGGTAAGCTTATAACTAGTTTACACAGTAAAACAGCATTTAACATTTGTATTTAAAAGTATTATTAGTTTCTATTAAACTTTCTATTATTTCATTGTACCAAACTACTTAGTTGATTATTCGCTGCTTATTAACCTTTACATGAAGCGATTAAGTTTGCATTGATTATCTTTTATGCCTGTCATAAACACCACTTAGCCATTTTAAGCCAAGTCAACGTTCTTGACTTGCATTTCAATCCACCCCTATAATTAAAAGAGATGCGAATGAGGTTTTCTAGCAATGCGTAAAATACTTTATTTAATGTCATAAAATGTTTCTACAAAAGTGATTGATCTACATTGCATTGAATCGCAGTTAATAAGCGGCGCCTTGACAAATCCAATTCCCACCAACTGAAAACCCATCCTTCATCATTTCCAACCGCCAAAAGCTCGCCTAAGTGTTGTGTTTATAATAACTAACATGTTGCAGAGAGGAATGAGTTTGGGGGTTTTACAACTAAACAAAAACACAATAAAACAAACAGAAATTGAGAAGATATCAAGTCGATTACAGAAATTGTTTTACAAGATATTTTTTGGAGGAATATGACTGTTTAAGCTGCAGAGGTAGATGTCACCGACTCTGCTACACGACACTAATGTCATGGGTTTCGAAAGGAGAAGGGCGGAAAAAGCCGCGGCCACTGCACGAACTCGACTCCGTAGTGCAGGATTCCTGTGGCGCTCACGGCGATCATGGCTCCCCAGAAGAGCATAAACAAGAGGTTCTCCGTGTTGAACTCGGCCGGATAGGTCATAGTGATCATGAACATGGCCACGGCCATCAGCAGCACAGATGGGAATGTAAAGAACCGCCATCCATGCTTGGACTCCAGTGGCGATGGCACGGCACCACCCTCGTTGTCGTTGATCAGATACTTGCCAAGGAACAAATCCATGCTATCCTGTCGTTGGCCATCAGCAAAGTTGTTTAGATAATAACGCATCAGCGAGTTCTTTCCATCCTGAAGAGCACCAGCCTTGGTCCTCTTGCCCGTCCTGGTGAAGTCCGTCTTAAGCGCACACGTTCCTGAATATTGCAGCGACACTAAATCCGCGTTGTCTGCCCAAACGCCCTTGAAAATGCTCTCGAATATTGCCGAGGCCTGCTCCACACGCTGACCCACATGAAGCACTCCCAACTTTTGGAGCACCGCCGTGAGGGATCTCCGGGCTAGCATGCTCTGCACCACATTCGTCCTGTCCAGACAGTCGATGCAATTAGTTCGGAAGACGCCCGTCTGCGTAGATACTAGCTTTCCGTCATCAAAGACATGATAGATGCCGAACTGATCCTGTTCGTGAGCAAGGCGATCGATGAGTATGTTTAGCCGGTCCCAGCGCATTTTCCGGCATTCGCTATGGAAGTCAAAAGATTCGTATCTTACTCGTGAGTTTCCCATTTCCCGAATTAGACGGGCATAAGTTGCCTCCAGTTCGCCCTCGGCTCCTTTGTGATCCACTAGGTTCACAGCCACATTATCGCCGTATAGCTTCACTTGCTCGTTAAAGTGCAGAGTGCAAGCAGCCTGGTGATCTTTGCCCGGAACCAATACGGGTCTCGGTTTGTACCGCAGGTTGGGCAGCTGGTGCCAGTGGAAGGGCATGCTTCCGCGCGTCTGCACGAATCCTGTGAACTGACCGTTAAACTCCACTATCTGCTCGGTCTCCACAAAGTTTGCAACATGACCCTGCTCGTCGCTGCCTCTGCAGAAAAGTCGGGTTCCAGCACGCTGCACCGATCTCCGGGTGATAATGCTCCAGAAGAAGGTCTGGCCGTTAATCTGCACCTGGTTTATTGATACAAAACCTAAGACCAGTGGTAGCTGGAACTTCTCCATCTTGTCGCATTGGAACTGTCGCAGCACATAACCATTCCAAACGAATCGCTGATCAGCTCTCTGCAGCAACCCAGACTGTTCCGGCAGAGACTGGGCCACTTCCCTCTGTCGCTGAAGCGAATTGGTAAGGTCGTAGCGGTAGGAGAAGTAAAAAAACTTAGTGTCCAGTGTCTGACGAAGCAGCCTCAAGTATGTCTCGTTCTCCTTGCGTTGGATGGCATTGGGAATGTAGGGTATGATGTCATAGCCGGCTAATCTCCACACAACGGAGCCATTGAGCACGCCCACGAAGAGTCGGTGGGTGGCCACCAAAAGGTAGTCGCAGCTCAGCAAGTGAATTGTACCTAAGACACCACAAATCCTTCTCGTTGGCCGTAAATTGGCCAACTGACCTCCGCTCGCTGGCTGAACCCTAGTGAACTTGTCGTGGCGCCCCACTACTAGCACCTCGGCGCCTCCATTCGGCTCGATGATGAAACTCTCCGGCGTGATGTACAAGTTCATGTCATCGTACACCGCGTTGACCACCGTGCTCTCCATGATTTCCAGGGGCGGTGGTTGGCCGATATTGAAGTCTAAGAGTTAAAGTTAATAAATATCGCTAATGGTTCTTCTTGTCGGTAGTTTCTCACGTTCTGATATTGGGGATTCCCAGTCACTATCACCGCTGTCACACACGGACAGCACCAAAATCAGCCAAAGCCTCAGCAGATTTAATCGCTTGTTATTGATTTAACACACAATTCCCGTTTCATCTGTGTTTTTGGCCAACTTTTTTACTACGTGTGTGATAGTGATGGTAAAAAGAACTGAAAATAGTGATGTGTAAGGTTCTGAAGATTCCATTGACTCACCAGCATCCGGTATTGTGCTTTCGCAGGAACACCAATCTAACCAGGAAGGCATTTTCAATTAGTGCATAATTTACCAACAAAGATGGAATTTTGTCAATTTTGTGGAAATTTAGTTTTTCATGCTTTTTATTTGATATTTCTGTCAAAAAAGTCAAAATCATTCTTATATGCAAGATATCGATATATTACGGTATGCAGTATGCAGTAAAAAATACTTTCCTTACATGGTAATCGATACCAGCCGTAACGATACCAACATTTTGGCGCGAACCCATCACCAGGTCAACAAATAACAAATAGGAAAAACAATGAGCCGACAAACTAAATTGTTTGGAGATAAGGCTTTTGACCTTCTAAAGGAGCTAGAGAGATCCTCACAGACCATTCCCGCCTTTGATGACGATGGAGTGCGCCAGGTTCTGGAGGAGATCAAGGCGATATTCGAGGAGAACGTGGCCCAGGCATCGAGCTACAATGCTTCTGGGGACCGGAGCCTGTGGCCGCTACTCAACTACAGACATGCAGCTCTCCAGAGAAACAAGAGGTGCCTGTTAGCCTATTTATATGAAAGATGCAAAAGGATCAAGGCCTTAAGGTGGGAATTTGGACCCATAATTCCCGTGGACATTAAACAGTCGCTATGTGAACCAGAGGTGCACTTCTTCAACAACTACTCCAAGTCCCTGGCCTCGTACATGTGCAGTGCGGGCTATAACCAAGGTTTGCCCATTGATCTCACCAACAACCTCCGTCCTCCAAAATCCCTCTACATAGAGGTTCGATGCATGGAGGATTACGGGAAATTCGAGCTGGACGACGGCGAGGTTATCCACCTAAAGAAGAACAGCCAGCATTATCTGCCCAGGGCTCAGGTGGAATCTCTTGTGCGGCAGGGAATACTGCACCACATTGCTTAGATTAAATAATTTAATAATGTTTAGTACATATAAGTAAATGGTTTTAATGGTATTTTTAGAAAATGAGCACGATAATAAAAAACTACACCGTACCGTCATTCTATTTAATTACAATAAAGTACTTATATGTTGTTACTGAATTTATAAAATTTAAATTAAAGGCCTTTTAAACTGCCCGGAACAGTTTCCAACACTGAAGGGACTTTTCCTCAGCGTAGATGGTTTTTCTAGTATATCGCGCTGTGGTCACACGAATTGCGCATTATTTTCAAATTGAACGGACAAGCGGAGACGCTGCGCCCAAGTTTCTCATCGGAATTAGTGCGAAAAATAGTTAACTCGACTATTCCTTTTGTAAATAGTAGTTAAAGATCATCCCCGCTAAGTTCAGAAAACAGTAATAAACAAGACATTCCAGGAAACACACACACGACTACACATACAAGTGCAAACGCCTGGCGTCATATTTTGGACTGTACGCGGTAAAACATAAATTAATTAATTTAATTGATAACAATGGACATATCTGCTGGGAATACGTCGCGCCAGCCGCAAAAGAAATCCAACCAAAACATCCAGGTGTATGTGCGCGTCAGGTAAGTTTGTGTCTTGCATCAAATTGGGGAAACGTGAGTTGTATATCTTATATTTATTCTGTAGGCCACTCAATTCCCGGGAACGATGCATTCGATCCGCCGAAGTCGTGGATGTGGTGCCGCCAAGGGAAATAGTCACGCGTCATACGCTAGACTCCAAGCTCACCAAGAAGTTCACCTTCGACCGCAGCTTTGGCCCCGAATCCAAGCAGTGCGATGTCTACTCCGTCGTGGTGTCTCCGCTGATCGAAGAGGTTCTAAATGGCTATAACTGCACTGTTTTTGCCTATGGGCAAACGGGAACGGGCAAAACGCACACCATGGTCGGCAACGAGACCGCTGAACTGAAATCCTCCTGGGAAGATGTAAGTTTCTTATTGCGATCAGAGAAAGTTAGATGTTAAAGATCCTTAGATACCAACTATTACCATTTATGCTATAGGATATTATAGTCTGCTATAAACTTGTCTCAGTCAGTTAGTACTAGAGTCGTGGAAGAGATAAAATATTTTTATATCAGCTAGCTTTGCATTCCACTATCCATAAATCAGATTAGTTAATTTAAATAACAGGTCAAATAACCAAAGGTTTTGCATCATAACATCCTTTTTTTTGTTGCTTTAATCCCAAAGACGTTCTTTGCTAATATTAGAAAGATGGTCCAAGGGCATAAAAACCGGTTTCTCTATTCCAGGAACTAGCAATCTAATCTTTTTAATTTCGACTTCCCGCTTAGGACTCTGATATTGGCATAATACCGCGGGCAGTGAGTCACCTTTTCGACGAGCTCCGCTTGATGGAGGTGGAGTACACCATGCGCATTTCCTACTTGGAGCTGTACAATGAAGAGCTTTGCGATCTGCTGTCCACTGACGATACCACAAAGATACGCATTTTCGATGACAGCGCCAAGAAAGGGTCGGTTATTATCCAGGGACTGGAGGAGATACCAGTGCACGGCAAGGATGATGTGTACAAGCTGTTGGAGAAGGGTAAAGAGCGCCGCAAGACGGCCACGACATTGATGAATGCCCAATCCTCTCGATCGCACACAGTATTCTCTATAGTGGTGCACATCAGAGAGAACGGAATCGAAGGAGAAGATATGCTGAAGATCGGTAAGCTAAATCTGGTAGATTTGGCTGGCAGTGAGAACGTTTCCAAGGCGGGCAACGAAAAGGGAATACGTGTGCGGGAGACAGTAAACATTAATCAGAGTCTTTTGACTCTGGGACGAGTTATAACCGCTTTGGTAGACCGCGCTCCTCATGTTCCCTATCGCGAGTCAAAGCTTACTAGGCTGCTCCAAGAATCTTTGGGTGGCAGGACTAAGACTTCCATCATAGCCACTATATCACCGGGTCACAAAGACATCGAGGAGACCCTCAGCACTTTAGAATACGCCCATAGGGCCAAAAACATTCAAAATAAACCAGAAGTCAATCAGAAACTGACCAAGAAGACGGTACTCAAGGAATACACCGAGGAAATAGATAAGCTCAAAAGGGATCTTATGGCAGCTAGGGACAAGAATGGAATATACTTGGCCGAGGAAACCTACGGCGAGATTACCTTGAAGTTAGATTCCCAGAACCGCGAACTGAACGAGAAGATGCTGCTCCTGAAGGCTTTGAAAGATGAACTTCAGAATAAAGAAAAGATTTTCAGCGAGGTGAGCATGAGCCTTGTGGAGAAAACTCAGGAGCTAAAAAAGACTGAGGAAAACCTGATGAACACGAAGGGTACGTTGCTTCTGACCAAAAAAGTTCTGACAAAGACCAAGAGGCGCTACAAGGAGAAAAAGGAGTTGGTGGCCTCACACGTCAAGACCGAGCAGGTGCTGACAACGCAAGCGCAGGAAATTTTGGCCGCTGCTGATCTCGCTACCGACGACACCCATCAGCTTCATGGGACTATCGAAAGAAGGCGTGATGTCGACGACAAGATTCGCAGATCCTGTGATCAGTTTAAAGATCGCATGCAAGACAACTTGGAGATGATCGGTGGCAGCTTAAATTTGTATCTGGATCAGCAGACAGCCTCTAAGGAGCACCTGAGTCAGGAGATTGGTAAGATACAAAATACCCTCTTTGTCTCCACTTTTTTACTGATGTCTTTTAATGGATTCTATAGCCAACTCCAACAATGTGAGCCAGCGCCTCTCAACCAGTGTCAGCAAGAGCATTGAAATGTTGAAGAAGATTTGTACCCAATCTTTAGAAGATCAGGTGCAGGTCCAGAACAAGTTTATGGCAGAAATCTTGAAAATCAGTGATCAGCACTCCCAGAAATTTGTTGCCCAGTTAATGGAGCAGTTACAGCAGCGACAGCTTCTGATGAGCACGGAAATTCAATCAAACCTACTGGAGATGGAGGAAAACAACCAGCGACACAAAACCATGCTGGACTCCATGCAAGAGAAGTTCTCGAAAATCATCGATAGCAGTTCGCAGTCTTTGGAGACACACGTGAAACAAGTGCACCAACAGTTGGAGCAGCTCAGTGGAATGAGTTTACCAGATGCGGAGGAACTACAGCAGCTCCAAGAGGAACTGGCCAACGAACGAGCTTTGGCACAGCAAGAAGAATCTCTTCTCGAGTCGATGATGATGCAAATGGATCAGATCAAGAACTTGCGAGCCAAAAACAATGTAAGCATGTGTACTCGCCTCAACAAGATGGAGGAAAGCCGGCTGACTAGGAATCAGCGGATCGATGACACTAGAACCGGTATACAAGAGTACCAGAAATTGGGCTTTGAAGCTTCTCAAGCCGCACAAGCAGAGCTTAGCAGTCAAATGGAGACGGGAATGCTCTGTCTAGATCAAAGTGTTGCCAACTGCTCCATGCTCAAGGTGCATATGACAAATCTCAACCAGGGAGACACGAAGCAAACGGAAGGTAATGTTGGTTCAAGTCGCCTGCACCATCAGCAGGTGGAATTCATCTGTCTAGAGAGTAAAAATCAGATGGAAGCGCTGCAAGAGAAAAACAATGCTAATCTGGATCAGATTGTGGACGAGAGACAGCAGATCATTACTGAGGACAGGCAGCGTTTTATTGGGCATTCCACTGTAGCCACAGATCTTGTGCAGGTATTAACACGGCAAACCACCGAGCATGCCGCACTCCAACGGCAGCAACTGCAGATTTGTGAGCAGGAGCTTGTTCGCTTCCAACAGACCGAGTTAAAGACATATGCACCGACTGGGACCACTCCCTCCAAAAGGGACTTTGTTTATCCACGCACCCTGGTGGCCACGTCGCCGCATCAGGAGATTGTAAGGCGCTATCGGCAGGAACAGGACTGGTCGGACCTGGACACCACAGCCACTATAGATGAGGTAATAACCCACAAATAGTGCCTATTAAAACCATTAAAACTTGTTTCGCATTCCGCAGTGCAGCGAGGGTGAAAATGAGGACTCCCTGCATTCCGTCCAGGAGTTATCTGAAACCGAAACTATAATGAATTCAACGCCAATTGATCCCGTGGATGGTGTTAATATGAAGCGTGGTTGCGGCACTACTCGAAACTCCAATTCGAATGCTCTTAAACCTCCGGTTGCCTCTGGTGGCAAACGCAGTAGCTCCCTGTCCCGCTCCCTTACCCCAAGAAAATCGTCTCCTCGAGGTTCTCCCGCCTTCGACAGGGTAAGTCAAGAGATCAAGTGCACAAATGCTAATGACTAAACAAACAAATGACCCGGATAAAATATCAATTTTATTTATTTTTAATATTTTTAGCACAACAAAGAAAACGTGGCCTGATCGCGTCTGATGACAATAGTACTCTACCCTGTAACGCGTTGACGTTAGTGGAATTCGAATCGTTTTGTTTGCTTGGCTCTTCTGGATATTCTTTTTAGTCTGTATATCAATCTTGGAATTTCGTACATTTATTATTTAAATAAACTTAGTATGTAAAGTTAACGAAACCTTGAGGCTTCAGTTCGATTGCCGGTTCAAGATTTATTAAACCTTTAACATAAAGAGACTTCGGTAGATGTCGAAGTTCGATGTATAATTGAAATTCTTTATTTTTCGATCTATTTATGTAAAGTAAGAAAACCTATCGTTATTATGAAAGCGAATCGGTTCCGTATAGTTAAAGAGCCTCTAAATCAACATCTTTAGGTTAAAAAATTTGTTTCATTTTCTAAATATAATCTCATTCCCAAATTCAAATTGTTTCCAAATGCCTAACTTATTCATTTTTATATCAATGAGTGTATCCTTCCTAATTTTAATGATCAAAAGTGATGTATTTTTAATAACCTAACTATTTAAGACTAATCTTCATCCTGCTCGTCGTCATCATCTTTGAGAATGCCCAGACGACGAGCCACCTCCTTGACATTGGCAATGAACTCCTCCTGGACAAGGTTAAAACTCATGGCCAACAAGGCAATGCCGAAGAGAAGGTACAACGAACAATAAGCAATGGACTGCTCCGATTCATCTTTCACTCCTTTGGCAGGCACAAAGTCTCCAAATCCTGAGAAGAAATATAACATCAGAAGAAGTATTAATGAAATGTATGAGCACATTTACCGATTGTGGTCAGAGTAATGAAGCAAAAGTAGGCGGAGTCCAGGAAGGACCACTTCTCCCAGTAGGCAAAAAGGACCGCTCCTCCGAGGATATAGCTGACCACCAAAAACACACAGAGCCAAATGGGCACGGGTCGATCCTTGGGCAACAGATCTCCATAGTCACCGTACTCATCCCCGTTCATCGAGTCATCCTCATCGTAGTCATAACTCGGACGTCGTCGGATTTGCCGTTGGACTGGAAAGCCCATGGGTGACATAATTCTCGGGGAGGGAGGCAACCGTTCAGCTCGTTCCCGTCGTCGATTTTTTCTGGGTTCACGACTTCTAGAGTGATGGCGTTCTGGTGGATAATCCTCGTAGTTATTGTCACCATAAAGGGACCCTTCATCGAAGCTTTCTTCCACGTAGTCCTCGTAACGTCCTTGGGAGTGACCCCGTCTATCCCGACGATGATCTCGTCCTGGTGGAGGAGCGTCGTAATCGGGTAATTCAAGATGGTTGCCATATCGAGAAGATTGCCTGCCCAGACTTCCGGCTCTTCTGCCATTATTCTGTCTATGAGAACTATGAGGTGGTGGCTGCGGGGATCGCTCTCTCTCCCGATCTCTTTGGCGTTGCCTCTGGTGAGCAGATCTCGGCATAGATTGACTTCTTGGCGCTGACTGCCTTCTATTGCCACCGCTGCCGAAGTCATCGAGGGCGTACCTATTTGGTATAATTGGTGTTTTCCTCACCACATCCTCATCCACATCTTCGTAGTGGGAGGAAACATGCCTGGGATCCACGGATTTGGCCCTACTCCTTCCAGGAGCCGAATGAAGACGATGCAGTTCCCTGGAAGCTTTCGAGGAATCCTGATTGTGAGGCGATCGAACTGAGCGCACACTGGCGGCTCTTTTAGTAGGCGGTGGCATGTCGCTAAAGTCTTCAATGGATCCTGCATCCAAATGGGATCTGGAATATCGCTCCCTTTCCACTGTGTGTCTGTCCCTCATGCGATCTCGTTGCCTCTGCCGACTGCTATAGCGATTGGATCGGTTTATAGTCTGGGTCTCGTACTCATCCGCGTAAATAGTGTGTCGCTGACGAGGATCATGGTATGAATGTTGCTGCTGGCGACGATTACGGCCACCCCCACTGCTCCGATGTCCGAACTCGCGGTCGTCGTATCCTCTGCCCATGGTGCGAAGTTCCGGATCGGAGTAAGCATGGCCCATAGAGGGACCCAGTCCGGAGTCATTTCCTGATCGCTGGGTCATCTTCATGGAGCGCCGGAAGGACGGAGGCGGCTGGGAACGAGCGTGTCGCTGGGAGCGCATTGATCTCTGTCGGGATCGGGCATTCCTCGGACGTTTGGCAGTGCGGGTGCACACATAGCAGCAAATTCTCCAGTACAGAAACCTATTGGGAGTCAAGGTACATGTTAGTAGCCTATTCTGTACTGAACTAGGTTCATACATCTTCCAGCTCAACTCACCGGAATGATGTGGCCATGACATCGCCAATGTTGGACAGGCAGATGAGCATCAGCGGAATGCCCACGATGGCGTAGAAAATCGTTGTCACCTTGCCCCAATCCGTGCGCGGCGATATGTGGCCATAGCCTGTCCAGAATATGATAAAGAATTTAACATTACTCCAATCCAAAAAGGTAAGTCTGATTTTAAGTCATGATCGTGGCTTTACCTTCAACCTTGTGACCGCAGAGTTCTTGAAATACTAATGAGTCTAAGACCCGCTAAGGTCTAATCTGTCTGCACTTCTTTTTGTACAAGCCAAGCCCATTATCGCTCCCAAAAAGCAAACAGCAAACAATTGCCAACATGGTATTTCAAGTCCGCCGCTTTTGGTCTTTACGGAAGTGTGCAAATTCATAGATAGCATTCTGCCCCCTTCTGCCTTCTTGCTAAATTCTATCTGATGGGAGGCGGTCACTAAACCCATTTGTGTGTTAGCCATAAATCCATATCGGGGAATTGTGCAAATGAAAAAGTTAAAACGAAGCTTCCATCATCAAAAGCTGGAGCTAATAAACTTATTTAATGAAAATTTATACAGCTTAAAGTCGATGTGCTAAATGCCCTAAACTGGTTAACTATTGCACTTTCGTAGGAAAGATTCTCTTTTAAGCTTAAGTATCTTAAGAACTAAAATCGAATGGTTTTATTTCATACAGATTATAAATGAACTTCTAAGTAGAGTCACTATGCTCCTTGTTAGGGTATACTAATAATCTGAAATTCCCATCGTTAAAATCTAAATCTGAACCGTCAGAAAAGATAATCACGATCGGTCAGTGGCGTTTGACCTTGCCGTTGTTTTGACCACAGACAATTGGATGGCAGCGATTCCACTTTTGGTTTCATTTGACACGCTCCACACACCCTCGCTCCCTTTCCGGCCCATCACCACCCGTGGAACGAACCCATTTTTAGAGGTCACCCACGTGCTGGGTGCTCACCTAACTGTGTCCGAACTGGATTTTTGACCTGTGACTTGGGCCCTGCAAAAGGGAATATTTACCAAGTCATGTTGATTTCCAGGAATGGGGTTTTGGGTCGATCAATGAGCAATTACATAATGATTTATGCGATTTCAACGTGATTACCGAGTGGACAAAACCAACTGCCCGAATCATCCGCTTGCCTCATTGGTTCCTGGGCGGAACGCGCTCCTCTTCTCGGCAATCTGGTCGCGCTTCAGGTGAATCAACGATACGATACGTGGGCCCAAGATTTCTGAAGCGTCTGGCACGATCGTTGATTCATTGGCCGGGCAGTCGCCAAATCCCCACCTGCGGCTGCCCTCGTCGCTTGACTGAGTTTGTGCGTCGTCATCGGCGCTGATGTCTCTGTTTTTTTTTCGGTTCTCGGGTGCGGTTATATAAGTAGCGTGCGCCGGTCGCATATCCGAACTATTCTGTTGCGGGAGCTTGCCGCGACCAAGCGCAAAATACGGGTCACTGTGTGATCGAATAAGTCGGACAAACAAAGACAGCGAAACCATCATGCAAATTTGTTGCCTCATCATCGCTTTAGGCCTCCTTGGATTAGTGGCGGCCAAGTCTTCGGAGCAAGATGGAGATCAGTGGGTTTGGCGATCTTACAATCGAAGGGAGCGCTCCTTTCGGGACATCAATCGCAGTTCCCCCATAAGGAATTCCTATGACCAAAAGCTGAGACGGGAGCCTACCACACGAAGACCTCTTCCAGGAGAACCAGAGAACGATGAGATTGAGGATTATGCCGATGTGGAACCCACACGGAGTTCGGATACGCCCAACGTCGGCACCCGTCAGTTCAATCCCTACGGTGGGCAGACTAATGCTGGACAATTTGGAGGAGTTGGAGGCTATGGCGGCAATCCGGGAGTGCTAGTGGGACCCGGAGGACCCACTGGAATCATTGGAAGACCTCAGCTGTACCCCAGCCCATACCAGCCAGGCTATGGCGGATTCTCGGGAGCTCAGAATGGCATTGGTGGTTATCCTGGAGGATATGCAGGAGTGGGACAGGGACTTCCCGGTGCTGGATTCCCCGGAACTAACGTGGGAGGTGGCTTTAACAATTACCCGGGCAATGGACTTGGTTTAAACCAATTCCCCAGCACCGGACAATACCCGTATGGCTCTTATCCAGGAGGAGATTTCAATGGTAATCAGTTTGCGGCCCCAGGAGGACAATTTCCGGGGCTTGGACAGTACCCTAATCAACAGTTTGGAGGACCTCAGTACACCGAGGGTTACGGCCTAGCAGGAGGATTGGGCTTGGGTCAGTTAGGAGTTGGAAACAGTGGTATTGGGTACGGTGGTAGTTTTCCGCCTCTAGGAGGCTTCGGCTACGACGAGAACTCCGCAGCTGCGGCCGAGGGTAAAAGCGCTAAAAGTGTGGCTGCCTCACCCAGGAAGGTGAATGATAAGCTAAGTAAGAAGGTCTAGGAAGACGAACTTGGAGCTCAAAGAGAAGCAGTCCTTCGCACTGAACTAAAAAGATCTGCAATCGAATTTATAAGCCCATTGATTCCTTATCAAACTATTCCTTCTAGGCTCAGTTGTAAATAGCTCCCTTATCCTAGACATAGCTTAGTGTTAGATTAAGAAAATAAATCCCAATCCTTACCCAACTATGTTTAAAAGACTTTGGTTCTTAGATTTCCTCACCTATGGTGGTTATTACTATGATGGAGTAAAACAGGGATCCAGCAAAGGTCCACTGGGACTTGCGCAGGTCCTCGTCGCCATCCCAGCCGTCGGCCTTGATAGCCGTAAGAATCTGCTTTTCAAAATTGGCCAGATGCTTACTGACATTGGCCATCCAGTCGCTTTCTCTCAGGACCACGGCATCATCTGACAGAAGCCAAATATTCTCCGTGAGATTAAAGCGAAGATTCTGTATATCACGCTTGACCTGCACAAGAATGGAATAGGTTTAGTTTCTTTTCACTTAGTAAGATCGCCCACCTACCTCCAGTTCGTGGGGTCGTTCTAGGTGCTGAAATAGGTAGGCACCACCTACGCAATAGGAAACGACGAGAAGCACGAGCAGCACATGGGACACAATGCAGGTGAGCACCTTCCATGAGAAGCATATGGCAGCCACACAACGTCCGCGTTCCGGCTTCGCTGGCTCCAACATGTGCGCCGGCAAAGACTGGGCCCGCCTACCCGACATGGTCGCCCTCCTCTGCTCTCCTTCCTTTTGGCTAATTTACCGCTCGACTGGCTGTAAATTATGAAATGCAAAAGAAACTAAATTAAGGATGGGGCCGACGAGTTGGAGGTCGACAAGGCAAATACCCTTGAGAAATAATTATTTGGATATGTTTATTGGACAGATCCTCTGAAGGAATTGGGTTATTTATAATGAATATGAAAGCAATATTACTAGTATCTGAACTGTAATCTATGGCCATAAAGTTCCCTAAATGAAGGAAAATGAACAGGATAAGGCTGCCATAACAATTAAACTAACGCCTCCAAATAAACATCCCTTTTTATCGAGTCCGATTTCCCTGGTAATCTCCGAAGGAGAAATTACTGAGAAGCCAAAAGGTAAACCAGACAGAGCTCTATGGCACAGATGTTTATATGTCCAAATATTTATTTATTTGGGTTGCTGGGGCAAGGCCGAAGAGCCGAGGGGATTAGGTGCGGAAGCCACCGAAAGACTCGACTCCATGAGACTATTTTGGGTAACACTGCCCGGCGGGGGCATTCATCTCATCGTCAAATCTCGTGCCACGCCTGTCGAGAACTCTTCTGAATCTTTTTGCTTATAGACAGAGACTACATAACAAGTCCGAGCAATTATGAACTTCGATTTCATTTGGCCAATTAGCGCTGGTAATTTATTAGCCCATCGGGATTGGGTATGGAAATGCTTTTGATGGTGATTACCGATCGCAGATCGCTTTTTGATTCGCACTGAGGGAAACTTTTCAGTTTTCCAACTTAATTTCCATGCTGTATTAGCGCTCCTTCACTCTCTATCTCTTCCCCACCGATCCGTTTCGGTCCGCACAAAGATCCGACGCACCGATCCGTACCCACAAATTCTTACTGAGGATCGCCACTGCACAGATGGACTCTCGGATCTCTCGGGAAATTGGTTTATTTTTGGTCTTACGCGAAGTTCTCTTGTGTTCCGCAGATATACAGTTTTGGAAAAACATTTATTTTCGATTTTTCTCTGGCTTTTCATTTGTTTCGTATTGTTTGGCTCTCGCGTGGATCCCAATTTGTGTTTTGTTTATGCCGACTCTCTGTTTGAAGAACTCTTCCAAGCAGCTGATACAGGTGGTCCCCCTTTTCATCTGATAATCCGTGTGATTTCCTGTTGGATTTGTGGGCATATACACGAGATTAGCTTTTATAATTTAAGCTATAATCTTTAACTTAATGGCATTTAACTATATTTATTTCAGTTTGAGTCAAGTTCCTTGTTTGTTTTTATGCTCATATCTCTATGCTTATCAAAAACCGATTAGATTCAAGTTAAACTCGGGTACTTGAGTTCCTACACCTTTGTAACTTAAGATAAGAGCTGCAGCTGAGACTATTTTTAGTAATTTGGCTGAGGGCTGATGGCCTTAGTCGACATTCAATTGCCGGAAAGAGCCTTGCAGTCCGAAAAGGCTCTCGAAGTCGACGGGCTGTCCCACTCGGAGGCTCTCGTCGGTTCCGTAGTTCTTCTCCTCCTCCCAGTAGTTCCTGTAGGCCAGAATACGCTTCTCCCAATCCAACAAGAGTTCCGAAATTGAGCCATTTTCACCTCCGTATTCCACTGGCAAATACTTCTTGGGGATCTGATCATAGAGGGCTTCCCATTTGGTTCCATGGACGTAGAGCTATGGGTGTAGAAGGGGTATATAGTATACTACTTAATTTTCATTCACATTTCTACTTACCCGTCCTTGCTGTTTCTTCGACATCATGGGCTTGATCATGTTGAAGACAGTCTCGAAGCCATTGGGCGTGTTGATAAAGTGAATTCCCTGTGGTCGAAGGGGCAGAGCTTCTTCCTGGAACACGGTCATCTTCTTGGCAAATGAGGGGGTCATCTGCAGGAAGTGCCCCGTGGTGACATTGGAAAGGTCCAGAATGGATATAAGTCCGTTCACGATGGCCACATCATCTTCATCGAGCATAATCTGCTGCATGAGACCCCCGGCGCGATTTATCTCCTGGAAAGTGTACTTGCTCGGATCGTATGAAGCCATGCGAATCATGGCCAAACGCGGCCCATTATCGTTCAGAGGACGTGGCAGAATAACTATAGTACTAGGGAATGATTCAACTTTTAGTAAGTGAAAGATTTGGGGTCTTTTTCCAATGAACTCACCCTAGCTTAAAGATATCCAGCAGTTTTTCTACATCGACATTGTGACCCAGGTAAAACTCTGGGTACTTTGTTCGGAGTGTGTAGAACTTATCGATCTTGGCCTTGGTCCTTTCCAAACTAAACTTGCAGCCGCGCAGGAAGTTCACCAGGAACTGATCATCTGTGCGGGCTTTCAGGTGGGGCTGTTGCTTAATCCAATCCCTCAGGGCGGCAATATCATCGTCCAACTTATTTGGCACCTCGTTCAGCTTCTCGATGGCAGTCTTCTGAAGCTCAGGACTCAACGGGCGGATAGACGGCATCTTGTTAGGGTCTCTCAGACGGTCGACGAGCGAATGTTGATGGTCAACCTGGCATTTGTGAGGTTCAAGTTGAAATCGATAAGCTATCGCCTGAAAACTGATAACCATGCAATGAAATAGTCGCCAAGAAGAACAGCAGAGCTTATCGAAAGCGTTTTATTATGGCTTTATGGCCCAGATGAGTTTACAGGTATTTTAACCGATTCAGTCGATGACCAACCGGCGGAAAGAGCCATCTACCCCGAAGTGGCTCTCTGCGGGATCCAATTTCAAGGGTTCTTCGCGCAACTTGTCATTTGTTCCGAAATGCTGGCATTCCTCAAAGTAGCTGCGATAACTGGAGAGCTTAGCCTCCATCTCGGTGGTTATGTCTTTCATGGTGCCTTTAGTACCTCCATACTCCACTGGAAGATAATGCTTGGGAACTCGCTCAAAGATAGCCTCTGGGTCGGAGCTAACTGAGACCTGGAAAGAAGACAGTTACAATGATGTCCCAAAGAAATTGTCAGGATCCTACCCTCTCTTTAATTTTATCCGGAAACCATCCCAGCAGTGACTTGAAGCCGATCTCAAAAGCCTTGGGCACATTGATGAAATGGATTCCTTTCTGGCGCGTTGGCATTGCCTCGTCTGCATAGGCCGAGAATTTGCTGAGAAGTTGCGGCTGGAGGGCAAACAGGTTCGCTCCGCTGACTCCACTCATGTCCATAATCTCCAGGTATCCACTGACCGAGGAGTTATCGTCCTCCAGCATCATGATCTCGCCAAACATGGAACCCACTCGAATGATGTCCTGGAACTTGAATTTATTGATATCATAGGAACCAGCTCGAATTATGGTCACAGCTGGCCCGGTATCCTCTTTGTCAAGGGGAATGCGCAAGATAACCCTGCAAGGATACCATTCGAAGGATAGAGTTGAAGTCCATTGAAAGGAAAGTAGCACTGCTTACCCCATTCGGATAATCTCCAGCACCTGGGAATCATCCGCCAAGCGATGTTCGTTGAAGACCTCAGGTATTACCGCTTGCAAGCTGTAAAAGCGATCAATCTTTTGCTTGGCCTTCTCCAGACTAAACTTGGATCCTCTGAGGAAGCTGACCAGGAACTGATCCTCGAGACAGGCACAGATATGAGGTTGCTTCTTCAGCCATTCCTTCAAGGTAGCTACGTCTGATTCCACTCGACTTGGCACTTCGTTCAGCTCCTCGATAGCCACCTTCTGAAGAGCCGGCGGTAAGGGGCGAATGGGATTAGAGCCTTCAATCATTTTGGTAGCGCTTTCAGTTGCAGACTAACCAAAATATCAAGCACTCGAGTCCGACAATGCACTTCCAAATGGCCAAAACACTCTAATAATATTCAAAGCCACAAGCGATAAGATCCGACTAATCTGGCTGGCGATTAGCAATGTTATTGGCAAGTTCTGAAGTAGATTGGCAAAACATATGTTAACGTGTTGCTATTCCTTATATACCTTACTTGATTAGTTGCTTAAAGATTTATTTTGTGAAATATTTTAATTTGGGAAACTTCATTTAGATAAAGTAGTAGTGATAGTTTTCCAATTTGTGAAAAGCAGAGGCAGAAGCCCATTTGCCCACCTGTTGCTTGATATAAAGTTTTTATCACTCAGCACTCATAATCCCGGAATCTTTATAAAGATAGATAAAGTCTGTTTTCGACGTTAGTTTAGTTTAAGAACTTTATTCAATGAAAAATAATCAATTAGGCTAGACATGAACTACGGAACTAAGACTTATCGGCTAGATACCCGGTTGAAGCTGCCACCGTAACTAACCTAGTCTCGGCTGCAGTTATCTCGAGAGTTGCATACGAAACGTGTTTATAATGTATGGGTAGATTTAAGTTTCCTATATATAAATACGCTGATCTGATGGGCTGTCGTAACCTAGGAGTGGGTTGCTATTGCACAGGAGCTGGAGAATCTTTCGGAGTATCTGTTGGAGTATCGCTTAGTAGAGGCCTGATGGCAGGTCCGTCACCTTCGACATGGATCCCTGGGTGTGGGACCGAGTGCGCATGGTTGGACCCTGAGCCTGTCCCCCGAGTGGGCTGCCGAAGCTGGAGTGATCATGCATTCTCATGGCCAGATTGCTGGTGAAGTATATCTGCTGATTGCTGCGAGACTTCTCCCTTCCGATGGCCGCTTCATTGAGGGCTTCGGGATGCGCTGAGGCAAAGGCCGCCTCCAGACGCTCCACATTCTTGGTGACCCGTCTGGCCTGCAGGGCGGCCGAGATGTCCGGCTTGGGATACTTCTGAGGTGTGTTCATGCCCGTCATGAAGAAGACCCCGTTGAATTGCTGCGCAGGAGGAGTTGGCGGCGGTGGGGCTGGTGCCTTGACCTTTACTGGATGATGGGGAATCGTCACGGGTGCTGTATCCTGGGCACTTTTCCGCAGGGCCTGCATTGTGGGATCGTGTTCATCATGCCGCGCATTCATGATCACATCCAGTAACTCCCGATTTGTGCTGGCATTATACGCCGTAGCCGTGGCATTCGCCTCCGGCATGTCCGGCGTGGGCGACTCCATTTGATAGGCCGAAGGTTGATCCGTCTCGGGTGCATCGTAATCCACCTCATCGAAGAAGCTCTGCATAGCGGCCAGTCGTTCGACAGCAGCTGGATCTCCTGGTTGGTGCAGGACCATACCATAATCCGAACCCTCCTGCTCGGAGCAGTCGGTACGGGGTACCAGATGAGCCAAGGATCGAGATTTTCTCGGAGGCTGTGGTACTATGTTAACAGGGATAATATCCTTCTCCACCGGTCGGTGGTGTCGCATCTTCGTCCGGGATCCACTGCTCGCCTGGCTGCTGATCTGCTTCTCCGCTTCGCTCACTATGTTGTCCAGCTCCTCGATCACGTCTTCGATGGTGGCTGCGTCGTCTTCATCCTCCTCCACAACCTTCCGCGATTGCTTCGTCTTGGAGGGAAGGACCAAAATCGGAACTGGGCTAAGGGAAGCTCCCGTTTCCGAACTGCTAATCCCCTCATCCTCGTGCTCCGAACTGCTCTGTTTGTTTTTCTTTGAGGGGGCCACCTGGCGAGGAAGGGCAACTGGTTGATGGGAGGACTCCACCGGCTTGAATTTGGATTGCTGCTGAGTGCCTTGGAGGCGAAAGATTTCACGTTGGAGTTCGGCGCAGCGCTCTTGAAGACGCCGTTCCATGGAGGTCAGCACAGCCTTCTCTTCGTGCAGAATCTGTACCCTTCGCTCCAGGATGACCATCTGGCTGCGAACACGCTCTGCGTCCCTGGCCTGAGTAATCATGTGGTCCACATCGATGTGGAGTTCGTTGAAGCGCTTCACCTCGATCTTCAGGGCATCCAGCCATGGTGATGAGGAGGAGATGGTGCGAGCCAGGGTGCTAGCATCTAATCCCGCCTGGAAAAGCTCAGCCTGGATGTACAGACGTTGCTGAATGCTCACAGCGCTCTCGATGAACGTGTTGAGAAATCTGTGGGAGATCAGAGGGACTTAGTGATCTATCAAGCTTTCTTCGAAGGATTTCCTTACTTAACACCCGCGCACTGGAGCTCTCCTGAACCACCGCCGCTGTTTAGGATGCCAACCAGCAGGCGGAAGCGAACTGGTTCACTGCATCTCAGTCGCAGTGTGGACATGGCATCCGATACAGCCGTATGTCCCGCAGAGGCTATCTTCAGCCCACCAGTGCCACCTCCAAAGGGCTGGCGATCGCAGGCTGAGGCTAGCAATTGGAGGGCCAGGATGCGAGCTCGGATGCCCTGACCCGTGGCCGAAGAAGCTAGCGGCATTAGACCCACAGGTGTGTTTCCCAAACGGGCTATGGCATCCAGAGATCGAGAGCTACAGATGCTCAGACATTGCCTGGATGGGATTATGTTATGGGATTAGAGAAGGTTACTGTAATAAGAGGGCTCCAACTCACAGGCAAGAAAGTTCGTCCAGCAACGCTCGACGTTGATAGCTCTGGGGATTTCTGGTCATGGCCAGGGAACTGCTGGCTCCTGCCATAGGAGCAGGGGCATTACTGGCCTGGGCCATTTGAATGGCTCGCAAGACCTCCAGCAAGTGGCTGATGCCATCCGCAGGAGTGCCCACAAACTCTTGGACGAAGCTGCAAGGAAATGTCAGTAGAGGTTTGGGGAACTTCTGATGAAACTTACCTGGGAAATGATACGCGAAGATCAGCGCGCAACTTGGTGAGCAGATCTGTGATGGAGCCGAACTGACGAAGGGACATCTCTCTATCATTTTCTGGCGGAGCAGGAATGGGAGATCTGTTGGTAATACCAAAAACGGTTAGAGGGGTATCCAAGTGACATAAAAGGGCAGTCTTTACTTGTACTCCGAGTGTTTGGCTGGTAAGGTGGCCGACCTGGAGGCCTCCTCCTTGGCACTCGGGCCCGTGCTCACATCGTAAATGGATAGCTTTTTGGCCGAACTGCTGGCCTTGATGAACTTCCTCAGAGAGTGAACATAGTCCTCGGGATTGTAGACTGGTGGACGTTGATTTTCCTGCATCACATAAAGTAAACACGTGTGGTTACTAATTAGTTGGTAATCGGGGGAAAACTACCCACTCACCTTGCTGAAAACTGGTGCCTGGGGCCAGCTCTGTTCGGAGCCGCCGATCTTGTAGGAGGCCAGGGATCCATTCAGACTGCTGGCTCCGCACTTGTTTGTCCCCGAACTGTTGGATCCGCCTGCCTTCTGGGGGGAAGCTTGACTGTTTTGACCCTGGCCGGCCATTTCGCACACGCTGGGAGCCATCTGGAGGTGGAGGTGTCCCGGGTGACGAGGTTGGAGATGGTGTCGCTGGAGTGTCGAGCTGTCGCTGCGTTAATTGGAAGGGGAAAACCAATCGGGTGGAGTCAATTAATGTACGTGCTTGACATGGGAGAACTTGAATTTGCATATAAAAAGTGGTCGTGAGGTTGGGAGTAGCTGAGGTAGCTGAAGTAGCCGTGGAGTTTGTTTTAAGCTGGAGTTTGGGTCGCCACCACGTAACGCACCGGAAAAACAAGCCGTTAAGTTTATTGAACATTTTGAGCCAAGGCTTATCTGCAGTCGGAGTTAGAGTCTGGTGCTGCGGCTTGTGGTGTGTCTGGACAGGTGCCTTTGCATATATCCGCTGTCAACGACACCCAGATCGCCAAGAGGTGTCTTGCATGTGGGCTGCAGGCCTGTTTCCTAGCCACTAAGCGATTCGATCGAACGCGATTTTGATCTGTGACAGTCGCTGATTTGTTTTTCAATTTTGCCTTCAATGCGTAGACAAAATAAAATGAAAATTTGCATTTTAATGTGCTAGAAATAGAGACACTTTCACTGACTACTGCGAGATGAAAGAGCCACGATCTCTATGGGTTTTGTCTCCCTCTCAAGACCCCGGTACCGTTAAACCACAATGAGAGGTTAACGGTTCATATGTGGCTATGCAAATCGCAGTTCCATTGTGTTCGGGTGGTTATGACGTGCCTCTCAGGTGGGTTACCTCAGCCGGTATCAATCAGCCAATCAGTCACGTACCGCCGATGCTCAGCTATGTTGGGGAGTGCGACCAATATGATTCTTTCGCCAGGTGTGTCTGCACAGGCGCATCGCCCCTCACGCAACTCGAACTCCAAGTCGGAGGCCACGGACTGTCTGATTGACTGGGGCTACCATGTGGATATGGATGCGGTTCCCACAGCAGCACAGACAAAAACAGAAAAACACTTCGATCAATGTCAGCCATTGGCCGCAGACAGGAGAAACTCAAAACTCAGCGGCAGCTGCGAACAGTGTTGAAAGATCACTCAAAACAGAAACCAAGGAGGCGGGGCTCGAGCTCTCGAATTTGCATAAATCAATTTGTGAGACAGATCATGAATGGGAAACTGCTCCACAAAACTGGAATTGATAAGCCGTGAAATGGTTTAGTCCCCGGGCTAATGGCTTCGAAGAGTGCTCTCCATTAGCTGCAATAGATGTCCAACCGACTTCATTTCGTCCGAGATGGACACTAGCAGTTTCGGCTTGGAGCACTCTGACAGGGTCATTAGCTTCACCATCCATTTCATAAAGATTAAGAGTGCTATGGAGTGGGTTTACTCCCACTGCCGAAACACTGCACCTTAAAGGGGTGAAAATGATTCTATCTATGTATATTATGCAGTCATTTTATTCGGGGTCAAAATCAGCTTAGAAGCACTCATTGATGGACGGCAACGATCCGCTGCAGTAGTGCCAGACGGCCCAGGCGGACCATCCCTGCTGGCTGAGGACCTTCTGGGCACAACGGACAGAGTTGGTGATGTCGTCAGTCAGCAGGGCATTGCAACTGAGTCCACACTCGTTGTAGGAGAAGCGACCGTCAGCCTGGCACCAGTACTTATCGTTGATCTGGAAGATACCGTAGTCGTTGGAGCCATCGGAGTTGGCAGGTCCGACCACCCAGGTGCGGTAGTCACTCTCGTGCTGGGCGATGCAGGTCCACTTGTCCAGCTGATCACGGGGAACTCCCAGGTCGGACATCTCACGGGCCAAGGAGCAACGGTCCAGAGTACGACCAGCCAGGGCAGGAGCAGCAATGGCCAGAGCCACCAGAACAAAGAAGGCCTTCATGTTGATTTGGTTAAACGAAACTGTTTGTCTTTCTGGCCTGCGCCTTGGGTATTTATGGGAAAATGTTCGTCCAACATTCCTCGGCCTATCAGCCCTTGAGTTCTGAAGTTCAGATTCTGAACACTCAGAGATAGAAATATAATTAAAAGCCACAAGTTTCAAGATTTAAATAATTCATTGAGAGCCAAAACAACTAAAAATAAAACAAAGTATTTTATCAGCATAACGGGTACATCAAAAGGCTTAATCTCAAAAAATAAAAATAAGCCTCAATAGAAGAAACGCTGCATAGTTTTAGGCTCTCAGAACAAAGTGAGAACTCTGCGCGATTTCACCTGGCGATAAGTCACTATCAACTACCTTGAGCATCCGCTGTTTACCAAAATTTAGGTTTTGTTTGGGTTTTTCAAGTTCATTGTCGAGAAAGACAGACCCCAAAAAATTCTTGGAAACTGATTAGCAAAGAAAGCGTTCTTTGAGATAAAAGGCAGCAAGAAATTTGAATTAAAATATAAACAAATGGATAATAATCAATAATAAACACATCCTGTGTGTCTGTGTAAGTAACAAAGTGTCCAGAGGGAAACAAGACAAACCCAAATATTAAGGGCGAGGATAGGGCACATCATATCCTGGATTATATACTGCACATCAAACTTATAGCTTTAAGCTTGATTGTACAAGTGCAAAGAGTGCGATTAAGGTGAATTATCAACTACTTTTCGAGGATTTGGAAAAGCTACTTCGCCATAAGTATATAGCACACACACTTATTATGATCTTTGTACATTAACTAACTTAAAGAAAGACTGATATAAGGTCGATACAGATCGACTAAAATTTTAGATATAAGTAATAATCAAGTGGTTTTCTGTATATGCAATCGTTTTATTATAAGTCGGGGTCAAAATCGGCTTAGAAGCACTCATCGATGGACGGCAACGATCCACTGCAGTAGTGCCAGACGGCCCAAGCGGACCATCCCTGCTGGCTGAGGACCTTCTGGGCACAACGGACGGAGTTGGTGATGTCGTCTGTCAGCAGAGCATTGCAGCTAAGACCGCACTCGTTGTAGGAGAAGCGACCGTCAGCCTGGCACCAGTACAGATCGTTGATCTGGAAGATACCGTAGTCGTTGGAGCCATCGGAGTTGGCAGGTCCGACCACCCAGGTGCGGTAGTCACTCTCGTGCTGGGCGATGCAGGTCCACTTGTCCAGCTGATCACGGGGAACTCCCAGGTCGGACATCTCACGGGCCAAGGAGCACCGATCGAGAGTGCGGCCAGCCAGGGCAGGAGCGGCAACGGCAAGAGCCACCAGAACAAAGAAAGCCTTCATGTTGAATAGTCTCAAGAAAACTGTTTGGCTTACTCGGCTTCTGCCTTGGGTATTTATGCAAAACTAGACCCCACTTGTCGTTCGGCTATCAGCCTTTGAGCTTAGAACACTCAAAGATAGAAATATAATTAAGGTAAACTGATTTAAATATTTGAATGAGTGGCGGAAACGTTATCACCAGAATGGGTACATCAGAGGGTTCCATCTCAAAGAGTACAAAACAACGCGAAAGAACTGCGAGTGCTGCATAGTTTTAGGCTCTTCAACCCAAATAGGGGTCACGAAGCTTTCCTGTGATAAGCCACTATCAACTGCCATGACAAGCAGGTGTGAACCATGTTTCGTCATCGACTGGGCTGTTGAAGTTCATTGAATGTAGGAGAAAGGTAAAACCTCGACGCGCCCTCGGACTGATTAGCATAATTGCTGTTATATCAACAATGTATTTGGCTGGCTGAATTGGCTTAGAAGGGGCTCATTGTGCTGCCAATAGCCCATTGAGTTCGAGTAGCCGAAATAAGATGGAGCTGTGGGCCCGCCCAAGATGATTAATCACACTTTCGGCACGGCCATAAACCAGACCGAAACCGGGGGCTAATAGCTGCAGTCAAGTGGAGCTGTTTTGCCATTAAACCTGCGATTCCGATCCCAACTCCACGCCGCACCACTTCAAAGTCGGACATTAAACTTGGGCTCTGCAGAAGATGGGGATGGGAATTCGCCGGGGCGAAAGAAAGAGCCATGTATTGCAATTTCCAGACTCGAATACCTCGAATGCCGCACAATGAATAACGTTGAATAATTAGCCCCCACATGCAACCCCACCGGAGTTGCGTGAGCAGGGACCCGCCGAGAAATGGCCAAGACAATGCCTACTATATTAGAGATAAATATTTCGAATGGCTGATGGAAGACAGCCAGCTCCAACGGAATGGATCTCTTACGCACAGACCTGAGATACCGATTTCATTCCGATTTATTCAATGCGTAGATTGCCTGCTCGAGTGTGAAGGAACTGCCATATCTGGACGCTAAACTCTTCCGTCTTCGCTTGGCCACTTCAACTGGCTGTGTTAAGTATTATGATTGCTCCGAATTGTAGAATATTTGGCAATCGCTTTTGGCGGATAAGGTTGTAAGCAATGTGTATTATTAACAGACAATCTGCAGATAACATGACTTAAAAATACATTTCGATTACCAAAGATTATCACTAAGCATTTTCCAAAATACCTTTGAGATTTAAATGGCACTTCACTTTGATTGAGAGGAAAACTATCCTTAAGTTTGCGGTTCATTAGGTTTAACTACCGCCAAAGTATGAGAAAGCCGCCTTATTTGCCCCTCTAATGATAGATGAATAGAACCGATTGCCTTTTCCCAGTCAGAAGTTCTACAATGTTGACTCAACTGCGACGACCTGAGAGCTCTTCGTTGCTATAAATATTTCGAGGCTGCAGATCGAATAATCAGTTACCCAGATTGTCAGTAAGATGAAAGCTTTCCTTGTGATTTGTGCCCTGGCTCTGGCTGCAGTCGCCACTCAGGCCCGAACTATGGATAGATGTTCCCTGGCCAGAGAGATGGCCAATCTGGGGGTTCCCCGTGACCAGCTGGACAAGTGGACCTGCATTGCCCAGCACGAGAGCTCCTTCCGCACCGGAGTGGTTGGTCCGGCGAACTCGAATGGATCCAACGACTACGGCATCTTCCAGATCAACAACAAGTACTGGTGCAAACCGGCAGATGGTCGGTTTTCCTACAACGAATGCGGCTTGAGCTGCAATGCCCTTCTCACCGATGACATTACCAACTCGGTGAGATGTGCCCAGAAGATTCAGCGCCAGCAGGGCTGGACCGCCTGGTCAACCTGGAAGTTCTGCAGCGGATCCCTGCCCTCGATCAACAGTTGCTTCTGAAACCTTAGAGTTCTTTCAGTTCTTCTCAATGAATTAAAGATCAGAAAACTGTATTTTGAAAATGAAAAGAGCGCCTTTGATATATTTCCAGTAACTGGAAACACTTTTCGGCGAGTGTAATTGGTTCGTGATCTTCCAGCAATTGCAAAACTGTCTCCGATGGAAATGGGAGAGCCTTTTTGGCTGGACGGGCGGTGAAAAGTGAAATTTTATATAATGGCCTGCACATAACAGAGTCATTATGACAGTTGGCCTGGCCAAAGCGAGTGGAATCTATTAGACATTATGGCTGGCAAAGTGGAGCTTCGCTGTTGGCCAGCAAATGGCAAATGGCTGGTAAACAAGTTAATTTAATGTCCAGGCATAAAACAAATTACGTATGAAAAGTCGCCGTTATCGCCGCGTTTATTTATCTTGGCGGCTTTGTACATATCTCGTTGAAAACTCTTAATGTCTCGCAAGTGCCAACGGACTTTGGCGCGATCGAAAACAATTTCGATTCAATTACATCTACGGCGGAGCCGAGACATGATGTAGGTCTATGGGATTGCCATTTGCGGCTAATAGCTGGAGATCAACTTTGCCATTTGGAGTTCGTTCGGACCTGGCCAGATGGCAAAGGCAAAGACAACTACGAGTCAGCCTAGAGCCTAATGTATTAATTTGTACTGCTATTCTCAAGGGTGTCGGTTGAATGACATTCCATGGATTGGATATATACCACACCATAGCATTTTCTCCCCACTCAGACTTTCCCAATCAAGGCGTGTTCTCTGGCAAACACCATTTCGGACAGCTCATAAAATTAAGAAGATTCCATGGAAATGGAAAAAGTTTCTCTTCTCGCGTTGAGCCGACACCTTGCCAAATTGTTACACAAGCTGGTAAAACAGACGGCCAGATATATGGCCGAGATCTGGAAGCCAGTGTTTGGGATCGGATGTGGGCTTACGTCTGTGTGGCACTCGGTCGCTGACGATGATGCCAGAGATTAAGTCACCGCTGACAGGCCGACATGCAAAAGTTCTCATGGCAGTTCCATTTCTCTTCCCCATTTGCATTTCTGTGTTGGCATTTGTTTTTGGCCCTGGCTGAAACTTACCCACACTCTCCCAGAGATAAAACTATTAGGAGAATTTAGCAACCGACAAAGCCCGAGAGAAATGTGGCCACTTTTCAGCTGTCAGAGATCTCTCCAAAGAGATTCCTACCAGATTTCCCAAGGCTGTCAGCTCCCTTGAGCTACGATTCGAGATCGCATCGCCCATTCGGACTTTTGTCATCTTTTTGATTGTCGAATGGATAGTGCACTCAGAGATATAAATTATACAAATTGGCTATGCCTCTCTGAAACAGAAAAAGTGTTTCTTTTGTCGAGAAAATGAGTTCTTAAATGAGTAAAAAGGTTCAAAGCGAAGAAGAGGTAACGATTTCCTCCCAGTGTAGTGACGACTTTCATGCTTGACGGCTTCGCGCTTGACTCTAAATTAAAATGGTTTTCTTCAGTGGGTTTTGTTTTTGGGAAAAGATTTTCCGACGATCATTATAGTTTTCACTGGGACTTTTGGCCGCAGATTGCGGGGTGCCTGCCCGCCCGAGGTTATGTATCAGCAGACCCCAGCTGTCAAATAATATAATTAGGGTTTATGTTGCTGAAACTATATCGCAGCGGGTCGGGGCTGGGGTCTCTGGAGCTTGCCTTTTGACACAGTTGCGTTTTGGGGCTGTCAGAGAGAAATGCTTATAATTTGTGAGCCGAGTTTGTGACAGGTAATTGATGCCGAAAGTGGCTCAAACCGGGGGCCAACAAGTGTCACTGGTCTTGCGTCGCAGTTGGCCTGCCTTTGACAATGGCTGCTGAAGATCATGTTAACTTAACCGGGCGGAAAACTAGTAATGCGATCATTTCGGGATTGTGCAAGTTCAGCCAGGGCCTGAGCATCTCCAGAAGACTCACCCCACTTGGAAGACATGTCTGGTAATTGGATCCTGGCTTTCTTTGAAACATTCAGAACTCTCCAGATCTGACAACCGATCTCCGGCAATCGCCTCCACACACTGCTGACTCCGGTAAACGGGGAAGCCAACTGCGACGATGACGAGCAGACTTTGACTTCGGCCATCTTGGTTCCAGAGCCTCGAGAAACTCGTGCGCCGATAATGGTAAACCCCCGTCGGCTTTCAGAGATATCCACTATCGGGCTAAGCGATTTGTACAATCTGTGGCATCGGTTCTATGTCCATACTCCAAGTGGAAAATTGTCTGAAGATATGTCCGCTTGAGGGGCACCATTGATAATTTAATTACGCTCTCATATCTTAATGAAAATCACATGAATTGCCGAATTCGTTGGCTTGTGGAGAGCCCCTTTACAGAATTCTGGCTCTATGCTTATCGGAATATATATCTCAGATTTTTAGGGGGTTTTTCGAGTTGCTTTACCAGCTGCATATTCATCAAACTTAGGTAAACTGCATCACCAAAGTTGTTCCTTTTGACTTCATTAACTCTGCTAAATCCGTTAACTTTATAAGCTTTATATCTCAGCTCTCAAACTGTTTCTGTTTATCACTTCTACCTTTTGGGATGATAATTCCAGCCGCCAAATGAAGTTCTCACTTCCTTAAAGATACTCATTAAAAGCCGCCACATTTTGTTCTCCAGTAACCTGTTTCCCAAGCAAAGCCCTTCTCCCGACTCCTTCTGCCTTCTCCCTTCTGGTCCTCAGACCAATTAGATAGGCCACAAGCCAAGTGTAAACCCCCCGGCATGGTGTGGTTATCTTTAGACCATCATAACTTAACGCTAGAGTGACTTCCAGCAATTGTTTTAGCCTGACCCACGCAATGTCGCTCCAGAGGGCGGCGAACCTCAACCTCGGGGCAATTACTTATGCATTTCCAGCCCGGCTTGTGCTAATGTGCTCAGATTATAGGAAACGCTCTTTGCCAGGGGTCTTCTGGCAAGTACTCCCTGCCCCCTTGCCCCCACCAGGGGGAAATCAGGAATGGTACCAGTATAATTTTCCGGTCTTTGGTTTCCTGCTTTGTCTTAGCCTGTTCCCCAGACGATCAGTCCCACAGAGCTTAGCACCCAGCAGAGGGTCTTTGTCTGTGCGTTTCCACTTTTCCACTTCCTTTGGACTAGCTCTGGGTGCCCGTTCCCGTTCTAAGAAGTCGAGATGGTGCCCAGCCGAAGTACGTTTATCACCAGAGTGAGAGACGGCTACTTGTATAATTTATTGCCCACTGCGCTTCCACATTAAGAATTCATTGACCGGTCCAACTCAAAGTCATCGGCCTGTGGCCAGTGGTCAGTGGCGGGGCAGGGAAGCTGCCGCTCTTTCTTTGATTTTCTCCCGTTTAGAAAGTGTGTGGAGAAAGAATCTCGTAACCAATGGGAATGCCCAGAACTGTTGGCTTTCTTGTAAAGACAAAACCACTTCTGCTTACTCCTATGGGGTAATAACAAACAAACATGACTCTTAATTTCCTAATATATCATAGGCTACGGAGTATCAGTTTAGGTAATCCAAAAGAATAGGTCAATCTTAAGATCAAATTGAGGCTAGGGCTTAACTTGTAGTGACTTATTTTGAGATACCGAGAAGAGTAAAACATATCTGTTTTCTAAAATCAATTGTGAACTTGCAATATCAATATTATGATTGATTAAGAAGAGATAAACCTTTTCAAAAATCCAACCAAACTATTGGCATAAGTCAAAACTTAATGATAAGATACTAACATCAGCACGCGTAGAACCCATTCGGGGAATTTTTAGTGATATTCATTTGTTGATAAATTTAAGGGCCATAATTACTCTGCCATCTGCGATTAAGAAGGCTCTGAGTCCTATAAAAGCGCGAAAGTTTTTGACTTCGACATCAGTTTTTGAAAATCGTAAACATGAAGGCATTCATTGTTCTGGTTGCTCTGGCTTTGGCCGCTCCTGCTCTTGGTCGCACCATGGACCGTTGCTCCTTGGCCCGCGAGATGTCCAACCTGGGCGTCCCCCGTGACCAATTGGCCCGCTGGACCTGCATTGCCGAGCACGAGAGCTCCTACCGCACCGGAGTGGTCGGCCCTGAGAACTACAACGGATCCAACGACTACGGCATATTCCAGATCAACAACTACTACTGGTGTGCCCCTCCCAGCGGTCGTTTCTCCTACAACGAGTGCGGTCTGAGCTGCAATGCCCTGCTGACCGACGACATCACCAACTCCGTCCGTTGTGCTCAGAAGATCCTGGGACAGCAGGGATGGTCCGCCTGGTCCACCTGGCACTACTGCAGCGGATGGTTGCCATCCATCGACGAGTGCTTCTAAGCTCGCTTCTAATTACATTTTGACCGTCAATAAACTATCGATTTAAACTGAAGATCTTGCCATTTCTTATAAGATTTGAAAAGTATTTAAGTACCCATTAGGAGTAATAAGATAAATCTGAGGCTACCATCGGCCATTACTGAGCTGTGGTATCTGATTTGAAATGAAGATGATTTAAGGATGAAATGCTTTGATTTTCACTTTCTCCCAATAGAAAAGCCGAATTCCACCCAAGGCTAAAATACTCCAATCGGTAAATAATTGCAAAACGCGTACACGGTATTAGTTTCGTGGACGCCCCGGGCCGTTGGTAATTTCTATAATTGATACGACATCATTGACTTTGAGGCTTTGCAGTTGTCTTTTCGAGTACTTGAGACGGAAGTTTGGCTTTGAGACTTTTATGTTTATATTTAAATTAAAGATTATCATTCTCGGGTTCTGCGTGGAAAAGGAACCAGCTTAACTGGTTTTGGGACTCCGGCAAAGACAAGTCCACGCTGAATGGAGTTATAATGAATAAGCCTAGGTGGGGTTATTTTTTGACTTTGACCCGCTGACTGTCGGCGCTTCGGGTTTACTTTCTTTTGGAAATCAAGTTGCAAAAGGCGACTGGCTAATTTTATGGCAACCCGATGCTTTTATCTTTGTTTGTTTTCAAAATTGGTATTTTGGCGCATTTTTTATGGCTGATGCTGGAGAGACACTTTCAACTTGATTAGCGGTTATCAATAAATTCTATTCAAAAGCTTAGAAAGTGATCTGGCCATGTAGAAACAGAGTCATCAATCTTGAAAACAAACTCTTTATATTTGGGTGGGAAGGAGAAAACATTTGGTGAAATTTAAAGATTATAGAATGAAACTTTAGGAAAATAAGTTCAACTTTCTGGTTTTCAATTAAGACTCTCTTAAAGTCAGTTTCTAGGCAGAGGAGGTTTCCTTCTCCTGTTTTTGATTTGACTACCGAAGTAAGTTGGTGGCGAGATCCTCACATCAAGCTCTTCAAACCCTTTAGAAACAACCTTATCGCGGGGAGCATAGAAGCCACTTGAGTAGTAATCGAGAGATACTCGCACTAGAGCTATCGATAGTCTGCGATTACAGCTTGGTGATAGAGATCCAAAGGGTTCCCAATAGCCAAGCTGCAGACTCATTACTCAGCCTTATCAGCCATATTTGTTTACAAATTCCAATGACGTTGGCCATTTTCATTTTAATTGGTTTAAACGTGATTTAACGGGGAAGAACAGCTACGGCGGCTTCTTGTCTAATCTTTGGAGATTCTTGGCCATTATCCTAACAGTTCTCAAATCAAAGTTCGGCTGACAATTAGCGACGACCTGTATGGAAATGGGGTTTAATTGGCCTGGGTCGATTGTCAGCTCCAGAGGCACAAAGTTCCGAACCGAACCGAACTCATGCATATGCAATGAGGTCTGGCCTGGTCGTCAGAAAATTCTTCTTGGCCAGAACAGTTAGCTGACACACTTTGGGGATAGAGAAGCCATTAGTTATTCTGCGGCGATTCGATAAATCAGCAAAAAGTAAAAGTGATAAGCATTCTTCTCCGACAAAGGAATCGACAACTCATCGCCGCCGAGCGCTCCACTCGTCCACAAATTAGCATTAATTTATGAATTCATCTATAATTCATGGGACTCTAAGAAGGTCACGGTGGGAAGAGAGCTGGATAGGTCTAACAACCTGAAGCGACTTTGGGTGATAGGCCTGTCTGCCAACTGGCATCTTTCGAATGCCTCTCCAGTAGCCTTTTGTCATTTGTCTTTGCTGTTAGCCACACGCGAAAGGTTAACAACTTTCTTGGCATTGCACAAATCTCTGGTGGTGGAGATCTGGGTGGAAATCTCCAGGCGACTAGCTTTAGGCTTAGTAGCAACGTGCAACTTTAAGGAGTACCGCTAAAGGCCCCTCCTCGCAGATGCGAATGAGGTTAATGTAACAGCCCGCAGTTTGCATACTTGCGGTCGGGTCTTTAGTCGGAGTCAGACTTAAAGACAGAGTCGGCACTTGGCTCTAACCAACGCTGAATCCATCCGTCCATCGAGAAAGCAATGTGCAACGAAGTTGTTGTGACTGTTGATGATGTGTGGTAGCCTTGGGGTCTTTGAAGAGCCAGTGGTTTTACGATTGAACGCACGCCCGTTACAAGAGTTAAACCAGAGCTAGGCCCGCACCAAATAGAGTTCTTTCAGGTCTGAGGCTGAAACTCTCAGTCCAGATACGACTCACTTAAGTGCACCAAAGTGGAGCTTCTGCCCACCGAAGTCTCGTAATTGCCCACTCCACAAGCACCGCAGATGCTAACAAGGTTAATGGCTCGAAAAGGCAAACGTTTAAGCCGGAAAATTAATACAACTCGCTCTACAAACCAAGGGTCTTACGGCCCGAGATGAGGCTAATCTAGTTTTAACTATGATTATACTTTTATGTGTTTTTAAGGAGCGGCTTCAGACCATTTAGTAGTAGCTGATAAGTGCTGTAGACTGGCCATCTTCAATGGCCAGTTATTAAAGGTCTCGTGCGCACTTGCGATAAGCAAAGAGTCTTCGAGGAGCTCTTGAGATAGTGACATTGTGAAGATCTTCTGCGTTAGATAATGGCGCCCTATAAAAGCACTGCCCACTCTCCCTTTCCACATCAGTTCCTACTGGAAGAATCATGAAGGCTTTCATCGTTTTGGTTGCTCTGGCCTGCGCCGCCCCAGCTTTAGCCCGCACCATGGACCGTTGCTCCTTGGCCCGCGAGATGTCCAACTTGGGCGTCCCCCGTGACCAGCTGGACAAGTGGACCTGCATTGCCGAGCACGAGAGCTCCTACCGCACCGGAGTGGTCGGCCCTGAAAACTACAACGGATCCAACGACTACGGCATCTTCCAGATCAACGACTACTACTGGTGTGCTCCTCCCAGCGGTCGCTTCTCCTACAACGAGTGCGGTCTCAGCTGTAATGCCCTGCTGAGCGACGACATCACCCACTCCGTGCGCTGTGCCCAGAAGGTCCTCAGCCAGCAGGGATGGTCCGCCTGGTCGACCTGGCACTACTGCAGCGGATGGTTGCCATCCATCGATGAGTGCTTCTAAACCGATTTCGAACCCTGACTTATAATAAAATATAATAACTGCATAAAACCGAATCCTTTGGAAGTTTACACTTTGGGAGTAGTTCGGCGGTGCCTTTGAGATCGTAAAACATAATCGGGGACTTACTAATTGGCTGTGTTTATAGTAAGATCGGCAGCCATAAGAGCTTGGAATTCGCTTCGCTGATTCGCAATAAAGACAAGTTAAGAGCTTAATTCCTTTGTTTTGACCAGCTTTCTCCTAATTTTGATATCTTCCAAGCCACAATTGCACCCCAGGGCTATAAAATTCGAATTCGAATTCGTTTAATAATCGCCTATCGTGAGCTCAATTCCGAGGAGGCCCTAGGCTCAAAAAATTTGTATAATCGTTATGACATTATTGTATTCGCCGACTTGAAGTTCTCTAGCTCCGGAGACGGAAGTTTGCATTATTTGCCAGCAGTTTTTGCATATTTAAATTTGGAGTCATTGAGCTACCAGTTTGACTGGTTCGGGCCTCAAGTCGGAGCTGATTGGAATTATAATGAATTTGTCTGCTTCTGCATATTATTTGGCTTTGACCCGCTGTCATTTTTTAGCTGTCTGTCAGGCGAAGCATTAAGTTTACTTTCTACTGGAGAAAAGATATATACTTCATGCCAAGTTTCTAGCTTCCCACTGATATTTATGGCCATATCACTCAGATAAGCCACTTTAAATTAAGCATATTCTGTTCATCAGACTGGAAAGCATTCCAGCCAAACGAAGTAATTAAAAAGCCAAGCCACGAAGGTTTTTAAAAGTGAAATCCTTTCTGAGATTCTAGCCAGCTTCACCAATCAGTCGATCTCTTCACATTCCATCGTGGAACGCAACTTAGAAGTGTAATGTCTCAAAGGCTAAGAATCAGAGGGATTCGGTTTTTTGCAATAATTTTATTATAAGTCAGGGTCAAATTCAGCTTAGAAGCACTCATCGATGGATGGCAACCATCCGCTGCAGTAGTGCCAGGTCGACCAGGCGGACCATCCCTGCTGGCTGAGGACCTTCTGGGCACAACGCACGGAGTGGGTGATGTCGTCGCTCAGCAGGGCATTGCAGCTGAGTCCGCACTCGTTGTAGGAGAAGCGACCGCTGGGAGGAGCACACCAGTAGTAGTCGTTGATCTGGAAGATGCCGTAGTCGTTGGATCCGTTGTAGTTCTCAGGGCCGACCACTCCGGTGCGGTAAGAGCTCTCGTGCTCGGCAATGCAGGTCCACTTGTCCAGCTGGTCACGGGGGACGCCCAGGTTGGACATCTCGCGGGCCAAGGAGCATCGGTCCATGGTGCGGGCAAAAGCTGGGGCGGCACAGGCCAGAGCAACCAAAACGATGAAAGCCTTCATGGTGAAACTGATGTGGGATCACGGAAGGCAGGGCGCTTTTATAGCCGGAAAATTATCTAGCGAGGTGTTATCTCTAAAGTATTTCTATATGATGGGTGCGGGTAATCTGGACGTGTTGAAAGGGATCGCTTGGAAATCAGACCATATTGATAATTTGAGTGGAGTATTCGATAATATGAATGAAGTATTACGGAAATTCGACGGTGGATCCCCTCGCAGTTGGCTTGACGTCTCGGAGCCAAGTCCACCTGCTCCGAATGGATGCAAATTGGGGGAAGCAGCTTTTGTGATATGTCGGACTGTTTGTCTGGCCAATTGGCCCCTGATCTCAATTATGGCCTCTCGGCCCCTCGCAGTGGTGGCCCATTGGCTTCAATTAGTCTGGGTCCAACAAAGGCCCGTAGCTCAGGGCCCCTCCATTCCAATCGGTTCGGGTCCACAATGCCCGCTGCTCATTGCCCCAGTGCGGTTACCCAATCCCAATTCACCAATTGCTTCATTTGTCAGGGCCCGTCAAGGTGTCCAACATCTGTTGATGGCCTGGCTAATGTGGCTTTAAAGCCGTTTTCGAAGAAGGAAGACTAAGCCTATAAGGAGGTGGCAAAAAGAATGTCTGAGCCGACCACCGAATCGCGTGAAGAAAGAAATTTCTTTTTCGGGCATGGCTGAAAGTAAGTTGGCCATTCGCTGGGTTGCGTGTGAGCCACCTACTCCTCCCTTTCCCCTAGACACCGGACTCCAGACCGTAGCCAATGCATAAGCTGTTTAACAATTGTTAAATCAGACCGGAACAGATATTTCTGTAGTTCGGCATACACTCGCTTTTTCATTTTACCATTTTTTTAGTTTTTTAGTTTTTGTTTTTTGGGCCCTGGCCCGTCTCTATGACTGTTATTTATTATTTACAATCTGGTTTCTTTTGTGGCCCCATCTTTGTCTTCTCGCTTCTGGACAAAGTGGCATTGTTACTCGGATTGGGGCTGCTCCGAGGCTCCGGAGTCTCGTGCCTCTGCCAATTCAATTTTCACTTCAATTTTCCATGAGTACAGTTAAACGTAATTTGTTTTCATGCTTTTATAACGCACACGCACCAGACTTAACGACTTTTCATAGCTTTTTTTTGTTCGTTCTTTTTCTTGGTATTCTCGAGAGTTTCTTTCTAAGTTGGCTGCGTGGGCGTCACAGTTCAATGTCAGAGCTGCGCACACTGGGATTTACATATCTAGATTTGGGCAGCAGTTAAAAGAAAGTCGGAGCCCATTAGCATATGCATAAGGCAGAAAACCGAAAGACCAAAAACCAAACACCCAACCACCCAAAACCAGAGTCATCCCATCTAGATCTTGACCAAGTAGGTCTTCACAACGAGTGGGTAATGAAAGCCTGACCCTCTGACTTAGTCGGCTAAAAACTGGCTTACCTATTTTGCCTATCCTCTCCCGCTTTCTGGTCGTTTTCTGCTCCGAAATCCAATTGGGACCAGGACCAGGTAGAGCGTATTGACACGATTCCGAATTGGGCCAACGCAGAACGTTCTCAAATTCGATGGCTAACATCCAGCAACATACACACTGGCATCGACTTTCATGCTGCACTTTGCGTCGTCATCGAACAAGAGGCATAAATTGAGGAGATTAGCACGAAGCGAAGAACTCCGGAGCAAGAACCACTCTTATTATTATGGTGGATGCTGCAATAGGCCAGTTGGGGCCAGTTCTAGCCGGGTCCAGTACTCGTTTTACCGTTAGCAGCAGAATGCACTCCACTCGCGATGCTGTTAGCCAAGAATCGGGGGGAGAAAGGGGGCCGGGTGCCAATACCGCACTTTTCTATCCAATCAAACTCGTTTCCTCCGAGAATACACAATAGGAAAATGCATATCGCGTAATCGTCAGTGACACATGAGTGTTCGAGAGGTGTGTTGGAATGGAATGGAAGTTCACTGCCGGATGGAGTCACAGGACCCACTTAGGTTGCTCTCGACTGAACTTGGCTAGACCTCTGGAACATCTAGCTAAGCCATCGTTCGCCTAATTGCCAACCAAAAACCGAGATTTACGTCCGCCAACTGCGATCTGCACGTCCGCCTCGAACAAAAGTCACGCACCAACTGATCCGAAGCCCGAGACTTGGCCTGAACCCAAGACGAGTTTAAAGCCCGAAGTCGCTGTCGGTTACGAAGTGGAGACTCATGATCTTATACTCTCCCTCTCTCTCTCTCTGCCAACTGGGTTTATAAGATCCCCTTTATAAGACACCGACTGTGAGCAACGGTAGCAACTGCACACCTCCGAATTAATGAAGACTGTCAGGCGCCCGAGGGAATCTTCGATTCCCAGAGCATGACCACAGACTGTGATTAGTCAGAAGAATGTGGAAACCCGAGCCCCATTAGAATTGAACCTAATTCTGCAAGTCAAAGTGTCTTTACCAAGAAATCGAAACTAGAGTTTAGAAGAAGCTGTCGATAGCGATCACTGTAGCAGCAAAATATTTGAAATTTTAGTTCAAGCTCTATCACATTGCTTAACCCTTTACGATTTGAGGAAAGGCAATCGTGTGATTGATTGGTTTATCACTTTATGAAAAGTATTCCTTCTTGACTGCCAGCCATGATAACTTGCCAGATACTGACAGATTTATATTTGTGGACTAGGTTTTACCTGCTCAAAGACTGGTTGGATGAGTAAGATTTTCACACCATTAAGTCCTCTCCTCTTTAGTTACTTTTTTACAACATTTACTTTCTTTTAATAATTATAAAATACTTATTTTAAACGAGAAAGAGTTTATTTATTGCCAAAAGTGCAGATAAACATTAGTTTAAACGGCGTCTCCTCTAAGATTTGAACCTGCCCCACCAAAGACTGGACTGGACCTGACACCAACATTCAAGGAATGGACCAGCGGGACATTCAAGACTCTAGTTTTATGAACGGCGCTCATAATTTAAGAACGTTTTCATTATTTTGAAACTAGATATTTGTTAAGTAGCTCGTTTTTCTACTATTATTAGCCTCCTGTGGTTTTAAACCGGAAATCTTTGAGAAAGAAATCTAGCCCACGGATTGTTTCTGAATCGTTAAAAATATTCTTGGTTTTAGTTTTTGGGTCATTCTTAAGGAATCTTATCCAAACAAGTTTACTATTTTATGCAATCATTTTATTATAAGTCAGGGTCAAATTCAGCTTAGAAGCACTCGTCGATGGATGGCAACCATCCGCTGCAGTAGTGCCAGGTGGACCAGGCGGACCATCCCTGCTGGCTAAGGACCTTCTGGGCACAACGGACGGAGTGGGTGATGTCGTCGCTCAGCAGGGCATTGCAGCTGAGACCGCACTCGTTGTAGGAGAAGCGACCGCTGGGGGGAGCACACCAGTAGTAGTCGTTGATCTGGAAGATGCCGTAGTCGTTGGATCCGTTGTAGTTCTCAGGGCCGACCACTCCTGTGCGGTAGGAGCTCTCGTGCTCGGCAATGCAGGTCCACTTGTCCAGCTGGTCACGGGGGACGCCCAGGTTGGACATCTCGCGGGCCAAGGAGCAACGGTCCATGGTGCGGGCAAAAGCTGGGGCGGCACAGGCCAGAGCAACCAAAACGATGAAAGCCTTCATGGTGACAATTCACAGAAACTGATGTCGGAGCAGATGAGGCTTCGTGTTTTTATAGTCGAATCCTTCGGTGATAAGGCGTTATCGCATCCACGAGTACTGATACGAATTCCATTTTTGCTCAGCGATCGATAATTTTAATTAAGTCAAAGCATCGAAAACCTGATTAAGCTCTTTAAAGGGTTTGATTTAAAGATAGTTGTTAGCAAATCTAAAGCCAATGTTCCCGAATGTAATTGACATTAAGCAATGCAGAAAATGCCATTGAGGATACTAAAACATATTCAGGTGCGGAGATTAAGTCAAAATAAATAAAAGCTGACACCGGCACCTAAGTACATTAACTATCTCTCCTTCACTCCCAAATTCTCGCGATCTTCTACAGGTAACATATGTTAAATAATACCTCAGCATAGATTAACGCAACATATTTTCATGGCCTACAGGTTTTTACTTTTACAGCCTGGAAGTATGCAACATCCACGCAGAATGTGCAACTGGCAAAAGCTGCCTGCTATGACAGCTATGGTTTAAACAATCTTTGCTTTAGCTTACCTGTCCACTATCGACTTTCCCGCTTCGTACATGGAGTCCAGGGAATAGTCGTCGCCAATGGAGCTATAGACGTTAGTCTGGGTTCCGGTTGTCTCCACGTCGCAGTAGCTGCAGCTGCAGCACGAGTACTGGGAGCAGAGCGAGGAAGCATCCAAGTCGGTGATGCCAATGGAGCACTCTTCATCCAGAGGTCGTGGCTGCAGTTCAATATCATTGGGGGCTTCTTTTTGGGGGGAATTCTCCCTTGCAGAACGACTGCTTAGAATCAAATAAATAATTAATTAGAAAGTTAGCTGCATTTCAAGCTAGTGTCAGTTTTAAATCGCATCAAATGAAGTCTTACCTCTTGGTGCGTGAGTCCATCGTGTCCATGACCACGTTCCAGGTGCGATGTATCAAGTAGAGCAGAAACAGCACCCTCGACGTCTCTCCAGTGTGCGGTGTTGCGTTGTTGGGCGCATTCTGTCCCGCTCCCAAGCAACTGCTTGAGCCCAATCGCTCATCGGAGTTCTTCTGATGGCTCTGGGGATCATTGTGATGCGGATGGCGGGCGGGCAGGGTCTTGGATCGGTACTCGTTCTGGAGGCAGTACTCCCTCTTGTGCTGTTGGTATCGCCTGCGTGTGTTAAACCTGGAGTTCCCCTCGCCGGCGGCTCCCTCCTCGGCTCCATCCACGCCCCTGCTCGATGCCACGCGGTTGCCCATTACAAAGTCGCGGATCGGCGCCTGTCAAGCATTGCCTAATGTGACATGGACACGGACAACATATGTTAGTGGAAGTCTGCATGGATGCAACTGACACAGTTCTCCCAACCAGTTTGCCAATGGCCAGCGAGGAAAAAAGTGAAGTGGCTGCGGAATTGGGTCACCAACGAGTTCTTTAACTTGGTATTGGGTATCGGGTATTGGGGTCGGCTAGAACAAATGCCTGTAGATGGCTCCTCGGCTAGCTTTGTAATTATGATAAACTATACATCTATTGGCGAAATGATGGATGGCATGGACCAGTTTGGACATCATCCTGGACAGCCAGATTGCTCCCCTGCGAGGCGTGGAGGCTGTCATTTCTTGGCACGTCTAATGACTCGCAATCCAGGCCAGGCAATCGGCAGCTCATCAGCCAGGCCATACATCAAATTAGCGCCCTTGCTCAATTTGTTCGCCCAGCACTCGCGGCTTGACCCGCCAAACACCCGATTTGAACTATATTCTATCTATATATATAGAGCTGGTGAAACCACAAACACTCTTATCTGGTGCGGCCCTCTGACGTAGCAAACGTGACCGCTAAATGACAAAACACGATCGCTGAACCAACCACGGGCACTATCAGTGGACACCGGCCGAAAGAGGGCTGGACTTATCAGCGGCTACAGTGAAAGGTGCTCTGCAGGGATTTATACTACCTGGGCTTAGCATATGGTAAACAAATCATTTTTATCGGTCACAATTAAGTTTCCAAAACGTATTTGATTAGGCATACATTATGGAGCGAAATGGAAGAACAACTTTCTTGGTGCCAGCTGGACAAAGAATATGCTAATGTGAGCCATAAAATGGAGCAGCAACCAGTTTTATTTAGGGCCTGTTGTAGGGCCCAAGCCCTTAAGAACCTTTTCTGCTAGTGAAAGTGACGACAACGAAGTGGAAAGTTTCTGGGTCCGCATGGAAAAGCCAGTAGGTTAGATTGACTTAGGTCGTTGCTCGGAGGGACTACTGTTGAGAATTAACCGCATCATAAACTTGCCTTCCTGACATGCGCATTAAGCGTGAGAGGTGTTGGCTCGTTCTGGTTCTTGCGTCCCCCCAAGAAGCCCAACAACTCAAATCTGTACTCTAATTAAACTAAATACGGCGCAAGAGTTTATCTTATCAACGGATGCACCCTGTACGACCGACCAGCAATGTTAACTATAGGGCAAACCGGGAGCCGAGCACTCAACTTTAAAAAACGAGACCCCATCTGGTTTTGACAGACAGTCGTGTTTGCAGCGATCTAGCGAGCGGTAGACTTTGCGCTGCTCGAGAACCTGGAGGAGAGAAAGGAACCTGAATCGGAACGAGGCCAGAGCCGCATTAAGGAGCTAGTAACTAGGACACACCTCCAGCCAAAATGAGCCAGAACCAACTGAGTACAGAGCAACTGCTCTTCGAGGAGAAGCCGCTCTACGTGCCCCCATTGTCGGAGCTACAGAACGGTGAGCCGAGCTGAGTTTCCCACAGATCCCACAGATCTGAGAGATAACAATACGTGCAATATTCGCCCGAGTGCCATGTGCAAATGACCTTCAGAACAGTGCCGAACTTTCCATAGCCGGTTTTTGGTCGGTTCTCTGTTCTCAGTACTGAGTTCTGTGTTTTTTGCTTTTTGTTTTCATTGAGCTGTCCGAAACAGAAACATATGATTGGGCGCGGAGCTTTTGGCTAGCTTTTGCCATATGTCGTCTAGATGGAGGTCGAGATAAAGCTCTAATGCGTTTCTCTCTCCTCCAGTTATACAGGGTGCCCTAACGGCCAACTTTGCCAGTGTGGATGTCAGTGTGGGTCCTTGCCCGGACCTGAAGGCCAAGCAGTTCGGTCTGGTGGAGAGCGGACTGGGTGGCAAGCCCACTCTGCTGGAGGCAGGAGGCCCTCCCTTCCTGTTGCCCCTGGTTCAGCGGGATAAGCTGTACAACATCACTGAGATTACCCGCAAGATCCAGGGCCCTGGCAAGATCTTTGCAGTGGGCGCAGGAGCTGGTCCCTGGCCCATCCGGGGCTCCAACTGCGAGGGCATCTTCAACCTGTCGGTGAGCGAGAAGAATGAGCTCACGAATGGCAGCTACACTGCCACTGTGAGGGGAGAGCAGGAGGAGTGTGTCCTGGAGAAGATCCCCCACACTGAGCCTCGTTGCGCCCTGCTGCTGAACCTGTTCCTCAGCCAGGGAAAACCAGGTCAGGTCCTTAAGATCACCGCCAAACAGCGCACTGGCGAGCAGAACTTCATCGAGTGCATCCGCAAGGGTCTGGAGAACCACTACGGCGACAAGGTGGTGGGTCTGGGAGGCATCTTCCTGATCAAGAAGGGTGCTGCCCACCAGCACGTGATGCGCGACTTCAGCAAGACGCCCATCAACAGCGACGAGGAGGTGAACGAGTGGCTCAAGTTCTACGAGATGCCCGCCCAGCTGAACGCCGTGGGCACTCTGGTGACCAAGGAGCACGACCTTGACCTCCGCCTGCAGCACTTCCACTCCTTCTCCTTCAGCAACTGGGGCGGTCACTATCACTACGACACCACGCCCGATGTGGTGGAGTACGAGGCCTATCTGAATGTGGCCGAGCGGGTGGTGAGGGTTGACAAGCCCGTGTCCACTCACAAGGTGGGACGAGACTAGATCTTATCTCATCCATCTAATTCTAGCCGACTTTTCTATTGCCCTAACCCCCATAAATAATAGTAAATAAACGTAACATAAACTCGAAAACAAGACCAGTGTCCTATGCTCTATTTATCTGGAAGTACGTAATTCTGATAATTTTCAAAAGTGACAGAATGTCAGATTTCAGATCTGTTCCCCAAAATAGTTATAAAAAACTATAGAAACCACAGGCCTTTTGGCCATGCCACAGAATGGTATATCAGTGGAGACCCAGTATCACTAGAAGACTATCAAGAAATGCGGTCAAGAATGGCTGACATTTTCACCAGGCGATGGCACTTCAGTCAGTCGCTGTTGTACCACCAGCTAGGCAAGTCCCTGAACTCACATCGGAATTCTTGCGGAGATAACATGAGCCAGAGTCACCTTCAAACGGATCAGCTGCTCTTCGAGGAGAAGCCACTCCATGTGCCGCCCCTCTCGGAGCTACAGAAAGGTGAGCACTGCCGCTGATAAAAATAGTACTCTAGCCTAGCTGGGGTGTCCGATAAAGCTCTTTTCCCGCTCTCCAGTTATACAGGGTGCCTTGAGTGAGAACTTTCGAACCGTAGAAGTGAGTGTGGGATCTTGCCCAGATCTAAAGGCCTCGCAGTTCGGCCTTGTGGAAAGTGGACTGGGTGGCAAGGCCACTCTGCTGGAGGCAGGAGGTCCGCCCTATTTGCGCCCTTTAGTGCAGCGTGATAAGCTCTACAATCTGAAGGAAATCACGCGAAAGGCCCAGGGACCGGGCCAGATCTTCGCAGTTGGACCAGGAGCAGGTCCTTGGCCCATCCGCCATTCCAACTGCGAAGGCATCTTTAATTTCTCGCTTAACGAAAAGGACGAACTTACCCAGGGAAGTTACACGGCCACTGTGAGGGGAGAAACTGAGGAGTGCGTTCTGGAAAGGATTCCCGAGACGGAACCCCGTTGCGCCCTAATCCTAAATCTCTTCCTTAGCGAGGGAAAGCCAGGTGAAGTGCTCAGAATTTTTGCAAAACAGCGAACTGGAGATGAAAACTTTGTGGAGTGCATTCGCAAGGGTCTGGAGAAACACTATGGTGATGAGGTGGTGGGTCTGGGCGGTATCTTCGTGATCAAGAAGGGTGCTGCCCACCAGCATGTGATGCGGGACTTCAGCAAGACTCCCATACACACCCAGGAACAGATTCAGAACTGGCTCAAGTTCTACGAAATGCCCGCCCAGCTGAATGCAGTGGGCACTCTGGTGACCAAGGACATGGGACTCGACCTGAGGCTGCAGCACTTCCACTCCTTCTCCTTTGAGAACTGGGGCGGTCACTACCACTACGACACCACGCCGGATAAAGTGGAGTACGAGGCCTACCTGAATGTGGCCGAACGCGTAGTCCGCGTGGACAGACCACGTGTGACCGATCAGTTGGGAAGAGACTGATAGCTATCCATCACTCCTGGTAATGACTGTGGCCAAAAATAAATATCTTCTATGGAAATGGTTTCGGTTTCTGTCTGCTCTGTTTAGACCACCAAGATGCGGCTTACTTAAATAGCATCATTTGTGGAACAAAGCCCCAGGGGATGGGCTTTATGTAATTGCCAAAAATTAGAGCCGCCGCTTTCTTCGAGATGCAAATCGATGGCTAAATGATCTGAATACCAGGCGGTTCGAATAGCCTCTGCTGTGGAGCTGGTGCTGGGGTTCTGGAGCTTCATGGTTGGCCTAATGAGAGCCGCGATACGGACGTCTAGCTAAGCAGGCCGTAAATAATGCCCCAAACATGCAGCAATCTGTGTTTTTCTTTTTGCACCGCTGGCCATTAATTATTTAATAACTTTGATTCATGCTGAGCTCCGCGGAGCAAGTGCATTGGCGAATTCAGCCAGTAAAACGTTTTCATGGATTTATCGACTGGGAGGGTCCATCTGACTGAGCCAAAACATACTGAACCCGTTTGTTGTGACAGTTACAAATCGATCATTTCGATCATTTCGATAGAAAGATAGAAAGATAGATGTATAAATAGATAGATATTTTGACTTACCAACTCACGCTGCGACTCTCCCAAAACTCCTATTGTTCTTCGGCTGTGCTTAACGGGTTCCCGATATTTGCATTTAGATATTTATTATTCCAGATTCTGGTAACCTTTCTATGAAAGTAGCACTCTTAACCGAAACGCGCACACAAACACACTTCCGAACGCCGAACTTCCATCGATTGATCCAATTTAATCTACCAGCCAGCACCAGCGCGGTGAAATGCAAATGCGATTTCTTCGTCCCACGAAAAAGAAAATCTCTTTTTGTTATAACAATAACCGTTGTGGTTGTTGTAACCGTTTTTGTGGCTCAGGCATACTCGGTTTATTCATATTTTAAACACACCATTAGCACTTTTTATTAGCTGCCTCGCTTTGATTGACTCGACTTCACTTTACCACGTCCGACCACTACGACTACACCTTCGTCTGGTCTTCGTTTTGACTTTGAATTTGGCTTTAATCTGAAATCTCAAACTTGGCTTACGAATCGAGCGCGTCTGCTCGGCTGGAACGCGAGTTGCAGACTGAATGAAGTCCGCGATCAGATGGCTCGACTACCGCCACTGGTCGGAGTGGCTTTTCACATGGAGCAGCTCTTCAGGCGCGTAGATAGCGAACTTGTTTGGGGGATTTCTACAAACATCGGTTCTATCCATTCATCCACTCGGAAAAGCAGAAGCCGCAAGATTATGCATGGCTTTTCACGAGCTTCTCTTTAGGAACTCAGCTCTTTCTTTTTATAGTCAAAACTGTGATTAAACTGGATTCCCAAAGGAGTAGAATAATATTTGATGCAAGTATTTTAATTTATTGGCTGATTTAATGTTTGCCAATTATTTGAATGCACTAAAAGACGTTTTGCTGATATGAGACACGTTACTCAACTTCAACTACCAGTTCTAGGATTGACTGATTAAAAATGTTTCTGAGTGATGTAGAGAGTTCTTGAAGTCGAAGACCCCTTTTGATATCGAATAAGCCTGACAAGTCTATTGCCGCCACTGGCGGAGCTACGATAAATCAGGTTGGCTTTTCGGCTGCTCTGTTTACAAGCGTTTTCAAATTGAAATTGTCGTTTAATCTCTAATTGGCCACATTTGTTGATGGAGCAAAGAGGCCGGGCCAGTCGACAAGTGCATCAAGCGAGTGCCGCGCCGATTTTCCCAAACCCCGAAACCAGTTCCCACACTGATCCAAAGTCGCTGCCAAGGCTACTTCGGGTATCCATTTCCATTAAGAGCGACACGAATTCGGTTGGTTTTAGTCGGTGGTGCTCCTGTTAGAGCACTTTGCCCAAAGGCAGATCGGACCAGGCCCAGCACAACTCGTTCAATGAACCACCTCCAAAGAAAGTAACCGAGGCTGGCTTCATGAAAATTGCATAATGATTGATGCCCCGAGGCAGGCTGATGTATTGCCATTATAATAACACAGCCGTTTATTCTCCACTCCCTGGGCGTTTTCATTAATGTGTGATTGTTTCTTTTTTGGCACAGATCTGGAATTGAAAATGCGTGGTAAGACACAGCAATTGATGGCCAATTCCAGGGGTTATGATTCCACTGCCCACGATGGCTATTCCATAGGAGACTAATCTTAAACTAAAATCAGTAGTCTAGTGTAGTTAATCTAATTCTACATTATTATTAGTCATTCATTATCATTTGTGTCATGTAATTTCATGTAAATCAGCACCTAATTGGTCCCATGAGATAGGCTGGCAGCATCAATGACTGTGTTTGAGAAATATTAAGCTAGTTGCTAGCTTTTAGGCTGCCTAATTATTAGAACCAGGCATCTTTTCGGGGTTCTATTAACTATGAAGGCGCTTGGTTAATCTAAAATACTGCTGCATACTTTTTAGATGAAACTAAAAAACTTTAATACAAAGTGCCAAGTAAGAGTACTCACCTTTCTTAAGCAAATAAAAAAATCCAGTTTGATTTATAGTTTCTTTATATATTTCTTTGTATACATATACAGTATATATTCGTCTGGTTGTATACAACTTTAAAGGTTTACACGTCTTAGAACTGGGCTTTATTGAGAATACTTGAAAATGTAGCAGCTGGTGTTCGATATTGTTGAGTCTCGTAACTGAAAGATTGACGTAACTAAACTAAGGTTACACGGAGATCTCTAACTTACTTTGGCCTCACTCTAGTTTGTGCTTTGCCGGGATAAGGACGTGGTCTCAGTGGGGTCTTGATATATATAGAACCAATCTGATGTACAATAGACCCAACTGAGCTACTGACTATCCAAAACCAAATGGGGGCTCTTCGAAGTGTTTTTTGTTGGAGTTCAACTTATCGTGTGTTATTGGTTGTGCAGTTGTCTATATGCTATATAGTCGTGTATAAAGAGTGTTCCTAAAGGGAAACTATTGCTGATTGCTTGAGGCTTGAGTGTCAAGTGGGAGTGTAGAACCAAAGGTAACTATTTACATGGCTAAGATCTTGCAGAGCTTCGTAGGAACGGAGAAATGATAATAATCTATAGCTAGGGTTTCTATTGCGAGCTTATTGATTTTGCTTAGGGTTCTCTTCGAAGGAGAGCAATATTCATTGAGATTTATCCCTTTTATTCGAAATAACCGCACAAAAAATATATCGTATTGATTAATGAATTCTTCGCGTAGAAGCACAAACCGCCTTGCAAGCCTACTCAATGTAGATGTCCTCGATGGGATAAGCGGTTTCAATGAATTTCTGATAGAATCGCTGGAAAGCACGCCTGAAATGAACGAGTGTTAATGTGTTAAGGGAGTGTTTCGCGAGGGTTTACTGCATAAGGACTTACCCCACTGCCTCGGCCACGGGTCTGGTGGACTCGGAGCCCTTGAAGACGTGACAGGCGAACCGCTGCACCGTGGGATGTTTAGTGATGAAGCCAATGAAGCGGTGATCGCGAGGGTGAAATGCACAGAAGGACACGTTCTTCAAGGAGTAGAAGTAGTCGATGCACGGCTTCTTGTCCTTTTTGTTTTGCTGTTGGAAGGGAAATTGGTTTATTAAACACTTTAATCTCGAAGATAAGGGCATAATCGATTGGATCTAAATATGTTTGAAAAATTCAAGACCCCCAACTCACATTCGGGCCCGATCGATCCACCATGCGCAGTCCCTGGTCGGAAACCTCCAAAATGCAGGTCTGTCCGGTGGGTGAGTTGCCGTACTCCCCGACTATTTTTCGCACCGCTTGGCAGACCACTCCGGTGCCTTTGTGTGCCAGAGTCTCCACGGAACCGAGGTAGCCAAGTAGGTAGCGCTCCTTCTTCACCAGCTGCACTGTGGGATCGAACTCGTTGTAGTCCAGGTCCACGGCGTAGGCCGAGGGGAAGATGCCCTGCCTTCCGGTGCGGAGATTCACGCCCTCGCACCACAGGTCCTCGGCCTCCTTTTGCACATAGATGGCGTCTCCGATCTCCAGTTCGATCTCGTCATGGTGCCGCGGCACAAACTTATGCAAGCCACGATGTGTGGCCTCCAGCATCTCCAGCTGGCCAAACGGTACGCCCCCGAATGGAGGCGGGAAGGGGGATTGCGAAACGGGAGACGTGATGTGCGGCGACATGCTCTTGAAGTCGTTTGGTGAGTGTGCCGTGCTGTGACCACTGTCCACGTCACCCAGGCTCTGCATCCTCTCCGAATCCGGGCTGGAGTCCTCGTCCATCAAGTATCCGCATTTCAGGGACAAAAATGAGCGCTGCTGTCCACTACGAGCTGCTGGCGGGGCCCCACCACCCCCGTTGCGGAACTCATCTGCCAGGGAGCCAAAGTTGGAGCCACCTAGAAGATGCAGAATGGAAGCTGCAACGAGGCCATGAGTGGGTTAGCCCGACACTACGAAGGGATGTTAACGAGGACTTTATGGCTTTCACAAAGATTTCCCTACGGACTCGAGACTTGCAATATTTTGTTGCATACTTTTAGGCAGCTTTTGAATAAAAGGATATCTATTTGGAAAACCGGAGGAGCCCTTTAGATCTACTTTCATGCAGGATAATCTAACCGGGATCTAAATTAATTCCAAGTTACTTACATTTCTTGTTTTTGGGTATTTCAGGCAGCTTGCGACGACGGCGCGTGGCAGCTGAATTCGGTGCCAGAAGATCTGTGCTAGCTCCAATGGTCACAGGAGCACTATTGCCACCCAGTCCACTGGTGTCCATGCCCAGGAAGCCACCAATCGCATCCTGGTGGTTTAAGGGATGATGTCGGTGCGAGTTGAAGGAGTCGTTGGTGTCCAGGGAGCCGTCCGAGGACAGTGTAACCTTCAAGCCATCGCCCAGCTCGTCGTCCTCCACTTGACGCAACTTGGGCTCGTGGTCCACCAGGCCAATGCCATCCTCCTGATCGGAACCATCGCCATCGCTCTTTGAGGAGTGAGAATCCTCCAGGTCATCGTTGGGAATTAGACTGTGAAACGGAATGCATCGATGAGTAAGTGATAAAATGGCTTTTAAAACTTTTGTTTTCATCCTTAAGCTTGTAGTACTTGTAAAAATTTCCCTTCAAGGATACCGAATATTCCTTAAGGGGTGCTCCTCTGGACACGTGCAGCTTCATTACTCAAGAGCAGTGCTCTTTTTTGATTTGAACTGTAACTTTTGACCTTTTAACTTACGAGTAAAATGCATGGGGATTATTTTTCTTGCTGCCTGCTCCAGTTCCAAATCCAGCAATCGTATGGGGCTCAAATATGGGCCTGTGGAACTCCTCGAATTCGCTGTCAGCCATGTCGTTTCGGGACCAGGGCTCCGGACAGGTGCCACGCCCACAACTGCAGGCTAGCTGCAGCTATCAATAAGTCCGATTTGACTTGTTTTCCGAAGGAATTTCACTCGGTAATGGCTAGCCTCACAGTTTTTGCCAGCGGAGTCACTTTTTTCACTTCACATGAGAAAATCGATAATTTCCTTGACGTTGCTGGCGTACTTGAGTGTCCCCGTCTGACGTCCAGATGTGAGTGGTGCCATGTAAGATGTAGTGGAGGCCTGAGCCAGGGAAATTTGGGACTTTCAGCTGTCAGGCGGAAGCTCTCTCTCTCTCTCTCTCTCAGGCTGGAGAGCAGAACTTGTTTTTGTTTACCGCTGGCAGGGCAAAGGGTGGGGGGTCAGCGGCATCCGTCCGCTAACTTGCTCTCCTGGGGGTTGACAAGTAGCGCGCCTGCGCAGTGCCTCACATCCGCTCCAAGCTTGAAATGGGGGTGAGTGGTGAATTGCAATGCTGTTGCGCCTTGGGCACGAGCCACCAGGAGCGGATTAGCCTAGAAAAAAGGTTGTAAAAATCACTGTCCTCCTCTGGCCTCTTTAAGAAGCCCAATTTTAAATCAAATTTCAATGTTTGTGAAAAATTTGACACGGTTTTTTCCCTTTTTCAGCTGTAACTTTGTCAACACAAGCAGCACGGCTAAAACGATGAATGTATTATGATTTAATGATTGATTTAATGGTTGAAAAATCAGGAAACCTATTTTCGACAGAAATTTTCAATACTATGTTTGACTTTTTAGCTCTATCTTGGTCAAAACAAGTCTTGCAGCCAAAAGAACGACTGTTTTGTGCTGCTAATGACCAATACTCACCACCCCTATCACTCGATTTTCGATTTTGAGAAAATAAATTTTTTCATCAAAAATTGCGAAAAATAGGAAAAATTAAAATGTCTCAGATTTGAATGCAAACTAATTGAGAGTCATGGCAATCAAGTTACGAATTCAACGAGGTATAACATTCCATATTCGGACCGTTTTTGGCTTCATAATAAAGAAAATACTGACATTTTGGACTCCAAATGGGGGAGACCCAATTTCGCATTTTCTGTAAGGGATAAAAATTTACGAAAAATCTCAAAACATGTACTTTTTGATCCTGGTATACAGTTTGACGGGGAATTGAATTACGAACTCAATGAGGTACGACACTCCTCATTCTGACTATTTTGGCGTCGTTGTGGGGAATACCCTGATATATTAAGCATACCATATATTATCCATCCATCCAAATTATGGCTCTTGAATAAAATTCGCGATATTTTTACCAGGATTATGCTTATAACTCTGTGAAAATAAGGGGCACCGCTACGAAGAGGATTATTTTGTGCAGCTAACGACTCCTACAAACTTTCTATGTGGCTGTGGCGATGATTTTCGGAAAATAAATTTTTTGTGAAATTTCACTTTTTTGTAAGGGGTACCATCATCATTTTTATGAAAAATTGAAAAAATATTATTTTCTTCAGATTTCAATGGGACTTCAATATTTTGAAAATAGATTGAGAAACAAGGCGAACGACATATGACATTCCATATTCCAACCATTTTTGGGTTTGTTATAGACAAAATACTGATATTTCGAGAATCAAATCGGGACAAACCATTTTCGCGTTTTTGGAAAATCCTAAAAATGTCCGAAAAATCTCAAAAAAAATACTTTTTGAGTGTGGTACACAGTTCGACGGGGAATTTAAATACGAACTCAGCGAAGTATGACATTCCATGTTACCACTATTTGTGGCTCCGTAATGAGGAAAATACTGATATTTTGGGCTGAATATCAAAATTGTGATTTTTTAGTAAAATTTGCAATACTTTTCCCCAGTATTATGCTTATAACTTTGTCAAATCAAGAGCCACAAACAAAAGGAATCCGTTTTTTTGCAGCTAACGACCCCAGCAAACTTTCTATCTGGGTATGAAGATGATTTTCGGAAATTAAATTTTTTGTGAAATTTCACTTTTTTGTAAGGGGTATGCCTAACGACATATGACATTCCATATTCCGGCCATTTTTGGCTTTGTAATGAGGAAAATACTTATATTTCGAGCCTCAAATCGGGACCTACCGGTTTTCGCATTTTTGAACATCATAAAAATTCACGAAAAATCTCAAAAAATGTACTTTTTGAGTGTGGTACACAGTTCGACGGGGAATTGGAATACGAACTCAACGAGGTATGACATTCCATGTTATGATCAGTTTTGGCTCTGTAATGAGGATAATACTAATATTTTGGGCGGAACATCAAAATTGTGGCTTTTTAGTAAAATTCGAGACATTTTCCCCCAGTATTATGCTTATAACTTTGTCAAGAGAAGACGCAGAACCAAAAGAAAGACTGTTTTGTGCAGCTATCGACCCAAACAAACTTTCTGTATCATTTTGGTGATGATTTTCGAAAGTTTATTTTTTCTGAAATTTTTCATTTTTTGTAAGGGGTACCATCATCATTTTTTCGAAAAATCCAAAAAATATTTTTTTCTTCAGATTTGAATGGCACTTGAATATTTTGAATATGGACTAAAATACAAGCTCAACGACGTATGGCATTCTATTTTCTGACCATTTTTGGGTTTGTTTTGTCCAAAATACGGACTTTTGGGGAGGAAAATGGGGACAGTAAGGGGTAAAATTTTACAAAAAATCTTAAAAAAATTCACCTTCGGAGCCTGGTATACAGTTCGACGGGGAATTAAAATACGAACTCAATGAGGTATAACATACCATGTTACGATCATTTTTGGCTTTGTAATGCCAATGTAATGCTAGTAAATGGTGTGGTAAGCGATGCACTTTTGTAATCCCTTGCAAAGTCAACTCACTTTCCCCCTTGTGGGTATAAAAAAGGGTTCATTGCACCTTCGCGCCGAAGCTACTCGTAATAAGGCTGCCTTATCTACTATAGTCATTGAAATCCAATATAAAGGCTCTAAGCTGAGACAAAGGAAATGAGATTATATGTCGACAGCAATGAGGTAACCTTGTGAATGATATGTCTACTTGCTTTTGTGATTTCTGCTTAAGATGAAAGCATTCATATTGATAGATAGCTCCAGTAATAAGTCCAGAGATATCTTATCGCGGATGGACAGCGAATTACTCACAGAGTACTCGATGCATGTGTAATACCTTTGATAGCTTGGGTATAAGTACTGTGAGGAAGCTAGCATAGCAAGGCAATGTTTTATCCACTTTTAACGATGAGAGCTCTTCTGGTAGTTTGTGTCTGGACTCTGGCTGCTCAGGTTATCCTGGCCAGGACAATGGATCGGTGCTCACTGGCTCGGGAGATGTCCAACCTGGGCATCCCCCGTGACCAACTGGACAAGTGGACCTGCATTGCCGAGCACGAGAGCTCCTATCGCACGGAGGTGGTGGGACCACCGAACTCCGATGGATCCAATGACTACGGCATCTTCCAGATCAACGATCTCTACTGGTGCCAGCCGCCCAGTGGAAAGTTCTCTCACAATGGCTGCGGTCTGAGCTGTAACGACCTGTTGACCGACGACATCAGCAGGTCGGTGAGATGTGCCCAGACGGTCTTGGGTCAACAGGGCTGGCCAGCTTGGTCCACCTGGCATTTCTGCAGTGGAAGCCTGCCACCGATCGATGATTGCTTTAAATAGAGTACCGCATTTTCTTTATCCCGAATATATATACTTTATTGGGTTAGAAGGGCCTACCCTCTTTTCAACGAATACATAATAAGTTTTCACAAAATATAACGGGTATGGAAAATATCGACTGTTATCGAAATCAGCTGGAAAGTGATAGGGGACTGTTAGCTTAGGTCATTAGCTGCACTAAGCAGTGGTGTTTCTTGCTCTTCAGAACCCAATACGTGGGGTTCCCCGAGTTTCTTTGCCCAGGCAAATGATGAAATGTGAAATATTTTCTCTATGAAATCTATTTATACTTGCCTTATCGCGGCTGGAATACAAATTACTCGGAGAGAGAAGGAGGGCTGCTTTGTCTTCTGTTGATTCATCAACATCATACGATCACGAAGGCTATAAATATTGTGGGAGCTGGTATAGTCATTTAGTTTTCGTTTGGCATCCAACAAATTCGCATCACAATGAGAGCTCTGCTAGCTATTTGTGTCCTGTTTGTGGCTACTCCAGTTATCCTGGCCAGGACAATGGATCGGTGTTCCCTGGCTCGGGAGATGGCAAGCATGGGCATTCCGCGGGACCAGCTGGCCAAGTGGGCTTGCATTGCCGAGCGGGAGAGCAACTATCGCACGTCGGTTGTGGGACCACCCAACTCCGATGGATCCAACGACTATGGCATCTTCCAGATCAACGACCGGTACTGGTGCCAGCCGTCCAATGGAAAGTTCTCCCACAATGGCTGCGATGTGGATTGCGACGAGCTGTTGTCCGACGACATCACCGAGTCTGTGAAGTGTGCCCAGACGGTCCTGAGGGAACACGGTTTTCCAGCCTGGACCACCTGGAAGTATTGCAACGGATACCTGCCTTCGATCGATGATTGCTTCCCAAGCGGCTTTTCCGCAAACCAGAACGCGTATTCTTCCGCCCTTTTCTCGCAGAAATGGTAATGATGAAATCGTCGGTCTCCCTTATCAAAATGAGGATCTTTGTCTAATTGGTTAATAATAAATTAGAAAAGCTTTCAATAGATAAGAAATGCTTGGAAATATTATATTTCTGAATCATATTTGAAGAAAGATAACGACAGCTAAGGCTTACTGGCTATCTGGGAAAGCTGTACACTTTACTTTATTCAACAACAATCAGAAGTGCTTTCTAATAATCTTAAATATATGCATGTATAAACCCACATCACTGTAAAGTCTGTGTTTATTAAACGTTGATTGAATTACCCCTGCCCGTCCTCGAACTTAATCCGAGTCACAGATCATCCCTTTCATCCCCCGTCCAAATTAGACGTCTAAGTTAATTATTCCGAAATCAAGTGAATCAAGAACTGCCATTCATCGCGACCTCGACTCCGTTCCGGACTCCATCTCCGTCTGGAAGTGGGAGACGGCCACGCATCCTTTGGGGCCACCATAAATCCTTCAGTCCGTGGACAAATAGAAAGTGCCTGGCTCCCGGGAGCCAGTCGTTTGTCGGTCAATCAGTTAGCCAGCGCCATTAAGTTTATCGCTTCTGCCGATGGGTTGCTTGTTGTCAGGGGGAAGTAAGGTGCCCACGCATGTGCTTAGTGGGTGGGGGTTTTCGCATATTTTAATAGTCAAGTGGAAGCGACTCTGGTTTCCATTCACTGGTTTTCCTATTCCTTCCGCCTCCCCTGGCACTGTTTGCTTTTGTGGAAGCGCAAACAAAGGCCCAAAGAAGCGGGCGGAAAGAAATTGCCATTTAGCCAGTATTGAGTCTGTGGAAGCATCAAGTGGTTGCCGTTGGGTGGAAAGCGTTTTTCTTTTACGGCCGCCGGACCTGGCAACCCATTTATTTGACCACTCTCAATGTCGCAGACTCGGGGCTTTTCTTAACTAACTTCATATTGATTTTATCTAAGAAGGTTTCGCCGTTTCTGCAAAGGTTTCACTAGGTTTTCCTCACGGTACACTAGTTACTGCGATACCAGCATAAATTAAACGCCTGAATCTGAAAGTCAAGCACAGAAGTCCGTCCCTCTGTCTGTCGGTCTGCTTGTCTGTCCAACAACCCCGACCCCGATGGCTTTTCCTCATTCAATTGAAAGTTGTAGCTGCTGATTAGAAAGTGAAAATGTGGTGATAAGGTGAACTCTAAGTACCCTGATTTATGGTATGGATATGTGACTCTCCATACTTTAACCTTCACTATTTCGACTTCATAGAGTAAGTTTTTCTCAACTTTACATATTTTGTCCAATATAAAACGATGATTACTAACTCTTTTTAATGTTAATGTTAGCCCTGCCAAAGTACAGGCTTGCCAAGGAATAGCAGAGACTCTCAAAGGCAGTGCACGATGACGTCATGCGTTAGCGTTCCGGCCTGACTCCAGCATGATTTGGCCAATCAGGACAAGCCACCCCGAAAGGAGGAGGGTCCTCCGAACAGAATAGAATGGAAAGACTCACTTGTAGCTTTTATATCCTTGAACGAATTTATCTCGCCACGCACACTTAATAAATACAATTGAATATGTATCCCCGCCAGTGAGTTTCGCGTGTGTGCGAGTCCTGCGGGCTGCCTATAAAAGGACACTCGCATCCGCAGGATCTTGCAGTTGGCGCTGAGTTGCGCATTCGACGTGTGTGCCCGCGGACTAAACCAAGGAGTAGCTACCAAGTGCAGTGCAGTGATGAGTGCTTCCGGGAAGAGTCTTCTGGGCCTGTGGCTCTACAGGAGTGGCGAGCAGGAGTGGGCCGTCAAGCAGGGCAGTCCCCTGCATCAGCTGAAAAAGGATCCAACCTCGGGTCCCTCGCACCCAAATCTAGCCAGGCACAGCTCGGCTCCTCCAGAGCCTCCAAGGCTGGCCATCGGAGGCGTCGGCCAGGACAACGCTAGACAGCATTCCCCTGGCGAACGCATCTCCATCATCTTCACCCTGCGCAACCAGGTGGGGAATCTGGCCAGGGCCCTGCAGGTTTTCCAGGAGCTGGGCATCAATGTGCTGCATTTGGAGCTCTCGCCGCTGGAGATGGCCACGAACCAGGCGGATGTCCTGGTGGATGTCGAATGTGATCCGCGACGGCTCGACCAGGTGGTCAAGATGCTTAACAGGGAGGTGGCTTCCGTGAACTACACTTCCGTGAATACCCATGGCTTGGCCAGGGCGCCGTCGCTGTCGGCCTGCTCCAGTTTCGGTGAGTTTTGGTAGAGATCTTTAAAGTGAATCCTTGCAGTGATGTTCTGGAGACTTAAGTTATAAATTAATGGCCATTAGATTTTGGGGACATGGTTTGGTTTCCGCGCAAGATCTCTGACCTGGACAAGGCTCAGAACGTGCTTATGTACGGCTCAGAGTTGGATGCCGACCATCCGGGATTCAAGGACCCCGTGTACCGCAAACGACGGGAGCAGTTCTCTGCCATCGCCAACAACTTCAAGCAGTAAGTGTGTGATAATAGAATTGCCCCTAAGCCATCTCCCCCATATCTAATCCCCACTCCTTCGAAACCAATCCCTCTCAGTGGAAACCCCATTCCTCGTGTGCAGTACACACCTGAGGAGGTGAAAACTTGGTAAGTTTTTGATTGCATTTGAGTTTGACTGCCGCAGTATCGATTCACGTGGGCGGTTTGTAACTTTCTGTACGAAGGGGCACCGTTTTCTTGGAGCTCCATCGACTCTACGTGCTGCATGCTGTGCCGGAGTACATGGAAACCTGGCCTGAGTTGGAGAAGTACTGTGGCTACCGCGAGGACAACGTCCCCCAGCTGCAGGATGTGAGTGTTTATCTCAAACGCAAGACGGGATTCCAGCTGCGACCCGTCGCGGGATACCTCTCCCCGAGGGACTTCCTGTCCGGACTCGCCTTCCGCGTGTTCCACTGCACCCAGTACATCCGCCACTCCTCGGATCCCTTCTACACTCCCGAGCCGTAAGTTGGATAGTTTTATTTAAATCTTTTATTTGGTTCCTTTTGGGTGCAATCGAATTGCATACTTTTAGGTGGATGGGAAAAATGTTTAAGTAAAATTATTTATTTCCAGGGACTGTTGCCATGAGCTACTGGGCCACATGCCCCTTCTGGCCAACTCAAGTTTTGCCCAGTTCTCCCAAGAGATTGGATTGGCCTCTCTGGGAGCGAGTGACGCGGATATCGAGAAGTTGGCCACGGTGGGTAGTCCGAAGCAGTTACTCTCAGTCCATTTTCATCCGCCATTCCCTTGTAGCTCTATTTCTTCACCGTGGAGTTCGGGTTGTGCAAGCAGGCGGACAGCAGTTTCAAGGTGTACGGAGCCGGGCTCCTGAGTTCCGTGGCCGAGCTGCAGCATGCGATTACGGCGGAGAACAAGATCAAGAAGTTCGACCCGGAGCTGACGTGCCAGGAGGAGTGCATCATCACCTCCTACCAGAATGCCTACTACTACACCGACTCCTTCGAGGAGGCCAAAGAGCAGATGAGGTAGTGCTAGTGAGTGTAGTGTTCGAATTTCATTTTACAAGTCTCTCTCTCTCTCAAGGGCCTTTGCCGATAGCATCCAGCGACCATTCGGAGTGCGTTATAACCCGTATACGATGAGCGTTGAAGTCCTGTCGAATGCCCAGAAGATTACAGCGGTGGTCAGCGAACTACGAGGGGATCTCAGCATCGTTTGCTCGGCCCTGCGAAAGATCTCCGCCACGGATGAGAATCTGGATGTGGACAGCATCGCCAACATGCTCCACAACAGCCTCAATGTCAGAGGGGGAGCCTCTGGAGGCGGCGGCAGTCCGTGCAGTCCGGACAACTCTGACAATTCCACGGCGGAGGGAGACTAGGAAAGGAAGTCGGGAGCGAGGAACTTAAAGGGAACACGTTTTTGGGACCACAATGCAGTGTAATTCGCTTCTCAACTACCTTAAATCTCAGCTATCTTGTTAACAAATCGTTTAGAAAATGTAGAAAATCGAACAGAAATCGCGAAGTCAATGTTATTTTTATAAACTATCAAGCTAAGCGGATTATGCTGCAGATTCACTCTTTGAACTAAACACGTATCCATGTCTATGTCTAGCAGTTGTTTATTCAGATCTTAAAGCTATGTAAAAACTAAAGTAACAATAAACTTGCAACCTCTCGATGTAGCTGCCCTAGTAGCCTACTTGTAGATCATATCACAGTCGCTGTTGATGAGGAGCTTCTTGCTCATGTAGCTGGTGAGGCACTGGACGAAGAAGTTGGGGATGGTCCAGAGGTTGAAGCTGAGGGCCAGCACTCGCCATTGCTGGAGGATGAGCCGAAGGTCCGAGATCCACACGAAGCGGTGACCCACCCTCTTGGAGACCTGGCTAGTGACGCCTCTGACCACGCCACCTGCTATCCCAGAAACGCTGACCCTGCGCTTTTTGGTGGGAGCCCCGTCCTCGGAGCCCGAACAACTTCCGGAATTCTGACGGGAATGGGTGCGGGATCGGGAGCCGGGGCTGTTGCCGCCAGAGGTTAGGTACTTCTGGTCAAATTCCGGCTTGAGGTCGACGCGTGGCGCTATTTGAATGCGGTCGACTGTGTCGCAGATCTCCGCATTGCTGATGAGGATGCCCGCCACGATGTACATCATCTTGAAAACCCTGTTCGGGAGATGGGTTTCAGTATGGGTTCTAGGGAGTACCAAGAGCTCCAAACTCACCTTACAGTGTGTGACATCATCTTGGCTGTATATAGATGGATTCCTGAGTTTTTGTCTTTTTATTTGAACGTTTTTTATTGCCTGCAGCCTTATCAGCCACTGCGTGTTTTATTGCCGATCTGGTGATGTATTTATTCGCTAGTTTCTATGCTCGGCACGTGGATCCGCTGATTCGCACTCAATCCGGGGAACTGATCGCGGGCCGACTGCTCTGCTCCGCTGCTGAAATCCAACTGAAGGCCCCGGACGACCTGGCAGTGATAAGACCAGCAAATGGATAAGCCTCCATGTCCGATGCTAATGCTCGATCGAGATATGATCGTTGGGCTGTTAGGTTGTGTGCTCTCCTCTCTGGGCTGGACTCCGGCGATAAGGCCTGACATTCGCCTTATCGATCAGTTTTATGGATCACTTTGCTGGCCGGCGTCAAAATAACTCTGCATTGCTTGGAAACTACGTAATGTTTGCTGTACGCCGTGCACCTTGGACTCCGGATTGGATGAGTAGGCGGCGGCGGCGGCATTCGTGGTGATTACCCATTTTAATGGTACATATAATGGGGTCTGGTCTGGCCTGGTCTGGGCTCTATCGCATGAACAGGGTCCGTGGTCTGATAGCACGCCTTATCGACGGCACTCATCTACCTCACCTTTACCCAAGTAAACAATCGCTCTTCGGGAATTATACTTTTTCTAATTTTACTTTCTCTTATTTTTGAACTATTTTAAGTTTAGTTTAGTTTGCCTTTTTGCTAGAGCCACTTCCGCCACCTATCTCTCAGTCTGTTATACATCCTATTTCACCACCCTATTCTTTTGGTTGAAGAATAAGCTAGTAAAAGCTTCTGAAAGCAACTTGTGTCCAAGCTAAGTCTGGACATTTTTATTCTATGTTTAACTTTAAGAAGGATTATTCAGATTTGTATATATATTCTGGTAGGCAAAGTAAGTATCAAACTATTCTTCAGACATATAGCAAAACAATATTTTCATCATTCTAGTTCGCTTATTGAGAGGCAATCCTTAAGATACACAATGTCCTGCAGCTAAGTCTTACCAAAGAGAAGTCCTTAGTCGCGCATATAGTACACATCCTGGTATTTTATTATTAAGAATTGAGTTAATATTAGAAATCAAAACTGATATACCTACTAGCTGAAGATTAAATGCCTAAAAGTATCGAAGAAATCCTTATTTTATCCACAAAAAAGGATGTTTTATCCTCCCCAAAGCCAAGATCTACCTTCTTTGTGTTTTTTTTGATGCATTATTAAGCACATCTCAGCTCTCTATAGTGGGGATGTCACTAAGGCTGACCAAATTAAGCGAAACTCCGCAATCGACACCCAAAATTAATTTGGGCAGCCACTCGACTCACTTTCTCCACCTCACGTCGTCGATAAACGCCTCGAACAGGACTCTGGCAGCAGGCTGGTGTTCGACCACAAAACCATTTAATTTGTTGCCCGAAAACCTATAACAATAATTGACTTTGTTCGGCCCCGGGACCCCCCTGGCACTCGCAAGGTGTCCTGGCGAGATTCTTAAGCAACACTCCGGCCCAGAGACTTTCCCACATAAATTATGCAGGACCTGACCACTGGCGCCTGTCGACAGGAAGGTCCGAAGGCAGGAGTCCTGTGAAACAAGATTATTTACAAAATGGCCAAGCCACAGAATCTTAAACACAGCAAAGGTCCTTTGAGGGGGCGGAAGAAAAACAATTTTCACAAAACACAAATTTCTGGAGCACACAAACGGAGGGAAAACCAGCAGACGGACAAACACACTCTTGTCAGAGGAGGCAGACAAGTCTGAGCTGCCAAAAGGTATTCCCCAAGAATGTCTGCCACAAGGACAAGAGGCATGAGGAGTCCTGATTTGCCTCCCCCCCTTCACACAGCAGCCAGGACAACAGCTCCTCGTCCACACAAATGGAGACGTTATCGTCCTCATCATTTGGCATCGTCTTGGAGCAGGAAACACCACATGGCCACCAGCCAGATGACCTTGACACACACAACTGTGGCTCTCAATGCTCATTCAAGTGTCCAGTCTGAAAAATGGCCACCTACTTCTCCATCTCCTTCTGTGGCAAAGGCCAGGGGCATTCAAGGAAGCTGGATCTCTCTCGTCTGCCGGTTAATTGTGTGCCCCCCTCCGCCCTCCCTCGTCCCCCTTTCCATGACAGAGCAACCAACCAGCCGTCCAGCCAACCAACTTCCTCTTGTATCCTTCGTCCTTCTTGTTGTCCTGGGTAATAACCGAACAGCAACTGCAACTGCACTTCTGAGTCCGAGTCCGAGATTTCACAGCTTGGCAGCCACTTTGAGGCCACTTGTTGCCAGGATTGAAATGCGAGACTTCTCGGTGGCCAAGGGGATAATTGAAAGTCTGCCTTTAAGATGACCAGCAGCTTAAATGCAAATTGGCAGAGGGCAGGCAAATCGCTTAATAAATTGGAGACTGCTTTGGCCAAAATGGAAATTGAAAATAATGAAAATGCATAAAAAATGGAGCGGAGAGGGCTGGAAATGGCTGAGCCATGGCCAAGCAGCAGTGGGAGTAGAAGGAAGGGTGTTTTCCCTGGACATGATATATGATGGAACCAGTCCAGCAGGAAATAATTCCCGATTCTCCGGAGGAGTGGGACATGCAAATATTGAAACGAAGCGAAGTCCTCGACAAAGAAATCTAAACAACAACAGCAGAGCATTTTTGGCCAGCCACTAACAATAAATGATGATGGAACTTGGAGTTGGGCGATGGGGAGAAGGAGGAGGCCAGGTCTTCCTGCTCCAAACATCGCTGATTAAACGCGAGTGCCACGAATGCGTCGCGAGGTGACGACGACGACGACATGGACATGACTTTGCTCGGTGGTCTGGGGTCTACGTCCATGTCTACGTGTCCAGACGGGCAGACAGGCTGCAGTTTGTAGATCCCAGACAGCCATGGCCATGGCAGGAGAAGGAGCTAGAGCTAGAGCTTCATCTACCCTATGGGTACAGCTAAAGCTGAGCTAAAGGACAGCTCCGAGCCCCGAGTCTGTGGCAACATTTTCCACAAAGGACCAGAAAAGTGCAGATTGCAAAAAATCAACTACGGCCATATTTGTTGGCCATGTATAGATTCTGGTTTTTTGGGCAAACATTTCCGGACTCGCTCGTTTTTGTTGTATTTCTCTAATTTATTTCTTGATTTTATTTGTTCCACCGCCAGCGCAGGACTCTCCGCATGCAAATGATGTTGAATGCGATAAGTGTTCGAAGGGTTGGTCATTCCCGTCGTTTTATTTTTCAAGTGGAGGGTAGAAAAACAAACACTTGGAAGCTGCAGACAGCGGGGAGGGGTTGGGGGTGTTTGAAATATGAACTTGAGGGACGCGTATTGTCTGCCCAGATTATGGATGGGTGGTGCTTAGATAGAGAGAGAGGCGGTTACTTACCACCCAAAGGCACCCTGCAAGCTGATTTATTAAGATGTTTTTATTAGGAGGAAAGCTAATTGCTGGTTAACCCATTGAAGCACAGCTAATGTAGCAGATTCTCTGGTATAGTCCTGGCCAAGCACTTAAAGCCAAACCAGCATCTCCGGCGAAGCTCCTTCATATTTCATGGCGAAAAATCAAGTATCCGCCAGGATGCGCGGCATTGGCAGGCCAGTGCATTACCATCAGCTCACATGTCCTTTGTGACAGAGCCCCCTCCCTTACTTCCACCCACCTCATGTCCTGCTGGCAGACTGCCTTTGCCTGCTGCACATAAACCAAATATGTATGTAATTTTTTGCAATTTTCTAACAAAATTTCGCATTTTTTCGTGTCGCTATTTTATTTTGCATGGCTCGTCGGACAGCCAAGCTGACTGTCCTGTGATGTCCTTCTTGCCCTGCAAGGAGGCCACTTGGCAGCCGGATCACGTTGGAATATTTCCAATGTCCCGGACGGGATGTACGGCGGGATATAATAATTTCATGTGACATGCAGCGGTCTTCCTTTGCTCCTTCCTCCTTCCTCCTTCGCTCTTCCTTCTTCACGGGGCTGCTTTGATATATAATTTTGCATTTTTTAATGCCTCACTTGCCCCGGGCAACCTGTGATGTCCTGTATGTCCTGTGTGTCCTGTACGTCCTGCCCTGGCCCTTTGCACTTTTGGGCAGCGCATAATCTCATTTAGTTGCTGGCAAAACGCTTTTTAAAATCAAATTTCCGCTAAAACATTTTCTATTTGACATTTCGTTGGCATTTGTGGCTCACAAATGGAGATATAGCCGGGCGGGCTCTTTGTCTGTCAACTGCGGAAAATGGCCAAAAAGGGGAAAAGAAAGGCGGACATTAAAGCGAGGTCCTGCAAGCGATGGACAATTTCCTTGTACAAAAAGGATTCTCATTTTTTTCGTGACTCTGAATATTATTTGCACTTTGCTGCAGTTTGATTGATCCCGGCCAGGGAAGCTGCCCCACTTGCTAACCCTGCCCCCTTGCTAACGCATGTCCATCATAATTAATGGCTGGAAGCCTTACGCTATAAGTCGGACTTGCAGCAGGCTGGCCGTCATCAGTCACCCCAACTCAGTCCAGGAGCCAGCCGTGCAGGCAGGACCTCTTTTCCTTCTCCGTTTTCATTTCTAGCCGAGTTGGCTCCGCCTCCAAAAGCCGGCAGTTGGTGCGTTTTCTGTGCGTCCGCTTGGCGCTCTATGTACCGAAAACCCAACGATAAGGCGAAGCAGCAGGAAAAACCAGGAGGAAAGCCCGGAGACGGAGACGGAGACGGAGTGCCGAGTAAATGAAAATGAATGGCAGGCCGCCTAAAAGTAGGCAGCATGGCCGGGCAGGATGGCTGGCCCCCTGCCAGATACATAGAGCCATCGGAAAAGAGGTGGCAACTCCAAGAAAACTGCTCTGTTTGCCCCCCTGTCCACGCGGCGTATGTGCAACGCAGCAGGAGCCCACGCGTCGTATGTGCAATTTGTGCGCTGCACACACCCGCACCCTGGCCCGGAGTTAGAGATGCGTAAATCAATCAGGAGCAATGCCAGCGATGGACATTCGCTAAACTTATTTGCGCTAAATTATTTTGCAAGGAGAGGAGGAGGCTGGCGGCCACTGGCAGGATAATCGGGGGACAGGCAAACGGCAAACGGGAAACGGCAAACAGGCAAAACGCTCAAGCACTTTAGTCAATTTAATTTCCTAATTAACTGGCAACCGGCAACATCATTGGCTCGCCCT